GCTTCTTTGGGAGACTTTCGGAAGTATACAGATTCACCACTACCCCCCCAAACGTCCGCCGCACCTCGAAATCTGCTGCTCATTCAACCAGCAGCCCACCGTAGACCATAGACCGTATTCTTTACGTATACCACCGACGACAACACCGAACCCAAACCAGTCGCAGCGCAGCACCCCATGGACGCTGCCCCGACTACGACACAATGTTCCACGTCGTGAGCGCCTCGTCGCCAGTGCCCTCGGAAATCTTTGCGCTTCTTGCGCTGCTCCTCATATCCGTCATCGTCCTACTCATCCTGCGCCACTTCCTGCCCCTGCGAACAACGCCGGCTTTTTACCTGGTGCCCATATTCTTCGCATTATGGCTGCCCGCATGTATGGTGCTGCTTGTGCCCATCGACTTGGCTTCTAGTGCTAGGACCGACGATGAGGCCACGCGCGGCATCTGGCTTCCACAGCGGCTGCTATTAGTATCGTGGAGGATAACGTACTGGCTGACATTTGCCCTGACATGGTACGTATTTCGCTGTTGGTGCTGATCTCTACCCGCGCTGACGACGGTTCCCGCAGGTTTATTCTTCCTATCCTCGGCGAATACTCCGACTCTGGCTACCGCGAACCCAACGACTGTCTGAAATACTCGCTTCGTCAAAACGCTCAATACCATGCGATGGTACTAGGAACTGCTGCCGTCGGACTTGCGTATCTCTTCATCAGATATAACCCAAGTCCCACAACACTCAAGACATCTTTCATGGCACTCGCATATTTTTATGGCCTGGTCTTTGCCATCTATCTTATGGGACACGGACTGGTTGCGGTGCCTCGTCGGCTTTTCCGGTATTCGTCCATCAGCGGGAGGTTACGCAGACTACAGATCCGTGCGCCGAAACTTTACGAAAAAATGGAGGACTCATTGCTGAACCTGGAGGATATCGAGTTGCAGGTGTCGGAGTTGGGCCGCCGGAAGACAGGTAGCGCCGTCAAGTTCAGCGAGTGGATTGACGAGCTCGTCGAATCCGCCAACATGCCCGAGTCGCAGTCCCGGACGGCTGTTGGATCTGCCGACAGCCGCGCCCTGCCGACCGTTATCACGGAGAAGTTCATGGCCGATCTGTCAAGAAGGTTGATGCGCGCCCGGCATGCTCGGTCCCGTTACGTAAACGACTGGAATGATCTGTTGAAGGAGGCATCGGAAACGCAGGCTATCCTGGACTCGGCCGCCTCGAAGAAGCTCGAATTTAGCTCACCCTCCCCCCACGCCGGCTTCTGGGATCGATTCACTGTTCACACACCCTACACACGATATCTGTACTACTATCATTTTGAGCCATATGCGTGCATTGCCCTCGGATCATTTCTCGCGGTGGCGTCGGCCCTTATCATTTGGTCTGAAGTGATCAAGGCAGCCTTCCCCCAACTGTCCGTCATTCGCTTGACGGTAGTTCACCACTGGGTCGGAGAAAAAGGACAGGTCGGGTTTGCTGGACAACTTATCTCGGTTCTTTGGCTTCTGTACATGTGTGCAGCAACCTTCATCACCATGACAGAAGTGAAGACTTGGCGAGGACGTGCACTCGTTAGACGCAACACGGCCTACGAATCGGCATTCTGGTACTCCGGCCAAGTTGCCAAGCTTAGCGTTCCTCTATCCTACAACTTTATGACCTTCTTGTCCAGGGACATCTATAAGAAGACGCGTTTCTATCTCTTCCTCGGACAGCTCATCGATTTCACCGCTCTGGGCCGTTGGGCGGACTATCTCTTCCCCATCTTTGTGCTCCTCCCTGTCGCAGCCACCCTCTTTGGCTTGTACGGGAGGATCAAGCGTCTCTTCGGCTTCGGCGGCGAATTCATTGACGATGACGACAACGGCGACGGCAGGGTCTTTGGAACGGGCTCTTGGCGCGAGGGTCGAGACCTTATCGAGCGCGAGTTGGGCGGCAACTCTGCCCTACGACGCCGCGAAGAGACTTTCGCCAGGCTCGAATCAACTGGAAGGTCTGCGCCCGTTCTGACCATTCCTGGCGGACGAATCGGCACCGCGGCATCCCCGGCAAGATCTCCTGTTCGGGCCGTTCACAATCGTCAACTTGGCCAACCGGCAAGGAACAGACCGTACCGTGACGATGAGCCAGAGGAGGACCATAACTTTTTCGAATCGCTTGGCCATCGCATGAAGAACACGATGGACACGTTTGAAGCTCCGCAATGGTTTCAAGACATCAAGAAGCCCAAGTGGCTCGGCGGCGATGACGATGAGCCAGGTAGCAGCAGCCGTGGTAATACAGCCAGGGGCGGCGATGGCGGCGTTGAGTCTGACATTCGACGCTGGTTCGGTGGCGAGGGCCGCGTTCGGCTATGATCTTGGCCAAGAAATTGGCTGAGACCAACTTCTCTTTTGTTATTTTTTAAATACCATCACTTCCACGGATTTGGTGTCTCTACCAAGAGCTGGGGAGTGCGCATTGTTAGGAGTTTTGGCTTGAGTTCCAGCGCCCGGGCAATGAGACGGGGAGATGATCAGTCTCGCGCAAATATTTATATAGTTGTTTAATGACACCCGCGACAAGCCGCGTGTGTATAAGATAGATACCTTTTATAGAATTTTCAACATGAGTTACAAAGCAATAAGGAGAATGCACGGTATCACTATGGTGTATTGCTCTGTATATTGATATTCCAGTAGTGCTTAATTGCAAACCGCTTCGACGGATCCGGCCCCACCCTCTCTCCCCGCCTGCAAGCCGGCTCCGGGCCCGGGCGCATTAGTGGGACTGCCAAATGGACCGTGCACTAATCAAGACTATTACCCAGAGGCATCTTGGTTTGGTTTGAGTTCCCACCCAACACCCCTTTAACCAACACAGAATATGAGCAAACCAGGATTGTCATTCGGCCTTAGCCTTGGCAAAAAGCCAGGCGCATCAAAGCCTGCGCCGGCGAAACGGAAGGCGTTTGGTGGCGACGACTCGGACGACGATGTGCCCAAATCGGGGACCAAGGTCGAGACACTGGACGAGCTAAGCGGCTTCGATCTCGATTCCTCGTTCAGCAGACAGGAGAGCGGAAGCAGAAAACCAAAGAACAACAAGACCAAATTGCCGACACATCCACCGACGAGCAAAACCAAGAAGCAGGAAAGCGTCATGTTTGGCGACCTCTCGAGCTCGCTCGCATCGAGAAAACATGCCGAGGAGGCAGAGGAGCTGGATCCGAGCGTCTACGACTACGACGGCGTGTACGAGTCTTTCAAGCCCCAGAAGAAGGAGACAAAGGAGGACGCCGAGCGGAAGCCCAAATACATGAAGAGCCTGCTCGAGGCTGCTTCTGTGCGGAAACGCGATGCGCTGATTGCCGAGGAGAAAAAGATTGCGAGGGAGCGGGAGGCTGAGGGTGAGGAGTACGCGGACAAGGAGAAGTTCGTCACAGAGGCGTACAAGAAACAGCAGGAGGAGAACCGACGAATCGAGGAGGAGGAGAGGAGGAGGGAGGAGGAGGAAGCGAAGAAGAACAAGACGGGCGGCATGAGCGCTTTTTACAAGAACCTCCTCAACAAGGGCGAGGAGAGGCATGCTGAGGTCCTGAAGGCGGCCGAGGACAAGACCAAAGCTGGCCCGACACCTGCGCCGGAAGAGGCCGACGTGGGCAAAGAGAAGTCCGAAGCCGAAATCGCAAGAGAGATCAACGAAAAGGGCGGTTCTGTTGCTGTCAACGAGGAGGGACAGGTGGTTGACAAACGTCAACTCCTCCGAGGCGGTCTCAACGTTGGCGCTAAGAAGGAGGCCCAGGTCAGACAAGAGGCGGCGCGACCGAAAGATAGCAGACCGCAGGGCAGTTCCGGCACCGGATTTGTTGGCTCTGGCGGCAAGGGCGCTATGCGGGAGCGGCAGACGCGGATGCTCGAGGCGCAGTTGGAGGCGGCGCTCAAGCGCTCACGTGAGGAAGAGGAGGCAGAGCGCGAGAAGGTGGAACGGGTTACGAAGACGAGGAAGACGGAGGGGGAAATCTCCAGCGCGAAGGAGCGGTACCTTGCTCGAAAGCGCGAAGCGGAGGAAGCCAAGAAGAAGGGGCTGGCCGAGTAGAAGAGTTCACAAGATACCCCGAGAACCGAGAATGCATCTCTTTCTATAATGCCTTTTAGGCGGGCCGAGCAGCTTCATGACGAGACCTGTGCCCTTTTGTCTCTGGATGCTCGGGCTAGTTTCCCTGTGTACATGGTCCTGATGCCGATTCTGCGATGCAGAAATTCAGCACGAGGGCTTTCTTTACTCATTCCCCAATTCGATGCTTCCAATGGGCTTCTTATAGCCCCCCTCTGTGGTCTTGTTGTACAGTAGTAGTACATGATAAACATCCCCCTTATTTCTCTATAGTAGCTCCTCCATTCATGTACAATCGATTACAGCGAGTTGTTGCCCTTCATAGACTCCTGTTTTATCCTGTTGATGTATGCGTGGTTGACCTGGTTCCATGCCGACATGTACTTTTCCATGCACGAGGTCATGCAAGTGGTCTCGCCGCTGGATAGAGAGCTGCCGGGCTTGGGAACACACTTCTCGAAGCAATGCTCCTGGAGTTTCTGTTTGCGGTTGACTGCATAAGCGTCCGACCTCGGTTGCGCCTTGACCTGGAGCTATCGACATACCTCGATGAGAACACGAGCGTTGGCCATGTTTGCCTCCTGGAGGACCTGCTGCATAACGGACCTCTTGACAGAATCGGAGTCCATGACGGCTAATTTGGTTTGTGAACCGGAACTTGGGGGAGTCTTTGTTGCGGTCTCGAGAAGCTGTATTGGGTTTGAATAATATGCAAGTGACGTTCTTGACCAGCGATTGTTTGCACCGGAATTCTTCGAGTCCCCGGTTAATACCTGCGCATTGAACGGGATGCTGAAAAGATGAGGTGGCTTGTGCTGTAAGGCTGTTGTGGCTGGTTTTCCCTGTCCTGAGGCAGCAACAACTTCCCACAGCTCGGTCCCCCAGGTAGTGTAGAGACTAGAATGACGCAGGGAGGGAGGAGGGAAGAACCGAGCGTCTACAGTGACCAGACCAGTCCATCAGCAGTGTCAAGAGCGCTGTGGTGGCATGGTACCTGGCCTGGGTACTCTTTAGCGCAGAACAGGGGTGGAAGCTCCAAAACGTGCTGACCCCAGGAATCAGGACCCATCAGCCAAAAAGAGGACAGCTAACGGCTGGGAAGGAGACACACGAGCAAAACCCACCACCACCTTCGACTTTCGCCGAACGACGTCTTTTCGTCGCTGGACCCTGCGGCTCTACCACTCTCCTCAACCGGCGCCCTTTTCCCTCTTCGCTCTCCTCCCTGACCTCCCCCTTGTTGTGAAGCGCGCACTCTTTTCCTCATCTTCCCTTTGAGTTTACTCCTTTTCAATTCGAGCTAGCAGCAACAGCCATGTGGTTCAAGCAGTCCCTCTCGGCCCTGTGGCTGGCCGCAATGGCCCTGGGCACCGCGAAGGCGGATGATGAAGTCAAGAGCATTGCGGTTCGTCCCATTCTATCCGCTCCAAATTCACGTTGCGCACTCGTATGACACGATGAAGCTGACTCTATGTGTCTTTATTTTGTATAGCTCCGAACGCATTCCCTGACCCAGGTTCGCGACACCCGCTTGCATGTGCCACACCCCTGAACGCGCTTTACTGAGACTATGCACGATAGCCCTACCTCGATTCCGACATGGCAAGTCGGTGGTACGACTTTGGAGGAGATACCATCATCCGAACGGACTCGTACGTCACCGTCACCGTTTGCAGTGGTTTAAAGACATAGTCCTAGAAAAGAAAAGAGAGGAAAGGCTAAAGTGATGGCGAACAATTTAGTTACATTCGGTTGACATCGGACCGCCCGTCGCAAACCGGTTGGCTCTTCTCGAGAGTACCCCTGACGGCAACCAACTGGGAGGTCGAGGTCGAGTTCAAGATCCATGGCAAGAATCAGCTCTACGGCGATGGCTTCGCCATGTGGGTAACCAAGAACCGCGGCCAGTCCGGCACCGTATTCGGCAGCCCGGACAACTTTGAAGGCCTCGGTATCTTCTTCGACACGTACAAGAACAACCGCCCCGGCACCGTCTTCCCCTACGTCATGGCCATGTACGGCGACGGCAAGACCTCTTACGACAAGGACAACGACGGCAAGAACACGGAGCTCGCTGGTTGCTCCGCGCGCGGCATCCGTCACGCCAGCGTGCCGACCAAGGCCAAGGTCACGTACTTCCAGGACAAACTCCTCAAACTGGAGCTGCAGTACAAGAGTGAGGGCGAGTGGACCCTGTGCTTCGAGACCAACGAGCCCCCCGCGATCCCCCAGATCACCTACCTCGGCTTCAGCGCCGAGACGGGCGAGCTGAGCGACAACCACGACATTATCTCGGTGCAGGCCAAGAACCTCTACACGTCGCAGGCCGGCAAGAGCAACAGCAAGACGACCCCCGGTAGCGGCAAGAAGGGATCCTCGATCAAGAAGGAGAGCGGTGGCAGCAGCTGGACGTGGACCTTTTTCAAGATCTTCCTCTTCTTTGGCGTCCTCGGCGGCGGTTACGTCGGCTACACTGCCTGGAGGGCGAAGAACGACAAGAGACATCGTTTCTAAGGTGCGAAGATTGAAAACGACTGGCGAAGCGGGGTTTATTTGCAAGGAGATCGAAAAAAAGGGGGGGGGGGGGGGGGTTTCAACAGTTGGGTGGATTGAGAAAATGACTGACCGTACATACCAAAACAACACCAACTCACATCTTTTTGCATGGGTAGGCCAAGGGGTCGGGAAATCGAGTTTCTATGGTTACCCGTTTGCTCTCACTCATGTTTCTTACGTTTTTGTCTAACGAATAACTCGGTGTGAGATGAATTCAAGTGTAATATACGACGGTTAGCCGGTGAACGGAGCGCGCATGTGGAACATCCCATGTCCGCAATATATGATGACGAGACTGGGCAGATCCAGAAGCTGGTCCGACGGGAATGCTAGACGCAAGCTCAAGAGGAATGGCTTCCAGTCTCACTGACACACCGGCACGGGTTAGGAGACCAGAGGACATTGGGGGGAACCCCGCTGGAGAGACCGCCAAGTGAAAGGCTAGTTAAGGTAGGTGGATATCGAGTCCGGAGGGCCCTCGGCGCAATGGCTGATCTTACCATCTGGACTGAGCGGACGGAATGGCCGAGAGGGGAATGTGCTTATTTGGTTGTCTTTGATAGTTTGATATCAAGGTGTTGGCCCCAAGCACCAGCGGGCGGCGGGGTACGCTCAAAGATTCGCAGATTCGCAAGACCTCGAGACTACCGACGAACGCTGCGTAGGGCGGGCCCCGATTTCGTATGTGTCACCGGTTGCGTCCGCCGCTGAACGGAACGGACTGCTCAGAGGGCAAGGAGCTGGGAGGATGTGGGAGGCTGGAGAGAGAAGTGCCGCCGGGGGCGGTTTGCTCTGCCGTTCCCGGCGCGCCTGGAATCGGGGGGAGGGGGTAGTTCGTCATTGGACGGACGTGGAATGCACGTTGGCCCGAGGTTCCGGGGCGGGTGGGTGGTACTACTAGGTGAATGGGGCCCGTGAAAGCTCAGATGGAATCCCAGCTCGCATGTCGTCCTAGCTTCGCGGTCTCGACCGCCTCTATGTGGCTGTGGAGGGAGAAGTAGGCGGGAGCGGTCTTTCTTGGCCGCTTGGCTCATTTCACGAACCGTCGAGCTTGCCTGCAGAGATGCGATGATAACAAAAACAACAACATGCGGAGCGAACGTAAGTGAGCGCTTGGCGAGACTCTGCGAGGAAGGGCCGCACGCATAGTCATTGGCAAAACTACACCCAGGAGGCGGGTTGAGATTTGGGTACGGTAGGGGGATGGGGGAATGAAGGAGGATGACGGTAGCGGCAGCGCGGGTTTGGACCCGCAGAGGTGCTATGGTTTCTGTTTTGGAAAGGGACGATGGCTGACGAGTGCGGCATCACCCGTCTTTGGGGAGGGAGAGAGACGGTCGGGAACGCGAGGGCGAGGGCGAGGGATCTGACATGGTACACCTCAGAGTGAGCTCAATGGGAGGGGGCGGAAGGATTGATCTTGTGAATATTCAACAAGTCTTGTTACAGTCTGGACATAGCGCTGGTGGTCGTGCTCGAGTGAGGCAGAGAAGCTGTCTAGGGTACGTATTTTTCTTCTTCTTTTTCTTGCTTCGAGGTACGGAGTACAAAGTACCTATCCAGGTATGCCGGTAGTGTACGACGTAAAGTAAAGGATGAGATGAAAGGTACCCTGCGTCTCTCTCATACCTTTCCCACTATTTCAGGTGAGGTTACAATGGGAAATGCACATCACTGGTTTTTGGGGTACAGGTAGAATGCCAGAGCAATTTGGTCGGCGGCCAGAGACTAACCCTATTTAGAAGGCACTGCCACCACCGCCACTTCCACCGCCACTACAACCACCGCCCTTTTTGCCGTAAATCCACTATCGCTAATAAACGCCTACGTTGCCTAAGATTAAGCCCTTATATCTAACCTTTAAAGAGTACTAGTAGCATATATAAATTTACTATTATAATAAAGGTATTACTCTTTAATTAAATAGGTTATATAATATAGTAAATTTTTAAATTAATTACAGCTGTTGCCTCTATTTTATTTTAACTTTAAATTACTTAAATCTGAGGAGTTTTTAACTTTGTGTAACTTTCTGAATCCTGGCCTTGTCATTGGTCAGTTAAGTCGGAATATTGTTTTTGCTGGCGCTGACATAATATCTTCTGAAATAGGCTTAACCCACTGGCCGCCGACCAAATTGCTCTGGCATTCTACCTGTACCCGGTTTTTGAATCCGTATGGAACGAGGGATCGGCCAGCTCAGCACTAGCTGCAGCAAGCAGATAGTCTGTCCTGTCACTGGGCAGTCCTGCGATCTCTTTTCTTATTCCCATCTTTCCTTTCCTTTCCCTACGTCGTTCCAGCGTTGAGCGCTGGAGGCGGGCCTTGCGCCAGTGGGGTGGATTCTGGGCTTCTGGCTACCACGCCAAGGTACCTCATACATGGTCGTAGGTAGTTGGGCAGGCCACCTAGTAGGTACTTAGCTCCAGGGCAGTGAGCATCATGGACCCCGCGCCTTTACATCACCGCTTTGTGAACTTGGTCGCGATGCGGCAGATGGAAGAATGAGGAGGACTCTACACTAAAAGTGGTGGTTTTGCCTGGCGCGACTGGTTTTGCCCAATTCAGGCTCGGGTTCGATGCCGAGAGCAAGTCCCTGTCCCCCGTCTCTGCGTGCTACACAGTACTGTCAATCAGTCAGCCATCTAGTGGCCCCATCGAAAGATCCAGGTCGTGTTACTTTGGCTTTGCCCCTACCCCACCGCCGCTAGGCCTCTTTTGTTAGTACCTAGTCCGTATACCTACCAAGATGCTTTGGTGGTCGATCGCGGTGGAAGCAGCAGCAGGATGCAGGGGCAGCAATTTGTTGGTAGCTTCAGAGCAACCATGTCTACCTGTACGGGTGGGCATGCTTCAAGTACCTAATCGCATCTGAGGATGCCCTAGTGACCAAGTCACTGTCAGACCTTACTGCGTACCTCGAGCCATTGACTGATCTGGCATGTGCCGTCGGGTTGCTTGTTTTGGCGCGGTCGACCGAGCGAGAACGGTAATTACCACATCATCATCATCAACGTGTTCGACGCACGCTCTCTGTCTCCGTGTCCAGCCCTCTCGAAACGTAGTATTGCTAGGGACTGGATCTCCTTCTTGGCTTTCGCCCTCAGCAGGCGTCTGGTCTCCCCTCCCATTGGACGGTACCGTACGGATGTTGCAGTCGACTGCGTCGTCGCCTTCCTTCCCTGCCCATGCCGTTCCCGTCTAAACGCGGGCGTCAAACCAGACTGAACCACTTCCGCCTCCACCCACTTTGCGCACGGCCAGAAGCTCCCCCACCGTCGTTCCCCTCCCACCCCTCCTCCGGTGCCGTATCCGTACGCAGAGACTCAGAGACGCAAGCCGCAGACGCAGACGCAGACAGCAATTGAGGCAAGGTAGCTCTCTATTTGCCTAACTACCTACCTACCTCCCTCCAATCAACCCTTCGCTGCATACTACATCATCATCGACCTCAGCTTCCATCGGCCACGCCATCGCTCTTTTTTTCCGGTCTTTCTCTCTCTCTCTCGTCTAGCGTTTCCACCCTTCTCCCCAGGTTCTGTCCTTCCAACCTTCTTTCAACCGCCCCATCTCGGACATCTCTAGCTTACTGACAAACCCATACCAAGCTTCTAGGTGTCATCTACAAAGCCCAATTGATCGCTACAAGCCCGCGAGGTTACCGTTTAATCTTCCCCGTCCCCATCCTGTCCCCATTTATAGGGTGTGCAACGACTCAGTCACCTCCGTGCCCCCTCGCACATCACCCATACAGAGTAACATATCCCATATCCCTTACCCAGCTGGCACTTCCCCGAGCCCCTCAGACGCTGACACAGACGCAGTCGCCGCTGTCGATCGAACCGACTGCCACTGCCACTGTCACTTCCGACTGGGAGACAGGAAGGAGGAAAGGCAACGAACGACTCAACATCCTACCTTGTCCGTCCTTACGAGACCTTCTGTGACTTCCTTCAAGGAGAAGGGGACCCCCGAAAGGAAAAGGTGCCAGCTTTCGAACCGGTTGTAAGTTCTTCCCTTTCACCCTCCATTCCATCCGGCGCCCGCCCGCTCCCACACCCCCCAGTTCTGCTCTCGGCCATATTCTTCTTCTCGTCCCTTCTGCTTTGTTTGTTGCGCCTGGCTGCCCTCGCTTTTTTTTGGCCTAGCCAGCGTCAAGCAAATAGACGCTCCCGTTCCTCCCATTCTGCCGTCTGCGAGGATCCCATCACCACCTACCTGACCTTACCCTGTTGCCGACTGGCCGGTTGCTTGCATCTTGATAGTACCCCTCGACACTTTTACGTCTTTTCCCCCCAATTGCAAGAGCTTCCCGTCACCCTTTGACGGCCTTTCTCCCCTCCCTTCCTTTTCTCCCCTAGAGGCTACGTCAAATTGGCACTATTGTTCCTGACGGCAATAGGCGCGGCTTTCCCACTGGATTTGCGGCAGCCAGAGGAGAAGCACAACTCTGCTTTCCCCGCGCTCCTCTTTTTGCTCAATTCGCTAATCACCTCACCCCCGAAAGAACTCTTGGCCCAACCGGGCTGTTCCTTGAACCGACGAATCACTTTGCGACCGTTCCTACCCCCCGTAACCCAACTGCAAACGTCGTGGGCCCCAACCTACGCATATACGCATCCGTCATTTTCTCAAGGGGCACGCTGCCCTTCTTCTCTCTTCCGACTTTCATATGCCTACCCTCGGCTTTCTCAAGAAAAAAAGGACGAGGGAGGGCAATCAAGACCCTCAAGGCGGCTCCAGTCAACCCACCAGCCCGGTAACGCCTACCTCCTCGAAGCCCTTCGACAGCTCCATCTCGACCACCATCTCCTCACTGTCCTCTAGCCCTCAACACGGGCTGAAGCAAAGCGACGACTCGGCCTCGTCCGAGGCGGCGAAGCAGCAGCAGCAGATGTATCCTGTCACTGTCCACCCGCCCAATCAGCCAGCAGCTCACCAACCGTACTACAATCAGCAAGCTGGATCGCAACATCATATCCCAAGTATCAACAACCTAATCAACTCCACGCAACAAGACGCTTCGAACAACGGCCACAACTACCTAGCGCAGCCGTCCCAACCCTCCCAGCCAAACCCGAGCTCTGGAACCGATTCCGCGCGACTCCAACAACAGCAAGCCCAATCAATGCTACACCCGCCGCTGCAGCAACAACAACAACAACAACAGCAACAGCAACAGCTGCAGAAGCAGTTCGGCATGCAGCAACAAGCAGCGGACCAGCAGGTCCGTCAGACCAAGGGGAAATACACGTTGACCGACTTTGATATCCTGCGGACGCTAGGAACTGGTAGTTTTGGAAGAGTGCATCTGGTGCAGTCGAAGCACAACCAGCGCTTCTATGCCGTCAAGGTACTGAAGAAGGCGCAGGTCGTCAAGATGAAGCAGGTTGAGCACACCAATGACGAGAGGAAGATGCTGGGCGAGGTCAAACACCCGTTCCTGATCACGTTATGGGGCACGTTCCAAGATTCCAAGAATCTGTATATGGTGATGGACTTTGTCGAAGGCGGTGAGCTGTTTTCGTTGCTGAGGAAATCTGGGGTACGTGCAGTTTTATGTGTCTCTCGCCCTCCCCCGTCGCCGTCCGAGCTGACCCGGCTTTCCCTACTTGTAGCGCTTCCCCAACCCTGTTGCGAAGTTTTATGCCGCCGAAGTCACGTTAGCGCTCGAATACATGCATTCGAGAAACATCATCTACAGAGATCTCAAACCCGAGAACCTGCTGCTCGACCGGCATGGGCACCTTAAGATAACAGATTTTGGTTTCGCCAAGCGCGTGCCGGACAAGACGTGGACGCTTTGCGGCACCCCCGACTACCTGGCGCCTGAGGTCGTTTCGAACAAGGGTTACAACAAATCCGTAGACTGGTAGGGTTTCCTTCGGCCGGGGCATGATGTGATGATATACCAGCAAATGTTGACCCCCTGTCGCAGGTGGTCTCTTGGGATCTTGATATACGAGATGCTGTGCGGGTACACGCCGTTTTGGGACAGCGGGTCGCCGATGAAGATCTACGAAAACATCCTCAAGGGCAAGGTGAAATACCCTGCCTACATCAACCCGGATGCGCAGGATCTACTGGAGAAGCTGATCACGGCGGATCTCACCAAGCGGCTGGGTAACCTGTACGCCGGTCCAAACGATGTCAAGAACCACCCGTGGTTCGCGGAGGTTACGTGGGACAGACTGGCCCGCAAGGACATCGATGCACCCTACACGCCCCCGGTCAAGGCCGGCGCGGGTGACGCGAGCCAGTTCGATAGATACCCAGAAGATCCCGAACGATACGGCTCAGCCGGACATGACGAGTGGGTGTCCCTTGAATGGGCGATCCTGAGTGCAGCTAACGTGACGCTTCAGATACGGCCATCTATTCAACGACTTCTAATTTTTCTCTCGAAAGACATGTTGAGTTGCGACACAGGGAGTGTGTATTTGCATGCTCCGGTCTGCGAGCAGTGTTTGAATAGTATAATGCGCTTGGCCGACCCCGGAGGTGTTGATATTGGCGTCTGCACTGTTTTGGGCGTCCGGCCGACGGTTTGGAAAAACGGTATGGAAGGCAACGACGGGGGTCGTTGGGCGATGGCTCGAACAGTCCTGGAAAGATGGAAAGGTGCAATGAGAGCAGACTTCTTACCGTATTCCTTGGTTACATCAATACCTAACAACAATTATATTACCAAGTTACTGCCGGGCAAGCAAGCAGGAGGGTGAGAATCGCGGCTTGAAGGGGTCGACATTGGTTCCATGGGTCTGTCAGGCGTGGGACTTGGCGGATGATGGCCATGGCGATACAACGGGAAATGACGGGCCTCATCTGATATTTTACAGCATATCTGGAATGCACGAAGTGCGAGTAATTCATTTTGATTTATATTTCATTCCTTTATTGGTTGCCTTGAGATGCTCTCACTTCTCCTACCCGAGATGAATTCAATCGGCCGGTCCCTTCAGCTATTGGTGTTGACCATTACGCTGCCCCCACGTGGGTGAGCTTAGAGTTCGAACAAGCTCCAGAAGGCTCCCCCTCCTTATCCGAGCCTATCAATGCACAAAGAAACAGCGGTTCGTTCTGGCGGTGACAGGGCATAGTGCGGGGATTATTGGCTAGGGCGGCGGAACGACGGCCTTGACTCCTCTTTACTGTACGAGATCTAACTCTAGGCGGGCCCCCCAGGACCTTCAAGCTTTCTGGTCATTTGGTAGGCGATATGAGAGCCCGCTTGAGAAAACCCGTCCCCTGCTTAGGCTCGGTCAGACCAAAAAAGCACGCTGTAACAAGGTGAAGATGGGACCCCAGCTGACAACGAGCGGTTTCATTGTGTATGGATGTCTCGGCCAATTGCACCACGGTTGTATTTGCAGGTTGCATGATCCAGTCGAATAGGCCGGGACTGGACCCTAGGCCCCGGCATGGCCCGCTGCATTCGGAGCAGACATGGTGCAAAGTCACGGGGCTGGGCGGCTTATGAAAGGAGCCCGTCTGGGGGGCCATGAAGTCGGCCTGCAGGAACCTCCAAAACTCTGCTTTTCCTTCTCTTTTCCTTGCCGGTATAGCCTTGTAATTGTTGCTGTTGTTCTCCCTCTCCCGAAGTCGAGCCCGAAGTCGAAGAAAAGTTTCAGGTTGCGTTTCCCCCCCGGCCATTGACACACTGTTGGTTCGATCGGTAATAGCCCACGATGGACGACTACATGTTCCGCGAGCATGTCAGCAAGTGCCGCCAAGTCTCGGAGGCGACGCACTATGTTGAGATTCTCAACTATTCTGTGAGTTTTCAAGGAGCCACACACCTTTCACTCAACTCTGCGCAAAGGGCGGGACGGAATGGATGGGCGGACGGGTCCCAGGCGCGGGAGCGCGGTCTCATTGAACCCAGACTAAACCCAATTGACTTTCAGGACCCTTTCTACAATTCGTGCGAGGAGCACCCCCTGACCATGGATGAGTTTGACAACTTCCTCTACCGACGGGTAAGTACCATGGCCTGTGTGACAAACGACACGGCCACGGCATTTCGTGAGAGGCTCACGACGAGAATTGGGTTGGCTAACCACCCCGATTTGTCCAGGGCGCGTTCGAGCCGGCAAAGGTCAAGGAGGGCGTCAAACTGCTCAACGGCATCCGATTAGTGTGAGCAAACTCTCATGGGAGAAAAACGCCACTGTTCTTATGAAAGCTCATCAACTGACACATCGACAGACTCCAAAAGAACGCCAAGCACAAGGATACATTCGCTCCGCACACAATCTCCTTCACGGCAGATGCCTACGAGTCCATGGTCCGCGTCATGCGGCTGCCCTTCAGAGCCATCGAGGGCACCAGCGTTGTCGGACCGTTTTTCTGGTGCGCCTACGATCAGGATGACGATGATCCCACTCTCCGTCGGTGTTACCTGTGCCTTGGCCCAATGACTTGCAAATACTGACCAGCCGTCGCAGAAATCATCTTCCGCAAGTCCGACGTCCGCAAAAAGGGCAAGACGCGCGGGTGGGAGATCATGCTCTCGTACTGCTTCAGCACCGGCATCACGTCAGGCTTCGTCAAGGGCACGCCGAGCTCCGACATCGTGAGCGCGATTCAGCACCTGACGTTCTGCGCGCGGCAGGTGGGCCACCCGATGCTACTGCCCACCATCATCCTCTCGCACGATCTGTCGTCGCATAACGACCAGAAGCAGCGCGACGCGCGGGACTGGCTGCGCAAGCTCGAGCATGCCGTCAGCATGCGCAACGAGATCGAGGACGAGGAGGGCTACGTCAGCAAGGACGGGTACCTCGAGGTCGACGCCATCAGCCGCGACCTCGTCGAGTGCCACAGTCAGGTGCTATGGAAGCGGCCGCAGGCGTACCTGGAGATTGTCAAGGAGATGGAGGCCGGGCTGGAGAAGTTCAAGAAAAAGGTGCCCGTCGAGCACCTCCCGTCGGAGCTGGACAAGCTGCACCGGAGCATGATTGCCAGGCTGGACTTCTACCGGCTGAAGCTCAAGGGTATCGAGAATTACCAGGCGACGACGTTGGAAAGGCTTCACATTCAGCGGAGCGCGGTATGTTTTGGTTTTCTTTTGTCTCAGGACGTCCCACCTGACTTGTGCGCGGGATGCTGACGGCCGAGGCCAGCTGTACAACCTGCTCTCCCAGCGGGAGTCAAAGATTCAGTTCCAGATGGCCGGTGAGCAGCGCAGGCTGGCGCACGCTAGCAAGCGCGATAGTACGGCGATGAAGACCATCTCGCTGCTCGGTGCCGTGTTCCTGCCGGGAACATTCCTCGCGTCCGTCTTCAGCATGACTTTCTTCGACTTCGGAAAGGGTAAGTCCAAGCCCACTTGTGTCTTGATATCCGCAGCCCGGACACAAACCCTAGCGTTGCTGAGTACCGTGCCTAACCCTGGGGACAGATGCGGATCCGGTCATCTCCAAGGATCTCTGGGTGTACTTCGCCATCACGATACCGCTAACGATCGCAATCGTCGTTGGGTGGATCCTGTTCGATCGGCGGCGCGAGGGCAAGTTCGCCTCCGAGGACGCGGACCTGGAGAAGAACATTGAGCACATGGAGGCGGACATCATGGCCATGATGCGGAAGCGGACGATGAGTAAGGCCAATACATGGACGTCGGTCACGTCGCCCATAAGACCATGAATCCATTCCGTGATTCAGGCGACGCGAGGGTTGTAAGAGACGAGTGCGACGGGGCGCGGAGCACGCCCTAGTGTGGAAGAAAAGAAAAAACCTACGAGAGGTGCGGGATTCTAGCATTCAGATGAAGAAGGTGGGCAAATGGTGGGTGGATATGTACATAAGACCTATCGCTATCACGCCTTACGACCTGATGACATTTATGACCTAGCTATATATATATATGTATATATGACAAACCAGCGACTTTTGATATTGTTCCTTGGCATAAACGAAAACTGGCTGCATGAGCGGGTCCCCCTCTCGTTCGCGGCTCGGGTCGAGTTGCGGGAAGAAGTCAGCCAGGATGAAGGTGATAATGAGCACGAGTATGAGCCCCGTCCCACTCGAACCGGTGTGGGCCGCTCCTGGCTCTGGGATGTTCATGCTCATGCTCGGGGGAGGCAGTAAGGCAATGGATGACCAATTTGTTAATTGACATGCTGCCAGGATATCAAAATAACTCAACCACAGCCCGCGGGCTCGCAAAGATGTTCGCTGCAGCCGCTTTCGGTTGCCCATGTAGAGGTAAACAGTAATAAAAGAGGGCTCGAAAAAGGGATGGTAGTTAGCAGGAGCAGGACATAAGAAACGGCACTAAAATGAGGGGTGAATGGTGGGGGGGGCTGTTTCTCGGTACAATGCTATCGATAAGAGAGGGCTGCTTTCCCAGGGGTCCGTCAGACGCCCCTGGGCTGGACTGGGCTTTCCTTACCGCCAGAACGAAAGAAGACCCTGTGACGACATCCCACAGAATCGGGGGCAGACCGGGGGCCGGGACAGCTCACGCCGCACCCCCCCCCCCGTTACTCTGGAAGCTGGAAGCTGCCACCAAAGAGCTATCGTACCAGCAGCCCCTGAGGCAACCACTCAGTGGCTTCTGTGCCCCCCTTGCCAAGCTGAAACTTACTGGATCGCCGGTTTCCCTTTTTATTTTTGAATGGGAGGCTGCGGGCCAAAACAAGATTGTCTGCCCCTCTCACTCTGCCTCTACCGAAGCTGTGGTAGCTTGGCGAACTGACGTACGGGGACATCCCGCCCACATATACCAGCTCGGGACAGCGAGCCGAGAGCATAGCACGTCCACCTGTATAGCTCGACCTACCTACCTACCTACGTTGGGCTTTACACATCTGGTATCCCAAGCTCACGCCACCAGCGCCCAGTGGCTGATCTGATACCAACGTACGACACGCGGATCGCATCTCGTAGCCTAGCTTGCATCAGCCATCTTACCTTTTTTGGACCATCTAGTTTCCCTCCTTTTCCTCCATCGAGTCAACTCTCAGTCGCTCCCGTCACACTCACTCGGCACTCACAACCCTCACCACCTCATGACATCGGCATCGCCAACCATGGCAGACACATCAACCCAGCCCGCGGCCGTCACGGCCAGCACCGACACAGTACCGCCTCTCCAGGCCCAGGCTGGCGGCGGCGCCAGCGAGTCGCAGCGCACCGTCAAGGCGTTCAACGACTCCGTCATCAAGTACCTAAACAGGGTATTCAGCATCCATGCCGGCCAGGCCGACCATAAGTGGCACAAGGAGCAAATCGCCTCCTTTGTGAAGTCTGTCCAGGGCGAGGAGACGCCTGCTTGTCTTACGGCAGGAACCAATGCCGCTGCCGACGCCCCGGAGGAGCTTGACTTTCACGGCTTCCTCAGCTACATGGCCTCCTCGGCTTCAGCCGCCACTGCCCCAGCCCGGGAGCAAGACCTGACCTACCCGCTTTCGAGCTACTTCATCAGCTCCAGTCACAACACCTATCTCACGGGAAACCAGCTGTACAGTGATTCGAGCACCGACGCGTACAAGAACGTACTGCTTCGGGGATGCAGGTGCATCGAGATCGACGTCTGGGACGGCGACGATTCGGATAATGAGGAAGGCACCTCCGTCAGCAGCAGTGACGAGGAGGTCGCTGCCGGCGCGGTGGCGGATGCGCCGAAGCCTCGGAAGGAGAAGCGGAGCAAGCTCCAGATGCTCAAGGATAAGATGCCGGGGTCTCTCGCAAGCAAATTGGAGAAGACGTCGCTGGGGAAGAAGATGGATGAGAGGATCGAAAGGTCCATCAGCCCGCCGGCAGAGACCGCCACGGCTCCGGCTCCGCCCGCGGCCGTGGGGCAACAGACAGTAGCAGCCGGTTCGGGGACGCTGCAGAAGACCCCCTCACCGAGATACCACCCCATCGAGCCCCAGGTCTTCCACGGCTACACGCTCACCAAGGAGGTGCCCTTCAGGCGCGTCTGCGAGACGATCCGCGACTATGGCTTCGTGGCGGCCGACACGCCGCTCGTCGTCAGTCTCGAGGTGCACTGCAGCGCCGAGCAGCAGGAGATCATGGTGCAGATCATGGAGGACACGTGGAAGGGCCTGCTGGTCCCGACGCCCGATGTCGACGCCGATGAGCTACCCCGCCCCGCGGATCTCCTGGGCAAGATCCTCGTCAAGGTAAAGTATGCCCCGCCGACGGGCCCCGAGACGGACACACCAGGCGACGACGTCGAGGACGACAACGCGTCGCCGTCGCCGTCACCATCGCCGCCGGCGGACCCGGCGAATAAGAAGCCCGCGGCCGCCAAGACAAAGCCGAGCAAGATTATCCAGGCGCTCAGCAGGCTGGGGGTCTACACGCGCGGCGTGTCGTTCAAGTCGCTGACGCAGCCCGAGGCCACGATGCCGACGCACATTTTCTCGTTGTCGGAGAAGGGGGTCATGGAAGTGCACGAGAAGCAGGGGGCGGAGCTCTTCCACCACAATCGGCACTTCCTGATGCGCGCGTACCCGTCCGGCTTGCGGATCGGGAGCTCGAACCTCGACGCCCCTGTGTTCTGGCGCCGCGGTATCCAGATAGTGGCCCTGAACTGGCAAAACTGGGATGAGGGGATGATGCTCAACGAGGCCATGTTTGCTGGCACGCGCGGTTACGTCCTGAAGCCCGAGGGTACGTCCACCTTTGTTGAGGTTCAATTCCGTCATACGAAGACTACGAACGTTTTGTGCTGACTACTACCGAAAAGGATACCGCTGCCCCAAAGCAGGTTCGCCCCCCGACACGGCGCAGGGCGTCCCGCAGATCGACTACAAGACGCTGGACCTCAAGATCGACATCCTGGCGGCCCAGAACCTACCACTCCCGCCCGGCGACACCAAGATCAAGGGGTTCAAGCCCTACGTCAAGGTCGAGATCCACGTCGAGTCGCCCGAGGAGCGGCTCCCCGGGGCGCACATCAAGGACGACGGCCGCGAGCGCGAGGGCGCGTACAAGGCCAAGACCAAGTCGAACCGCGGCGTCGACCCAGACTTTGAGGGCGAGGCTCTGCAGTTCACGGGCGTTCCGGGGGTGGTGGAGGAGCTAACGTTTGTGCGGTTCACCGTTAGAGACGACGAGATCGGGCGCGACGACATGGCGGCATGGGCGGCCATGCGGCTGGACCGGCTGCGGCCCGGGTACCGCTTCGTGCACCTCATGGACTGCGAGGGGCGGCTGACGGAGGGCGCTATCTTGGTGAGGGTTACCAAGAAGTTGTCCTAGATGTTCGGGGTGGGCGGGTGTATGTGGATGTCTCCTCTTCTTTCCCTACCTAGGTCGCATCGGGCAGTTTCAGGGGTCGAACCGTTTTCATAGCGTATAGCATTAAAAGCATCAGTTCTAATAGCGTCACCCATTACTTGGCACTCTTTTTCCTTTTTTTTTCCATCAGGTGTGTGCGTGTGTGTGTGGTTCAATAATTATTATTTCATTCAGAGCTCGCTAGCAGGCAACCAAAACATTAATCACACATATGGCTCATCGGACCGCCGACGACACGCGGACTCCGGTGTGTTTCGCCTAGTAGTCGTTGCTGTTGCCGTAGCCGGCGTTCTCCCGCTTCGCCTGGCCCTTGGACTCGAGCTTGTCGCTGCCCAGGAGGTCGCCGGCCTTCTCGAGCACCTTGCCGAACTTGCTGTCGCCCTTTCCGCCGCCGCTACTACCGCCGTACGAGTCGTTGTCGGCGTTGCTGCTGCCGTAGGCGTCGTTGTCGCGGCGGTTGGAGGAGGAGCCGTACGAGTCCGAGTTGTCGTTTTCACGGCGGGTGGTGGACGAGCCGTAGCTGGTGTCGTTTTCCCCGAGGGAAGAGCCGTAGCCCGTGGCGCCCGAGGAGCCATAGCTGTCCTCGTTGCCGCGGCGGGTGGTGGAGGAACCGTAGGTGCCGTCGTTGCCGCTGCGGCCTAGACCGGAGGAGCCGTACGAGTCGTCGTCGTCGCGACGATTAGTGGACGAGCCGTAGCTGTCGGAGACGTCGTTGTCGTAGGTACGGCCGCCGTTCTGCGAGGCGTTATAGGAAAGGGAGTCGGCGCCGGCCAGGTTGGAAGAGGTGGAGGAGTCGAAGGCGGAGGAGCCCGTCTTGCGGGAGGAGCCGTACGAGTCCTCGTCGTCATTGCCCCGGCGGGTGGTGGAGGAACCGTAGCTGTCCTCGTTGCCGCTGCGGCCTAGACCGGAGGAGCCGTACGAGTCGTTGTCGTCGCGGGTGGAGGAGCCGTACGAGTCCGAGGTGTTGTTGTCACGGCGGTTGGAGGAGCCGTAGCTATCCTCGTTGTCGTTGCGGGAGGAGCCGTAGCCCGTGGTGCCAGAGGTGCCGTAGCTGTCCTCGTTGTCCCTGCGGGAGGAACCGTAGTTGGACTGGAGGCGTGTTAGTCACCGGCTTCGAGCTGTAGGGGGGAGCAGGAAACAGGGGCGTATCACTCACGTCGTCGTTGCCGCCGTAAGACATGTTTACTGGTAGGATATGTGGCTTCGGGGTATGGTTGTGTGTAAGTGGACTCGGGAGGATGGCAATGGTTACGATGATGAGGAAGAGGAGAAGATGAGGCAAGGCCAAGAGAGCGTGGAACGAAACCGAGGGGATTGATGGGTATTTAACAAAACACGGACTTGTCTGGGAGTCATGTCACAATGCCAGTCTCGCTCTCACATGCGTTGGGCTCTGCTTGCCTGAGAGTTACGCTCATCCTTCAAATGCCCTTGACCTCCCCCCGATCGACAAGGTAGTAGCCCATCGAGAAGAGGGTCGCACGCTAGCAAGATGCAGGTTTACGCCATGTCTGGAACCCCCTCCTTCCAACTCGTCGTCGGATTGGAGGTGGTAGACGACGGGCAGGGAAAGCTTGGTGTGGTAGTCGCCGCGAACCGGGCTTCCCTTCATGGTACCGTGCCGAGCCACAAGCGAAAGGGTTCAAGGAGACCCTGATGATCCCCTGGGCGAAGACATGTGTATGTGTGCGTGCGCGCTGATGGAAAGACGGCAACAACGACATTGGCCCGGCCCAATGCAAATTGACGCAAGGCAACAATATTTACGTCCCGGCGACAGACAAGAAAAACAGGGCAATCTCTGGATGTTGTCGGGAATGGAAAAGAGCAGGTAAACAGCATCGCCATGGCGAAACGGGCAACCCCCCCCCAGTCCACCGAAATGTCGTCATACCGGGTACGTCGTGCACACCCCCAGATGGTGTCACCGCATCAGTTGTCCCAGCATCTCGAATGCCTTGCTTGCGTTGGCAGGAAAGCAGCCAGTTTGTGTATGTGTGAGTGTGGCACGCCATCGACCGGTTGTAGCGTACCAGTAGCGCAGTTGTTCGTGCCAAGGAAAACCTGATTTGGACAACTTACGTTCCCTCGCGGGGGAGCTGGCGGATGGGACGAATCGGGCGCGCTGGATGCCACGGAGAGCAAGAAAGCTACCATGGCTCCGGCGCCGACCCAATCCAGTGGTGGTGCTGGGAGATGGGTCGGCCTGGACACCGAACTGCTGCGGTCCCCCAGGTTGCCTACCGGTCCAGAGGCGACCCACCAGCCCAGCTTGACAGGGGGATGCTTGCGCGCGCGTTTGACGTGCCCGGGCAAGCTTCCAACAACCCATCACCAGAAGCTGTCAAACCGCACCTCCACGTGCGCAGACCGACTCGACGACCCCGCATGGGAGCTCCGGCCTGGCAGAATTGCCCAACCAGGAGGAAGTGCATTCAACCCGGTCAAGGAGCGTGGCTCTGGGAACAGGTACGGGATGTGTGGTTGGAACTGTTGGGATCTCGATGCGGTGAGGCACCGGGCTGACATCTACCTCTTGATGGTTGCAGCTCCTCATGAGGGAGTCCCTGATTAGCTAGATGAAGGGGAGAGAATCGGGGTGCTCCGGGTCTATCCATATCGAGCACCGTCGACCCGGGTTCTGCCATCGTATTCTCTCCCTCGAAGCTGCCGAGTACGTACGGTGTAAGCTTCCTGGACAAGTGACACACCTGTGAGACCGCCGCTCTGCGAGAACCTGCCCCGATGATATCACAGTAGTCGGTAACCTTCCCCTCGGCTATGGCCGGACAGCAACTGCAACATGCACGCAGGTGTGTAAGTCAACACTCGCCGCTTGGTACGGACATTGTCGTGTAAGAGGACGGGAAACAGTTGATACAGCACCAAGCATTCCTCAACCCAATGCGTCGTCAAGGTTATCAACAGGCCTTAGGACGGCCTCCCTTCCCTTCTCTATACGCCGATTTTTTTATTTTTTCAATTTTATTTTTATTTTTTTAGTATCTGTTCCATTGGCAACGGCGAAAATCGGTGTGACACGACATGAGACAGCACAGCAAAACCAGACGCAAGAGCAGAGTCGCCTCGCTCATGTAGACACGCAACATCGGCTGAGGGAGGTCTTACTGCAGATATATAAACGACCCCCCGAATTTGTCCACAAATGAAGCAAACGGCTTCAGAGCTCGAGATGACTGTTTAGCGAGTACCCAGACCACACCTAATATGAACTTTGTATCGTCTTGCGAGAACCGTGGCCACGCCACTGCGAACCAGCCCAACCGGACCTCGCCGATGGTGACTGACGACTCAAGCGGGGGGGACAGTGTAGAGCAATACCGCTGTAGGCTCTCATTTCCGAAGGACCAACGCACATATCTATGTTGGACTCTCTTGTCGTCTCTCAAGGCCGCACTGACCCCCCTCTCGTCTTCGTATACCTTGGAGTATATAGGTCGAAGACAATGACCGACGACGCAAGGTATGAAGCAGCCAGCCACTTGGGTTCTAGCAACGCGATTCGGAAACCCCGGACCTGGCAACCCGTCTTCCATCATGCCGCGCGAGATTGGCTGAGAATGCATTGGCATTGGCTCGGCTCGGTTGAAGAACCAGAACGCCTGGTCTTTGCAGAGATCACACGCGTACCACCCCACGGCGGCGGCGTCAGGGGCGCGGCTGTCGTCTCACCAAACCATGCCTTGCAGTGTTCCCCCTCCTATGCCACGGCGTCAACGGTGTCCGATGGCAAATACACAAGTTCGCGCCGGTCAGTTTGTGCGACGGGGACGTCGCGAAGACAGTCGCTTTGCTGCTTTTAGTTTTCACTCAGCCGCAGTAGCCCGAGCCTGCTCACCGTAAGACCGCTTCCAGTAATGCGGGCCAGGAGATATCCTGTCAGAGCACGCATGTTGAGGCTAGCACGAGAATGCTTCGTTGTCTTTGCAGCATCTCACGATGCATTGGACGCCAAGTTCACCTCCCATGTCTCTGACGGATGCAGCTTTACAGGCAAGAACGTGTTTGAAAGATTGCGTATGCCGCCCCAGGGCGGCTAGTCACTGCGTCTTGTGAAAACCGTTTCATTGCCGATGTTTGTACCGCTATACTGGTACGAGTTGAATATACACAGCGTCCCGAGGCCTACCCGTCCATCGACCCGATCAGATACCTTTGTTGTTAGGAAGCGTCTTCCTTCCACTATCCCCGTTTCAACTCAAACCGATACACTAGTCGCTGCACTTACGACAGCTATAATAAAACGGGACTGGTGGGCCCAAATATGTGAGAAGTGACATCCCTTACACAACGGGGTGACGTATCATAATCGCATGATCATGGCCTCGCCGCTTGCCGTGGCGAGTTGCAACAAATAAAACGTCTTTTTAGAATCTGGCTCCATCTCGATCGTTCAGCAGCTCCGAAAGAAAAAAAAAAAAAGTCATCAATACCCGGCCGGCTCAGGTTTGGCCGGGAAAGCGGAAGCGTTGGCATTCATGCGGCATTGGTCTCTCCAGCTGACAGGTGTGTATTTGTCGACGATGGACTTGAAGGCGGCCTAGTCACATGTCAATTATCTCCCGTTTGGGTAGCATAGCATAAGAGGTGAGGATTTACCAGAGTGCAGAAAGATTCGTCATTTTCAAGGTGGTTGCCAGGGGTTTTGCAGCCGGGGATCGTCACTGGCGCGTCGTTGTACCGCAACCTCACATAGTACCCGTCCAGCTTGTCCTTTTCGGCATCGGTTAGCTCGGGCATTGCCTTACGGCCAATGCCAGGCGGCGCAGTTCCCGGCGACGGGGCGCTAGCCCGACCGAAAGAGAACCACGAGCTGAACCAGCTGCCGTTCTTGGGGGCCGGCACAGCCGGTAGCTCGGTCGAGGTCTCCACCGCGGGAACCCGAGCATCACGGAACATCTCAACGGCGATGTGGCTCGTAAAGGGAGGCCACTGGCCTGGGCCCAAGGCCCCCAAGCTGGCCAGCACACCGGCCAGTGTCGTGTCATGACAACCGCTCATTCCAAACCGGATGGGTCTAGGGGCAGTGCCTGACTGCTTGATTTCGTACTCTCCGTCCGCCGGGGTGTGTTCCATGCTGCCAACCATGCGAGCCACAACGTCGCCCATTAGGCCTCCTATACCGAGTGTGCGATATTCCTGACTCTCTGCGTATCCGCCATACCATTCTTCCACGCCAATCCTCTCGATGATAGCAATGGCCTTGGGATCGTAGAATTCAGAGGGCAGCTTCGTCTGGGGACCGTGCGCGCGGGTGGCGTTGATTGTGTCCATGATGCCGCTTAACCGAGGCTTCGAGTCTACAGCGATGCGTGCTCCGTTGGGCATCCACTTACCGAGCTTCTTATTGAGATAGTCCATTTCTGGAGTGTTGTTCCATCGCTCGGCAGCGCGCTGGGCAAAGGCACGCGAGAGGGCAGCAAAACGGCGGCAGTTGCCATCATTGGGAAACAGTGTCTCGTCCTGAGGGGCTCGGGTGAGGATGGTGAGAGGGGGAAGGCCGGGTGCTCGGTGGGTCGCCGGGTACAGGCCAGATAAGGCCTGTTGTAGTGACTCGAGGGCCCGAGGAACCGGGGTGGATCGGAGGTAGAGAGACTCGGCGCTGGTAAGGTTGGCGGGTAGGAAGCTCAGGCGATCGACGTAGAGATGGCGGAGACGGCGCCCAAGGTCGCGCGTGGTTTCCCGCCCGCGGTCCGTGAGCATGCCCATGTCACAGATGTCGTCAAGCTCGGCATTCGGGCCGGCAGCGATGATTGGACTGTCATCGTCGGAACCAAAGGTTTCCAGACGGCGCTTCCAGTCGAGGTAGGAGTATTCGCCAGTGTCCGGGTCAAGGATGGCGGATCGAAGGTGGCGGACGGCACGGCAGTAGGGCCAGTAGGGCGGGAGGCCGGTGTTCTGGAAACGAGGCGCGACGGGAGTTCGCTCGCCGTGGCGTAGGAGGATCTGCACGAGTTGTAGCTTAAGGTGTGGAGGGTAGAGCTGGCGCAACTCGGCATCGGTGTAAGGTTGGCGAGGTTCAAGGGTAGTCATAGCTTCGGAGGTTATATGTGGCTCTCGGACGGATTGAGTTGGAGATCAGTGAGCGGGGAGGAATATGGTGTGAGACAAGGTCGGAGAATACGCGAGAGGAAAGTAGGGTGGAAGCTCGGGAAACAGGATGGCTCTTGGGATGAAGACGACAGAAGAGGAGTGTGAAGACACAGCTCAAGAAGCGTTGGCTGCTGCCGCTCCAGGAGTGCCAGGAGAAGCTACTTGAAGGAGCTGGGGAGTTACGTTTGATACGGCAGGTGGTCTCGGCCAGAGACAGGACCTGCGCTACCTAGCCTGGAGATATCTCGGGTACCTTGGGAAGCAGTGCGAGACGATGTGTAGGTGGTACAGGCACAGGTTTCGTTTCGCGGGGGTGATGAGCAAGGGTTCAACGTTCGAAGGCCAAGCCAAGCAGTGGTGTAGAGGTACGGATACTGTTGTAGTCGCGCGCGATACGGAGTAGAGGCTTTGGTTTGGCGGCTGGGCCCCTGCAATGATGACGATACAAACTCGCGCTGGCGGGGCATAGGTATGTACAGTGCAATTCGTGGGGGCGACAGGGTCTCTTATTGGGACAGCACCTCGCTCGACAGCTGTCAGAAGCACTGAGAATGCACTAGTGTACACTCTACTGCACTAGGTATGTACGAAGTACGTAGTGGTACGGAGACTTGTACCTACCTCTTTTGGAGACTGGCACTGACGGAGGCTTAAAAAAAGAAAGAAAAAAAAAGAAAGGAAAAGGAAAGAAAAACGCAGTGGACCGTCCGTGAGCGGTGTCCAGCGCGTATCGTAGCGTCGGGAACGTGCCTCGCGCTGCCGGGCACGTTTTGAATTGCTGTATCGGCCCAACAGGTCAGACAGACTCTGGAACCACAAGAGAACGTTTGAGCAGGGCCCAATCCGATCCTCAGAGCCTCAAGCTTGTAGGTTTGAGCTTTCCATCAGGCCATTCGCCCGAGCTTAAACCACTTTTACCAGCTAACACCTAACATGGGCCATGGCGACCTTGGGATAAGCTTGCCAAATGCGCCGACGGTGCGCGCGACTGCACCGACCCATATCTATGCACTATTGTTTGAACCAACCGGATCTCACCTTTCCTCTGGCCCACTCCATGAGATTGGCATGGCATACCGCTATGTAATTGCGTACTGTAGTTCTTGCGATCTACGCTACGCTACTCAGTACACTACACTGCATTCACTCCATTGATTACGTCAACTCTTTTCTTTGGGAGGTGTATCTCCATATCTCCACCTCAGCTGAGCGCATCGAAGAAAACCAAGAAAACCGACCAGCTCAGCTGAGCCGAGTCGATCGACATGGTCCATGCCGGATCATCGGATGCCGTACGCCCGTAGCTGCCGGTCGGTGATGTGCGATGTAGGTACTGGGCCAATAGGGCTCTTTCCAATTGGTAGCTCAGACTACCTAAGTGGGTTTGGAGCTAGCCCCGCTAGCACATGTGATTGATTATGTCAGTGGCAGAAACAAGAGGAAAGGGAAACTTGGGAGGAAAAGCTCCCGGTGACTAACTGACGCCCTGACTGACGTATCCGCATACCAAAAACGTTCGAATGGGCACCTCTCGGCCAATGAATCGCTGCCCAAGTATGGGAGATGCTCCATTGCGATTGAATCGGGGAAAAAAAAAAAAAGCCTTCCTCTCTCACTTCTTCCTTTGCCTTGCTTGCTCTCTTCCATAGAACGGCGCTCACTGCGCCGGTTTTTTTGAGCCTCGCCTTGGCAAAAAAAAAAAAAAAAAAAGGACGGCCCCGCATGGCATGGCAATGTCGAGCGCGGGAGGACGACAAGTGGAATGAACACCGCCGCATTCGACATTTGGCAGCAGCCTGAAAGCCCGAGCCATTTACTTTCGCAGTCCACTGTACTGTACGAAGTACGATGTACGATGTACGACCGAGGAAGGGTGCCCCCTGCTCTCGGACGAAGGAGGCGCAGCTCTGTGCACATCACACTTCTGGCTCTCTACCGCCGTAATCCCTACTCGGCGGGAAGACATCAGCAAGCTTCCCTTCCATGCTTCTAGTCCTTGTGTTGGTTATCCACTCTCTTGAATTGATGAGATTGGTACCTTGCCGTGGACACTTTTCTGTCATGGCACTTGCCCAAGTACGCACGCACGCACGCACGCACACGCCAGAGGCAGGAACAAGTGGGCACACGTGGATTAGCATATTGTACACGTCCATGCTGGCCTTACTACGTCGCAGCATACCTACCTACGTAGGTAAGGTACTATCCAACGGTCTTTTTCTCTTATTATCTACCTGGTGCCCCATGGGATCTAGGTCGTCACATCCAATTCCGCCTTTTCCTCCCTCTAGATCGGGACATTGTATTGAATCATCGGCCTCGCCTCATCACCTCAAACCCAAAGCATCAACCAACCTAAGAGACACTCACCCCCCGACCTCAACAAACAGCTTCCTTCTTCTCCTCTAGTTTACTGGGTCACATCCCCCTTGACCCAGCTCTCCCCCGGATTCTTCAGACCCCTTCTTTGATTGCGCCTTCGGTTCCGGCCTCTTATTCAGGCCATTATCCCGCATTTGCCTCGGTGTGCTGGTCGGTGTCCACTATCGTGTCCCCCAAAAGAGGATACGGAGCATGTGCCATTGAGCTAATCCCCGGAACTTCCGGCTGCTAATTGCAACCTCTTTATATTTCACCTTGCAATCCTCTGCTTTTCACATACTTCTGTACGTACGGCGTTCGGCTCGCAATGGGTGCCCTGTCTCAAAAAGAAGGCGTCACCGTGAGACGGAGTTCGCCGCCGCCTGCTCTTGAAATAATACCGTCCGAAGACCCTGTGTACGGTGACGATGATCAAGATGACGCCCAAACGGTTATGCAGCCCGCCCTGAACGTTGTTGCCGCCCGTCTTACGCTGCCACAAACGACTGCCGCCGAGAGAGCTGCTGCGCTGGAAAGAAAAAGATCTTCCGGTAACATCTTTGAATCCGGTCCCTCGAGCGGCGATGATTCTGCCAGCTCGCCAGAATTGACACCTTTCCCCGACGAGATCCCTACCAACTTCGAGACGGAGCCAGAACTGCGGATTACCCCAGCGCCACCTCGCAGGAGACAATCCCAAAAACTTCAGAAGCCGAAGCCTGTCCCAAGAGACTTGCCATCGCCCTGGCAATCGAGTCCGAGGAACGCCTTCTTCGGCGGCGGAGATGGCGGGCCGACCAAGACCGCTCTCGAGTCTGCATCCGTCAGTCAGACAAGGCATAAGCGTTCTTCTTCCACCGGGGCCGACGCCCTCAAGAAGTTCTCCAATGCCTTCTCCTCCTTTCCGGCGCCTTCTGCAATCTTCAACTCTTTGTCGTTTTTCACCGCGGCCGCTGAGAGAGCCGAGCCAAGGTCGCCAATGGACCGGCGGAGGGCAGCACAGTCTCAAGGCGGGCGGTCGTTGATCAATTTGGCCCCTATGTCCAGCGGTGCCAACGGGTTCCCTCGAGCGCAAACCATGGTCCAAGACGCGTCCGGGAACCGCCCGTCCATTTCTTCAGGAAGACATTCCACCACAAGACCTCGCGTACTAAGAAAGGTTACTTCGGATGACTCGCTCCTGTACCACTCTTTGTCCCGTACGTCTTCGATCGGTGATGACGATGGCAGGTTTGATCATGTCAGGGAAATGGCAAATGTGAGAGTGAAGGCAATCAGAGACAGTCTACCTGAGAGACCCACATTTAAGATGCCCAGTTTACCCAAGCTGGGTTCCTCACTGAAGCTGAACGAGGACGGAATGGGCAAAGCAGTGCCCGAAGCCCCCGCGCCAAAAGTTGATAACGATGCATCTTCCACCCTGGACAGAGTTCTGGAGACTTTGACCGGAGACATAGTCATTCTCGGCGGATATCGAGGTTCGATCCTGCGATCGGCGGAGCCTCCCCACCACCAGCTATGGGCTCCTGTCAAGGTCGGACTCAACATGAGGAAAGTCGACCTGGAGGTAGGCCTGGATCCCGAAGACGAAGAAACGATGGAGAAGCGCATCATCCCGTCAGGCATGTTGCAGAACATTGGCCCCATTGACATCTCGAGGAAGTTGTTCAAGAAGATCGGTGCCTGCGAGAACGTTCGGAAAGGGAAGCTGCGTTTGTGGGATTACGGCTATGACTGGAGACTAAGTCCTCATTTACTGTCTCGAAAGATGATTGAGTTTTTGGAAAAGCTCCCGTCAAACCAACCGGACTCCAAGGAGCCTAGAGGCGCACTGGTTCTGGCACACAGTCTCGGAGGTCTCATCACTCGCCACGTCGTCAACCAGAGGCCAGATCTTTTCTCTGGTGTGGTATACGTTGGCACCCCGCAACGGTGTATCAACATCCTGGGACCCCTGAGGGACGGCGATGCGGTTCTCTTGAACGAGAAGATCTTGACTGCGCAGGTTAACTTCTCACTCAGGACCACATTCGTCTTCCTTCCCGAGGACGGCTTCTGCTTCGTCAACAAAGACACGAAGGAGGAGTACAAGATCGATTTCCACGATGTCAATGACTGGATCAAATACCGCCTCACGCCCTGCATCGAGCCCCCGTTACCGCCACTGGCCCCCAAGGAGAAATCGACAACCTTGGGGTCTCTTTTATCGGTCCGTAGTCGTAGCTCAAGCGAGAAGAAGCAGAACCACGTGCTCCCGCCATCGCTCGCCGACGCAGCCCGCAGAGCAGAGCTGGCCCACGAAGGAAACATGAACCCGCAGATCGACGGCCACGTTCCTCGCAACCCGGCATCCAACAGCAAGCCGTCACCGTTCACCAAAGGGTCACCTGCGACACTAACGCCCGCCAAACGCGCCAGGAACCTCGCCTACCTCGAGCGAGTCCTGGCCGAAGTCAAGCAGTTCCGCGCCGAGACCCAGTTCAACCCAGCCCTCTCGGAAGCCAACGCCTACCCGCCTTTCGGCGTCATCTACGGCAAGGAGGTTCCGACTGTTCACTCCGTCAAGGTTGCGAGCCGCGAGGCCATTGCCCACCAGGGCGCCTACGACGACCTCGTCTTTCGCGCCGGTGACGGCGTGGTCCTCGCACGCGAGGCGCAGCTGCCCGAGGGATACGAGCTGGTGCGCGGCGGGCGTGTCAGCACCGAGCGCGGGCATTTGACCATGCTCGGTGACATGCCTGCCGTCGGCAGGGCGCTGGAGGCTGTTGTTCGCGGCCGACGAAAGGGTATCGGCCTGGGAAACGCGATGAAAGCAAACGGCCGGGAGAGGAGTGTCATTAGAGCCTAGAAGGTTTTCATCCGGCGGTTTAGGGCTTCGCCCAGCTGATCAGACGTAGCACCCGCCACCAGCGCGCCGAAGATGGCGTGGGACCACCGTGCCCAAGTGCTGGCGTCTCCACGTAGCATCAAATTTGTACAATGATAGACTGTAGCAGCGGAATTACGAGCATGGGTTTTCTGTTGAGGCCCCCTTTAAACCCCCGAAACTTGCAGCGGCCAACCTTTTTTTTGGCACCTCGTCAACGAGCGTCACTGCCGCGACGGATGCTACGATAAGAAGCAAGTGTTTCTCGCATCTTCTGATGCAGCTGTGCTCGGGCGAGAACCTGTCCCTGCGGAAGCGCGATGACGAGCACGCACATGAATGCCGCCGCCGGTCCCCGAAGCGCTTTGCTTGACTGCAGCAGGGGTAGCAGCATACGCAGATGCAGCATGCAGGGATACACATCCACGCATGCAGGGCCGAAGCGGATCTGGGCGGGAATCACGATTGCAGTCGTCCGAGCCCGATTGTAGAATACTTGCTTAGACCGTGCCAAAATCGGAGAGAGAGAGAGAGAGAGAGAGAGAGAGAGAGAGAGAGAGAGCAGGGGGGAAAAAAAAGGAAAAAAGATGGCTGAGCACCAAGTGAACATTAAGGACGTATGCGGGTGAAGATGTAACTCATATCGCAAGGTTTCTGACAGCCATGCTTACAAAATTGTCCGTTTCTTCCGTACTTCGGTGACCAACGTTACGTTGCGTATAACGAGCTGGAGAGGGCATATTCATTATCCGCCATCCTTGCCTCCCCCTAATAAAGCCATGCAAGAACGCCGCCGCCGTAAGCCCGTGCTGGTGATCAAGGCAAATCGTACAAAAGCCATTAGCTAATACTCAAAATCATCGTCCGCCGCGGGACCCTTGCTCTTGGCCACGCTCTCCTGCTTGCGATACATCTCGGCCACCTGGCGACTCGACGTGGCCTCGTCGGGCTTCTTGTCGTCGCGCACCTTGATGAACCGCGGGAATCGCAGACTGATGCCCTTCTCGCCGCCCGGGTCGACACCTTCCTTGGACCCGGCTTTGTAGCGCGGGCTGAGCGTCAGATCTGCCGTCTTGACCTCCCAGACGTAACGCGGCTCGAACCACACATCGGGCTGATGTTGCCCGCCCGAGGAGTGTGCGTAAAACGGTTTGGGCCGGTCAATGACTATGTCCGAGAGCTGCTTGTGTAGCTCCTCTAGAACAGCCTCGGAAAATCCTGTGCCAATGTTACACACAGTTTCATATGAATCGGACGAAGGATTGTAACACGCGAGCAGGAACGCGCCGTAGACGGATGTACGTTTGCCTCTGCCGTAGTATGCACCCAGCACGACAAGATCGAGCGAGTCGCCGATGCCGCTGAGGTAATCCTTTTTTATCTAGGGGGTTTGCGGTCAGCACACGTGGAGATCATCGACACAAACTGCTCTTATGGGCGGGGTCAAAGCAGCTTACCTTGAGCCAGTTCCGGCTTCTCTTGCTGGGCTCGTATCCGCTCTCTGTGCCGTCCAACATCTTGACCATCAGACCCTCGCAGGATGCCTTAACGCTCTCGTCGAGGAACTCCTGAATCTGCTCCAGCTCTTGTCCGTTCATGTGCGTCGCGAAGGAGAACTCGCCCTCCACTGGTTCGAAAGCATTCTCAAGAAGCTCGCGGCGTTCTCGAAGTGACTTCTCGACGATGGCCTCTCCGTTGAGATAGAGCAGATCAAAGGCAAACACGCACACCTTGACCTTGACATCCTCAATCTTGACATCCTTCTTCTTGCGAGTCATCAGTTGCTGGAAAGGCAAGACCTTCTTCTCATCGACATCCCAGGCAACTGTCTCGCAATCCAGAACAAAGCTCTTTGTGTCTGCTTTGACCCAGGTGTGTAGCTTGGCGAGGATATCAGGGTATTTCTTAGAAAGGTCCTCGGAATTCCGAGAAAATATGGAAGCAACTCCATCTGCCGCAGACTTGGCAGCTCCCGGCAAAGATTGGCTGATCTCCTCGTCCGCAGACTTGGCTACGTAGTGGATCTGGGCTCTTTCACCATCGTACTTGTACTCACAGGTGAAGGTCTGGTTCTCGAAGCGGTCCAGTACCTCAGTAATGGCCTTTGTTGGCTTGGCCAACATTGGCTTAAGAGGCACCCCGGGCTTGAGCTTGCAATGCTGCCGCAGGTTCATGATACCGTGATTCACCATGGCGGGTATGATGACATCGTAGCTCGGGAGCTCACTACTCTGGATCAGCGCCGCACTAAGGCGGAAATATAAGAAAGGGCATACCTATACACCGTTTTGAGGATGGCCTCTGCCTGCTCCACGTCCGTGGTTTTGGGCACTTGACCCTTGGCATCCGCCTCATGGAAAACCACAGCTTGAGCTAGAGAGACGAGGACAGTCCTCTCGGCCAAACCCAACCGCAGCTTACCCTCGAGGAATCGGACGAGATATTTCGCTTCGCTGGGACCTCCCTTGTCCTTGCTGATGTCCACCTTTCCAGAGGAACGGGAGTCGGCTGCCGACAGCAGCTTTTTGATGGCATCCACCTTGCGACCCTGAGCGCCGTTGCCGGAAACAGTGGCGATGCCCATTAGGCCATTGTGCACACCCCTGATTGTGAGGGCTTTAGGCTTGAACATGGTGGGTTGTGTTGATCTACTCTTGACAGCGACAAGGCCGAGATCTCCGATCTCTTTCTGATCCTGCTTGATGACAGCAAGACTGCGACCTGTCGTCTCGCCAATGGCCTTCATGATGAGAGACTCGCCAATGCCTAGCTCAATACCAGCATAATCAGGAGCTAGTTTGTTGATCATGAGCAGGACGGTGGGGAGAAGATCATCAGGGGTCAGACGCAGAACCTGTCGAAGGAACAGCGAGCAATGAGCCATGATCTCAAGTCGCTTGGTCGTAAGCTCAATGAGGGAGAAGGTAGTGCACAGCGCAGCGTATGGAACTGGTTCGCCTGGTTTCCAGTCGGGGTATGGGTCCTTGGTCTGCGTCTTGAGCTTCATCTGTACCACCTCCAGTGTCTTCTTCGACACTGCAGGCTTGGTATCGTCTTGGTCATCGTCGACCACGTCATCTTCCGATGCGGACTCTGTTACCTCCTCTTCTTCGTCCCTGACGGCCGGCACAGGGGAGGGAGACTTGGAGACTTTCTTCGAAGGAGGCGCCTTGGGTGCGTTAGGTTTTGCCTTAGCAATCGTAGATTTCAAAGGGCTGCTCTTTCTGGCTGTCGACGCCTTAGGTGATGTTGCAGGTGACTTGGCTGGAGCTTCGTCCATCAGTTCGTCCTCGTCCTCCTCAATTACACGTTTGCGAGTTCGCCGAGGTCTCTTGGTGGCAGGTTCGTCCTCATCGTCCTCCTCGACAACCTCAGTCTTGACTTTCGGACCTGATGCCGTGACAGCGGGACTCGGGCTTCTGGTGCGTTTCCTAGGCTCTGCACAAGACTAGTTAGCGAGATGCTTCAAATACTGAACAATATTCAGACATACTGTTTGCGGCCTTTTCTGTCTTAACAGCAGCTACTTCCGGAGGAGTATCGGCCTCCTTCTTAACCTCCTTCTTCGGTGCTGGCTTGGTGGCGAAGCTTAGTTTGCTCTGCTGCGGTTCGGGCTTGGATCCTTTCGCGCCGAAGAACTTGCTGTAGCAATTGTCAGCAGACAATCTCAACTACCACAAAGTAACGAAGAAGACAAGGCTTCAAAGCATGCATGGTGGTCTGAGGAAATTGCCCTTGTACACACCCCAACGTCGTCTGCGAGGGCTTGACGTACCCTAATGTGGCCTGCTTCGGTGCCATTGTAACAATGGGTCGGCTGTAAGGAGTGAAGAATCGAGTATCGATGCGAGAAGCGGCCCTGAGTGCGTTCCTGCGAGGAATTGAACTGCTTAAAAGGCGAGAGCAGGCCATGAAGGTTGTCGGGTGACTATGCGGATGCTTGACGCGCCAGGCAGGCGCGTTGCCATTAATTGAGCCTGCCGCGACGCGAGCGAGACCCACTAAATTTAGGCAGGTAACTAACTACAGTAGGCAGTTATCTGATATGCACTAATTGGGTTTAATATGGAGTACATACTCGACAGGAACGAAAATGCGGTGCACTACTAATTATCTACCGACATGTCGAATTGCACCTCACGCCAATTACACAAGTAGGAACAGACTTTGTTCAGGCAGGAGGATATCTGCAGATTCCGGCCATATTCAGATTGTGACCACTTCACCCTCTCTAGCTAGTAGGTATTGTACAATAGGACAGAAAGGCTTAAGAGACAATTATTCGTCATCAGGAAGACATTTACTGGAAGTAGTAGGTCTCATCAGGGGTGCGGCCGCGGATGAACTGGGGCTCAGTGCCGGGAACATAGATGTCCTCGTAGAGGATCTTGGGGGTGGTGTCGGGGACGGGCATAGCCTCGGCGGCGGCGACCTCCTCGTTGACGAAGCTGCGGGCCTCCTTGTCGATGGTCTTGAGCTCATCCTCAGTGACAACCCCCCAGTCGATGATCTTCTGCTTGAGTCCGGCAATGGGGTCGTTGGTGGAACGCATGCGCTGGATCTCCTCACGGGTACGGTAGGTGGTACCAGGGTCGGACATGGAGTGACCACCGTACCGGTAGGTAACGTACTCAAGGACGAGGGGTCCGTTCTCGGCAACAGTGTATTCCTTTCCGTACTTGACGGCAGCCTTGACGGCGAGGACATCCATGCCGTTAACCTTCAGACCGGGAATGTACTGACCACGCTTGTAGTAGTCCGTCAGAGCAGAAGAGCGGGCGGCAGCAGTACCCATGCCGTATTTGTTGTCTGGCAGAACGATTAGCCTGACACGTCAATTGACTTTCGGCAACTTCAAAACTTACTCTCGCATCCGAACAGAGCGGGCAGGTTCCAGAGCTTGGCCATGTTGAAAGCCTCAAAGACCTGACCCTGGTTGCTGGCGCCGTCACCGTACAAGATGACGGAAGCGTTCTTGCGGCCATTGTACTTGTGGGCAAAAGCAAGACCGGCGCCGACGGGCACCTGCGCACCGACAATGCCGTTACCGCCATAAAAGCCCTTGGCGAACATGTGCATGGAGCCTCCCTTGCCGTACGAGATACCCTCGCGACGACCGAGAAGCTCTCCGATGATGGAACGAACGGTACCACCGCGCATGTAAGCGAAACCGTGGCAACGGTAGGCGGTGATCACGTCATCCTCGCGGTTGAGAGCGTGTTCAATACCAACGGCAACAGCCTCCTGACCGGTAGACAAGTGGCAGAAACCGCGGATCTTCTTCTCCTTGTACAATCGGTCGGCAGCCATCTCAAGTTGTCTACGCGTGGTCAATTATCGAATTCTCATTGCAATGTCCCTCCGCAGAGAGTATCTTGCCATACCTGACAACAACCATATCCTTGTAAATCTGCTTCAGCTCCTTCTTCGTAACATCAAGAGTGTACGGCGGGGGGTCGAGCTGGTACGTCTCGAAGCTCTCATCGCTCAGGGTAATCTGGAAAGGCTCCTCTTCGGACTAGAACAATGCACGTTAGCAATGCGCAATTGAAGTGTTGATCATGTCCGGGAGATCGTTGTTATCGCGGCACCTCCGATGGTGGCGGCAGAAAAAAGAGCGCACACTGACCTGCGGGACTCCCTTCTCCAGGGTTGCCGAAGCAGCGTTGGTGGTGACAGACCGGGTCGAAGCAACAAGAGAGACGGGGGTGCGAGTGCGCAGAGGCACCGCTCGGTTTAACCTGATCGCGCGAGAGAACATCGTGGGGGTGGTGGTGATGGAGCCTCCGGACGATGAGGGTGAGAAGGGTTCGGGGGAAGGAGGGTGATAACAAATTATTTGGTCGCTGGAGCTCCGAAAAATCGCGGCGTTGGTTGGGAAGGGAGCTGCTGCTTGTTGAAAACTACTAGTCCCAATATGGCTAGTACGTATTCACGTGACTCTGCCTCAACGGGATCTGGGTGGTGTGCGCTTTGGATTGTAGCGACATTGGCGGGCCCGACTTTCACCGGTCGGTCCTTTTTTTCTCTCGGCGCCCCCCATTGAGTTCCAGTTCAGTGGACTGGCAGAGCGACCTTCGGAGATAAATAAAATGACCAAAACGGACAATGACGGCCAATCGCCGCATACACTCAAAACCCGTACAGGGCAATAAAAACACATTGAGGTATACGGGCACCGTACGGAGTACCTTTTGTTTATATGCTACCCCCGGCTGACATTTCAGTCATGATCAAACCATCACTTGCCCTAACACTCCAGACCATCATACCCTATCACACCACCGCAGTTACATCGGTGATCTCGCGCATCCTGTTCATCAACAATTGCTTTGATGTGGTATACAGCTCACTAGACGTTACCACGGGGTATATTAAAAAGCGGCCGGGCTGACCGCATGCACGTAGTTGGGCAACGCTTACGCCCTGAGCCCGTCGTGACCGCCCGCCCCAGTTGCCGTGCCGTGTAGACCCTCGAATAAAGCTTTCTTCCCAATGCTGTCAAATCCATGCTGGCCACCCTTTCAAATGCATACGATGCTTCCAGACCAACGCCAAAAGACGACGCCTCTGTCTCTGCGAGCACCCTCCATTTATGCCCGCTAGCGCCTCGAAGACGGACAAGCTATGCCAAGCAGCGCTGGTATCATCAACAATCGTGGGCGCAGCGCCTTGTTAACTCTCCGAGAGTAAAAGCGCGCATAGTGCAAATGCACTCAAGGTCTGCCTCAGTGTGATGCTCACCGCCAGTCGAGCCCCAAGGTTACGCCTCCGTAGATCCCGGCTACGGAAGTTTATTCAGTCATCATGGAAAAACGTCTTGTTCCCGCCCTGGAGTGGAGCCGTGGATGGTCCAGCGTCTCTCATGTCCACATCCTGGCTTCCGGCGGCTTCTCGACTAGGACCTGCGACTGTCGGTTGTGGTTGTCTGTAATCGAGTTGCATGGCACTCATCGGCCGATTGGGTGCCTCTTGCAAAGCACGCTGTTGAAGAGAGAGCGGACGGTCGTAGAGAACGTCCTCGGGCGGGGAGAACGACCAGACCTAAGACGTACGTGATTAGAAACCAAGCAGGCGTACTGAGTTACCAAAGTGAACTCTCTTACCTCCATTACTGTACGATTTTGTCGCAAAGCTAGCGCCACGCACTTTTCGTCTTCAAAAGCTACCCTCCAGACGGCCTCACCTTGAGCAATGAGCTCCCGAACAAGGTGGCCTGTCTTCAAGTCCCAGATCTTAACTCTACCGTCGCTGCCACCACTGACAACCCGCGTATCGTCGAATTGCAAGCTGGTCACGCTGTTATCGTGTGCAGCAAGTCGATGAATGGGGCACATCTTCTCCAGTGACCAGACTCGTACTGAACCATCAGAGCCGCCAGTCACGAGAGTATCTCCACGCATCTGCAGCTGACCAACGAGGGACGTGTGGCCCTGAAGGATGGCCAAGCACTCACTGGACCAGTTTAGCATACCGACGCTCACGATAGCACAATGTGAAGAGCACTTACGCTGTTCTGGGATCCCAGATTCGGACATTGGTATCCAGGCTGCCAGTCACCACCCTCTTGCCGTCGAACGCGATGGCATAAATCTGGCTAAAGTGGCCCTGAAGCGTCTGAATGCAGCGGCCCTCCGAAATGCTCCAAACCTTGGCCATAGTGTCGTAGCTGCCAGAGACGACGATGTCCCCTTTGATTTCGAGGCATCGGACGCTGGCGCCGTGGCCAACAAGGACATTCCTGCACAACCCGGTCCGAATATCCCATACTCGAAGCGTCGTATCGCGCGAGCCCGATATTGCCGTGTTTGCGTCAGACATTTTTAAGCAGCGAACTGTTGAAGTGTGGCCACGAAGAGTATGAAGGCAGGCACTATGCATGTTAGTATCTTCAAAATAGCACCGAAGTCGTTGTTTGCTTACCCCGTGGCCAGATTCCACACTCGCACATCGCGATCGCATCCACCACTGACCAAGATGTCATCCCAAGGGACCATCGCCCATACACCCATGACATGGCCCTGCAAAGTACGTTGCTGATTGCCCTTTGTGTCGAATACATGGATCTTGGCATTATCAAGAGCCACAATGATGTATTTGGGCGTTAGATGCAGGCTCGTGACAACACCTCCCTCTTGTGTGATGTTCCTGGTTGTGCTGGTGCCGCCAGATCTCCAAGCTGCCTCCACAAGATACCGTTGCTTGAAATGTGACTTGTAGGATCTCATCTTGGGACGCGCGTTTCCGGCACCATCCAGACTGCGAGACCCTGAAGCATGAGCCGTCATTGGCAGGGCTCCCGGGAAACTGTTGCTGGCGTAATCATCCCCCCATAGATGTTGTGTTCCAGGTCGCAATCCACTTCCCATCGACGTTGAGACCTCAGACAGACGCCTACCGTAGTCATGCTTTACGCAAAGATTCTTCCACGTCATATCATCGCTCAACAGGTCTCGCCACCTTCTGGACACTTGCGAGGCACGGGCCAGCACCTTGGGATCGTCGATAAAGGAGAGGATCTAGTGCAAATTTGTCAGTACCAAATTGCCATCAGCTGGGGTTTGGAAATCCAAAAATCTTACGCGTAGGCACAGCTCATCGGGAAGACTCGTGAACGGATCTTTCTTTAGTAGAGGGCTAACGAACTGATGGACGAAGCTCAACTGTTGACTTGTGCAAAGATTCAACAGGTCGGCCAAGAGACGGGTACGGTGAGGACCACCGGAGTTCTTGAAATGATGACGGACTTTGGCCAGAAAGAAATCCTCGTCGTCGGCGGCATCGCTCCAGTCGAGCTGACGGTGTGAGGGACCGGGAGAGGCTGCTGGCGTGGGCGGAGGAGGCGGAGAGCCGGTCAACTGCTGATCGAAGTCTGCAGCAGGAGTGGACATGCTGGGGGTTGGTGGACCCCTCATATGTCCTGGTCTCTGGGGCATCTTCTCAAGCTTCGTGCTGCTAGAGGCTCCGCCGGTGTTCAGCGTCATGTCGTCGCTAAGCATGCTCCCTCTTCTTTCGGAGAAACTCAATGGTCTGTTGTTGTACCCGGCCATGTCGGGGTGTGACGAAGGACGATCGAACTTGGACAGCCTCGAGGTCGTGAATAACGTGGATATTTGGGATAGCGATCGCGAGTTCCTGGGCAATAGGGTGTGGCGGCAGGGGCTACTGGCGTGTTGAGACCAGTTCAGGTGTCTGAAGTCGCTACCGGGCCGTTCATTAAACAGCCAAAAGGTCAGGGGTCGACCTTTGACAGACACGAAATTCCGTGAGGAAGCGCAACTGGAGGGGCTTGCGATATGAGGTGGCGACAATGTGTTGTGGGCAGGAACTGAAAGGCCTTATGAAGCAGCGAAGCGCGTCGGTCGTTGGGGATCAATGAGGCGACTATTTCAGGTTTAATTATCTTGGATGACGACGATGACTCCGGCGAGGCGGCAGCGGCGTGGTAGGACTGTTTCGTACGAAATAAGACGGTGCGATGGAACGTCTCCCGTAGGAAAGGGGGCGACGCTGTTGATTAGAAAACGTGGAGTTGGTCGGTTCCTGGTTGAGGGCTGGGACGAGCAGAGTAGGAGGATACGGCGGCGCTGCAGGATGGTGTACCGTGGTATGGGGCCAGCGGGAGACGGGAAGCTTAACAATCGGAGGTGTTGAGCGGAAAGCGTGGGTCGTTTGGGCCTTGTAGTGTGGAATGCACAGGGCGAATCACAATGGAAAGTGGATTGTTCGATGGTGTCGGAAGATTTCGCTTGATTGACGCCCAAATGTCTTTCGCACCTCCCTGCAATTCACTGTCTCGCGTCGCTGGTGGTTGTCGTCGAAGGGCAGCGAGGAGTAGACAGTGTGTAGGGCGGATTTGGGAATTCGGGAGCAGTGAAGAAGGGAAGAGGGGTGGCAGACAGGCTAGGGCAAACGAGGTAAGGAATGGAAGGCACTGATGAGTCTCCTGGCGGGTATGGGGGTTTGGGGGTAGATTGGGTTGTGAGATAATGGGCCAGGGAAGGAAGGAAAGGGAATTGGCAAAAGGACCAAGATCCAGGGGGGCCAATGAGCAACAGCGTGAGAGTTGAGTAGGTACATAAAGCGAGGTCAAGAGAGAGAGAGAGTCAAGTCCAGACACAAAGACACACGGTGCCTGGTCATAGACGGGAAATAAACCAAGCCAAGCAGAGGCGGAGTCGGTGGGCGGCCCTTGTTTTCAGGGAAGAGAAAGGTGCAGGGTGAAAGACGGGAAGGAGGGAGAGGAAGGGGAAGGGGGTGGGCGGACAGGACGAGACTGCACTAACTACACAGGTAGTGCGTCGAAGAAGGCCTGGGCTCCAGGCGATGTGGGCGGAGGATGGAACTGGGGGCAAGTGCCACACAGGTCACTATGCATACACTTTTCTTTGTCTTCGTGCCGACTTTTTTGCATTTCACACGCACATCACGGAGAGGGGCGAGGCGAGGAGATGGGCTACAGTAGGTAAAACTACCTGAAGGACAAGGAGGAAGAGGAACAGGCCGAGGAAGGAGGCGAAAACTGGGGACGATGCTATAGCGTTGTAAGAGCCCGTGACAGATAATTGATCTTAGCGCATATGGCAAAGCCTGGGCCGTCCGTACCTTCTGACCCAATCCTCACTTTGTTCGTGGTACGTACCTCGATCAAGTACCTATCCTCGTACTTCGGGGTTCCTACAACAACACTCAACATGCGGCCTACAACCAGTCCGACTCGGCAGCAGAAGAACTACCTAGAGAAGCAAACCGTCGTCTTAACTTGAAGCATACGGATGCGTTACTACGCAATCACACACCGCTTCCCACGCTTCCTAAGCCAACCATCCGTCAGCATCACCTTTCCCGCGTCCCTGAGGATTACTCAGACACCGATGAAGAGGCTCAGACTTGTGATTCCCAAAAAAATCAGAATTTTGTTCTGGGCCCCCTCATCTAGCACTGTTTCGTTGTTGACGAGACGCCTGCGCTACGGCACCTTTCACACCCTCCATCACAATGCTGGCATCTGCCACTTTGGCCGACCTGACGATCTGAGTTCCCAATGCAAGGTATTGATTGACCAACACACGAATATCTCTACGATGCAGGGACAATGACCTCTTTTCTTCTATTGCACACTATACTACATGGAAAGGACGGGACTCGCATTCTGCTCAGCATTCGCCCCCGGCAAACTCCACCCGCCTTGATTTGTTCCTATTCGGCTGGGGGAACAACACGGAATAGCCCCCGGCTCTAGGGCGGGAGCCAAGCAAGGCCCGCAAGCGTCCGTCCCCCGACCTCAAACCCCCTAACCATCATTGTATGAGAAGACAGTTGACGTTTGGCTGCCGACAGAGGCATGGGTGCCGTCAAAAGGCAAATTATCTCTAACAATGCAGCAGCGAGTCAACGCTGTTGTATGAAGGCTGCCTGGCATGTTTATGAAAGTATTGGCACTGTTTGCATACCCAAGTCAGGCGGTGCATGATGTGCTCCGTCAACACTATCTACAGCCGAATTTGGTTGTCGCTCGCTCCCCTCGGTCCGGCTATCAAACCATTCGCATGCAATTCGAGTATTTCCATTCCCCAACTCCTGGGTCTATTGTCTGTATGATGCTAGCTATAAGCAGCCGGAAAGGGGTCTCACATTTCTGCTGTTTCTGCAATTATGAAGGGCAAATATATCTGTCTTCCGGGAGGGCCTGCAGGGTCCGAGTTAGTGGCTTTAATATTGCACTAGTGCTTGTTTTTTTTTCGTCTGCATTTTGTCGGCACACCCCGTGGGTCTTCGTGACGTCGATCCATTCTTTCACGCAAAGTCGCTACCAAGTCTGTATACTGACTCGAGGAAGACGTTCGCTCAGCACTGATGCTTGTTTGACCTACGGTTCTGACTTGTCCTAGGTTCATTTACAAACCTAGTCAGACCTCGTCTGCGTCTGCAACGATGCCTCAACGTTTCTCCGAAGATGAATGATAACGTTGAAAAGCGCAGTTGTGGGGCTTGTTCTCATGCTTCAGTCTGTGGATGGGGGGGAACACTCGGATGGCGCAATGGAGGAGTCTCCGCTTAGCTTCCCTCCTTCGACAATGCGCTAGTCCATGGCCATCGCGGTATCTGCGCCGAATGGGGACCAAAGCTGCATCCTTCCCCTGTCCTGGGGGACGGCCACAACCGCTCCCCTCGCCCTTTGAACCCGGTACTCAGCGCTATCGGAAACCCAAAGCGTCTAACAACACAATTGTCGACGAGGTTACAGCAAAGCACTGTAACGACGACATGATGATACAGTAGAATAAAACCGGGCGTTGCAGCAACACAAAGGGTTTATTCCTTCCTGTTTTGATGTTGTCGCGCGGCTGTAAGAGAGAGTTTGGGTCCTATATGATTGGCTATCAATACAACCAAGCCCCGCACCGTCCGCCGCCGCACTTGTCGAGGTGGTGGTCAACCTGATGTTTGCTCGTCAGCAAAATGCGCACGGCTCGCCGTTGCCTCACCAGCCAGAAATTTGCTCCAAGAGTCGTTCTTTTTTGGCGTCTACCATACACCGGCAACTCTTTTCGAACCGGATGCGGCGCACAGGTTGCGAGTGTACAACGTCGGCGTGGCCGGAGTATATAGTCCAAGCTGTGCGCGAAAATGGAGCATTCCCGAGCGGTCTTCGTCGTCCGGAGCTCACCACTATGCTCCATTATCAAAGCCAAGATCGATCCGGGCTTTTGGTTGGATTATTGGCTACGGTACGGGTATAGACCCGGCTGTAGTCGGCTGCAGTCGAACCCACAATACCGCACGGTTTGGGAGGCCTTCCAATGTTTTACTTTTTGCGGTCCTCCAATCGATTTCGTTGATATCCCTGTTCATCAGATGTCGGAATACCTTGCATGCTTCGCACTCTGGGAACTGAAATGGGAGGGGAACAGGGAGCAGGGAGCAGGAAGCAGATTTCCATACTGCCGTCCTGGGCCGCTGCAACAACGGCCTCAGCTCACCATCTTGATTGACTAAAATAATTTCGACATGGCACAAGAAAGAAACGTGATTGCCGTGGGTTCCAATGCGGTTGGCCGCATAGCACGTAGCGTGCTCTCCGTGATCCTCATCTGAACCCCCTTAGGGGGATCTCTCACTTGCGACACTGGCGGCTTGGATGCCCCAGTGATACGGTACAGGGATGTGATTTTATTTAGTACTCAGCCCATTCTCGTATGGGTCAACACCCTCCCAAAACCTAGCATTCTTGCGCTCCCAGACCACAGGTTGGCCAGTGTTGGAGAAGAGGAGGGGGCAACAATGCTGCTATTCTTATGGGGTGATCTATGCCTGAAGAAATGCGACATCTGCATGCCTTTCTGGCCGTTGCAGGCTGAGATGGCCAAAGGCATGCATACACGTCCATTTCTACTGTGTAGAAGGATGTCTTGCAGATGTGTACCTATGTCGATGCTGAGTTGCTGATATATCTCACACCGACGGACCTAGTTAAAGAGAACCCCCCCACCTCTTTACCCATCTGCCACCGAGGGCCACTGTGGCGTTTTCAACGCCATGTGTTTGTTTGACAAGCGAATGCGATCCTGGGTTGTGCCCACCCCTTCGTCTTTCTTCACCCTCAACCCAGTTGCAAGGAAGCGTCTCGCCGGGCTTGCCAAGGGCGTCATACGAACTTGAAACATCCCGACTGCGAACTTAGCATAGTTTTCTTCGACGCTCGGTCGCGGGCACCACCGGTTAACCCCTCCCTGACGTCCGACCCAGTCAGCCGTTGTTGTCCGCGAGCTCTTCCCGCAGTACCATCCCTCCATCGGCGTAGAGCATATCACTTAGTCACCTGGGTCCGCTTTCGAATCAGTAAGTTTGTCGCTTCTGGAACGGCACATAAGGAGGCATATTGCGTTTTGGCCGGGAGGAGGCACGGTAGCACCGCAGCACACGTCGAACTGAAAGCACGAATTCTTAAAATATATCGTCTGGACTTGGAATCCAGTGAGAGAACCTAAATGGTGGAAGTCTATACAATCATCATCGTCATATGCCAGGAGAGCCTGGCTTCGTCCTAGTCTCCATATACTTGTACAAGGGACCCAAACACTTTCGTCGGAGCCTCCGGGTTTGATCTTTCAACCGCACTTTGGCCCGAGAATCGTTCAATGATGGTGCCCAAACTGCGTGAGAAGGGGCAAGAGCATGCCGGCGACTGTCGCAAAGGTATCGCGCATCTGCGGCCGCTGCTGTGCTTTTTGGACGCCGCCTCCATCCGCATAGCCGTTGGTGCCGCTGTGTTCATGCTTCGCAGAGCTGCCGTCTTCCTGCATCGCGTGCATCGCAACAAAACTTGCCGGTCGTTAGTAGTTGAACAGACTTGCCGGTTCGTTATTCTACTTACAGAAACGTTCCCGCGGAGAAGAGCAGAAGCATGCCGGTCCACCACTGGCCAGAGTCTCCTTCGAAGTTGCCGCCACCCAAGATTCTGATGACCGCCCATGTACTCAGAGCCCCAAAAGGGGCAGCAAGGCTGAAGACGATCAGGTGCCCTCGTGCCGTCCGCTTGGATAGGCCTTGCTTGAGGAGAACCGACGTTAGACCGAACGCTGCCGGTGCCTTGTGCACCATGATGGCAACAAAGATGATGAGGCCCAGTTTTGTGTTGGATGTTGAAGTTGATGCTCCCATGGCGATGCCGTCCGCCGCTGCGTGGATAACCAAACCAATGGTTGTCGCAAGGCTCCGTGACTGCTTCGGTGGAGGTGTCAGGGGGCCGAGGAAGCCTTCCGTCTCCTCGTCGCCGATAGTGGATGACCCCCCCAGATTGTCCAGGCTAACGTGGCGCATCTGCGGCTCAGACTGCATTCGATCCGTCGCGTGCCGCGGCAGCCTGTCGATCAGGAACATGAGGACGAAGCCGAGGACCATGGAGAGACCGATGTAGAATGTCGGCACCTCTTTGTGTCCCTCTTCGTTGTGGTGGGGCTCAGGGCCCGACGGAGGCTGCTGCTGTTGATCATGACCATGGGTGTCGTGCTCCTCTCTGCTGGGCAGCTTTGCAGTGTGCTCGATATCGCGGCCGAGGTTATGGAGCTCCTCCGCCAATCCCATAGACCTCGCGGCGGCTGCTAGTTGGGGGACATCGTCGCCTGCCACCCACCTCACACCAAGCGTCCCTTGCTTGCCTGCCGGAGCCAACACGTTCCTCTTGCTATGCGAGTGCCCGCCGGTTGTCGTGACAGCTTCAATGCCTTCGGGGATGATGACGATCATCGACGTGCCGACCAAGATGCCAACGCCCACACTGGATAGCAAACGGAGTTGCGACTGCGTGAGGGTTATGGCGAGGGGTAATGAGCCGGCGAAGAAAGACCTGGTTTGGGGGGATTCCTCGTCAGTATACGGATCATTTAGAGAATGTAGCTGGCCATTTGCTTCTTCCCGGGGTGTGGAAGAAAACTTGCGCCTTTTCGCACGAGGAGCAACCTACGCCAAGGCCATTACCGCCTAGTTTCTCGCAAAGGAACACGTTAGCTTTCCATTGTGCATAGGAGTCTACTATCCGGCCGGGAGCCCAAAGCCAAGAGGTAAAAAGGTACCTACGCTCATCAAGAGCAGCAACATAAGCCCTCCCATTTTCCGGGTAAAGTGCCGACGACCGTGCAGGCAAGACGTAAAATCGGGGGGAGAGAGGATTTATTGAGAGTTGTGGGATCACGCCAGCATGTCTGATAATAAGTAGTCGGCGAACGGCAATCGAGATGGCCAGCGAACGCAGAGGAAGGGAAAATGCTGAACTCTTTCTTGACTTTCAGCTTGGGTGCACAGGGAGAATTCCATCAAAGGTTGGGGAGCTGAGCTGGCTCCCAAGCTGCACTGGGCACCAGCCCATTGGCTTCCTTGCTTCTAAGGTCTTGTCACCCCATGTCGTAATGGCTAGTGGATCCTCCCGCCGCTGTTGCTACCAAGAGCGATGGAGCTAATCCGCTCCTGTACCTAGCGCCCCGAGTCGCGACAGTCCATTAAGCCGATCCTCTTAACTGCATGAACCACTTAATCGCGTCTCTGTCGCGGTTCATTTGGCGCGCGTCACTCCTCCCCCAAGGCTTTGATCATTAAAAAAAAGAGGCTCTGTTCAGCTGGGAGCATCGACGCTAACAGCCTATCTGGATCGCATTGTTTTGAGACTTCATACAGCGTGGTTTGATCCTCAAGTCTCACTCTTTTCCCCATCATCAAACCATCCCGCGATCGCGATACAAGCCTGCACCTGCGACGCAGTTCTTTCTCTGCCTCTCGCACAAAATCTCCAGCACCAGCTCATACTTCTGCCGCCGCCATGGCTGAAACTGACGAGTGTACGTTTCCTACAGCCCTTGTTTCTTCATTGTTGCTGTAGTAACTGACTGGGAGCTCAGGGTCGGCTAATGCCACCGAGTCCCTGAACATCAGCTTGATCGCACCTGCTACCGGAGCTACCAAAACGATTGCGTCTTTCAATCCCAAGTTCACCTACTCCATCTTTGGCGACGATGAGCGCATCTTCGGTTACAAGGACCTCAGGATCGACCTACGCTATCGCACTTTTGACATGCGACCGAATGTTAAGGTGTCCTATGGCAAAAAGTTCCAGTCCGTCGGCGAGACCGAGGCCGCGGACGTCAATGCTACACTAAAGGAGCATCTGCCATTGGGTAAGTGACGCTGTCATCGCAAACAGTCAATATTACTGACACTGACGCCTTATAGTTGCCTTCGAGTCCGCACGCGAATTCAACACCGGCGCTCAGAGCCAGCCTGACGGTTGGACCCCTCCTGGCGCGTTCCATTCGAGCTACGAGGGTCATGATGGCACGTATGAGGTATGGAAGGGCAGCCTTGCGGACCCCGCCGTTCGCCAGATTGTCACCCGCGTGGAGGCTCTTATCCCAATGTTTATTGAGGGGGGTTCATACATCTCCCGCGAGACGAACAACGAAGAAGATCCTTGGAAGGTCCCCGAGGACGCCAACCGTTGGACTGTATTCTTCCTTTATCGCAAACAGACGTCCCCAGAGGCGAGTGGCAGGCCCTCGTACACCTTCGTTGGCTATGCGACTGTCTACCGCTTCTTCTGCTTCCGCCCGCTTACCCCGCCCTCGTCCGAGTGGGATCTGCCAAAAGAGGAGTTCAACCTGCTGGAGGAGTTGCCCTGCCGCTCACGGCTTTCTCAGTTCTTGATTCTGCCGCCCTTCCAGGGCAAGGGCATTGGTGCTCGTCTGTACAAGACCATTTTCGAGCACTATTACAACAACCCGCAGACGTTGGAGCTGACCGTGGAAGACCCCAACGAGGCCTTCGACGACATGCGCGACTTGGCGGACCTGACCTTCCTGCGATCACTGCCGGAGTTTAGCAGCGTCAAGATCAACACCAGCATCGCCCTTCCCAACCCCCCAGCGGCACTGTCCCCAAGGACTTGGTCGACCAGGAGCTTCTCAAGAACCTCCGCCAGAAGACAAAGATCGTAGAGCGTCAGTTTAAGCGCCTGATTGAGATGCAGACCATGTCGCAGCTGCCCGCATCTGTGAAGGTCGGATTCGGCGAGGAACAAAAGGCCAAGCCGACAAAGGAGGAGAAGCACCACTACCATCTGTGGCAGCTGTTCGTCAAACAGCGCCTGTACCGCCAGAACGCCGACGTTCTTGGCCAGTTGGATCAGTCCGAGCGTTCGGAGAAGCTTAACGAGGCCCTGGGTAGCGTCGAGCTCGAGTACGCCAGGCTCCTCGACTGGCACGCCCGGTGGGAAGAGCACGCCGCCGCCGCCTCTGCCGCCGCCGCAGAGAGTGGCGGTAGCAAGCGCAAGTCGGCAGACGACGCCGAGGACCAGGGCGCGAGCAAGAAGCCCCGAGTTGAGGACGCCTAGCCCTGCTCCTGTCACTTGCTTCGAGATGCAGAGACAGATCGTGATAAGGGAAAGGGGGGGGGTCCAGGTTAAGGAGTTTACGGGGGCGTTCTTCAGGTCATATTTGTACTTCTACGCACCTTTGGCTACGGCCCGGTTGATACCACGTTGTCTCACAAGCAGGCCGAGCAAGGCCAACATATCAATAAATGGAAGGTGACTTTTTCTAAGAAAACAAAAGGAAGTTTCCTTTAGGTTCAAATCTATAATTTTCCACTTTTCAACGCCCCCCTCTAATTTTGTTCTTGAATTAATTACATGCACGCATCGATCCGCAAACTCCAGTCCTGCACAGAAACAACTAACGATAATGAGTTTTTTTGCCTCTATGAAAACCAAACAAACCCTCATGAACCCCCCCCCCCCTCTTCTTTCTTTCTCGCTCCGTCAAACTCTTGCGCCGTTGTTCCGTCTCGCTCTTTATGAGTTGACCTCAGCGAACCATGTCCTCAGCAAGCCGGCCAGGGCAGTGGGCAGGTCCTCGAGGTTGTGCACGATGAGGTAGTACTGGAAGGGGAAGGTGTCGAGGTACCTCTCGATGACGACGCGGCTGTTGCCGGTCTCGTCCTTGACGAACTTGGCCTCCTTGAGGTCCAGCACGCTGTCGCCCTTCTTGTTGCCCGTGTCGTCCATGACGATGAAGACGACCATGATGCGCTCCTCCATGGCCTCGCGGAGCAGGCGGCGGATGGGCCCGTGCTGCGACGATGGGGTCAGGCCGTCCGAGAGGATCAGGGCGAGCTGCCACAGGTCCTCGGCGCCGCGGGCCGGGTTCTGCAGGCGCGCGGCGCGGAAGTGGTCGATGGTGCGGCGCACCAGCAGCGCCATGTCGGTGCGGTCCTGCTGGAAGTTGAAGTGCTGCAGGACCTTGGCCCCGGCGTCGTGGGAGGCGAACGGCTCGGCAAAGTCGTGCGCCATGAATGTGTCGGCGCCGAAGCCGAGGACGCCCACCTGGCCGACCTCCAGCATCGTCAGCGCGCGCGAGACCATGACGAGGGACTCGAGGGCGAGCGTGCCGGAGCTCGACTCGCCCATACTGCGGGAGTCGTCTACGCAGAGGAGGATCTGGTAGCTGCGCTTCGTGGGGATGGCGCGCCGCATCCAGATCTTGTCGCGCTTGTAGCTCGAGGCGATGTAGGGGATGATCTTCTTGATGTTGAGGCGCTTGCCCGTGCGGTAGGAGCCCGAGAGCTTGGTGGACTGGGAGGGGGTGAGGATGAGGCGGAGCTGGGAGGTGAGGGAGAGGGAGAGCGGGTGCGTCTTAGACTGGAACGCCGTCCAGGACTGCAGAGACTCGGAGAAGTCGCGGAGGGGCAGCTGGTCGTCGCTGATGTGCGTCGTAGAGAGCTGTGTAGAGGTTTCCTCAATGACCTGCTCCTCCTCGTCCGACTCATCTTCGGCTCGTTGGACCTCGTCCTCCGAGGGCGAGACTTCGCGGTCGAAGGCGCCCTGGCGTGTCTTGACACCCGACCGGCCGTCGTCCTTGTCGGCGCTGGTGTCCTTCTCCTGGGCGTCAGGGGCCTCGGTGGTGTCCATCGTGTCGGGATCCTGGCCCATTTCCACATCCTCGTCGTCAGGCATGACGCGGCTCTGGGGATCTTCTTTCTCTTCGTCGATGGCCATCGACTCGTCAATAGGCTGCACCTGGTCTTCGGAGGCATTGCCCATCGCCTGGGCATCGGCTGCAGTCTCGTCGTCCTGGAGGTGCTGGAACTCACGGGCACCGAGTTCCGCATCGACGTCCTGGGACTGCTTCTGCTCTCCCTCGTCCTGCTGCTTCTCGGGGTCCTTGATGTCGTTTTGCTGGCGGTGCCAACGCTCGAGGGCATCACCAAGCTTCTTGAAGGGATCCTGTCTGCTGTTCTCAGGCACGTCATCATGGTCCTGGTCGGTGGGTTGCGCTTGGTCGTCGGATCGCGAAAGTTGGCCCTTCTTCCCGGCGCTGGTTTGCTGCTCCGCCGACCCATCACCCGCGTCTCCGTCATCTCTCTGTGCGGCGTTGGTGTTGAAGTCGTTCTCAGCGTCCATATCCTCGGCGTCTTGATCTTGGCCGCCACCCTTGACATCGCTCGGCGCAGCGTTCGCGTCGGCGTTGGCATCGTCCCGGGGGGGTTCCACGCGGTTGTCCGGCTCCTCGGGCTGATTGGGCTGTTCTTCCTCCTCTGCCTTGGGCTCCAAGTCGACCTCGGGCTCGCCCGCAACATCCTCCTCAGGAGACTCCTCCTCTTTTTCTTCCTCCTCGTCTTCTTCGGGGCCCTTCTCGTCGGGTCGCTGCGTCTCATCCTCTCCATCCTCTACGTCGGACTCTTGCTGCTGTTGAGGTTCTTCCTTTTCGATGTCTGACAGTTTGTCCAGCTCGTCGTCCTCGGAATCCACGTCCTCTCCCTCCTCGTCAAAGTTAAAGTCCATCTCCTCTGGCATCGCCAGGGCGTCATTCTCGTCCACATTCTGATCTTGCTTAACTTGGTCATCCTCGAACTTCGCGTCTTCTTGCTCCGGGCCGGGCTCTTCCTCCTCCATTTCCTCGTCTTCTTGATCGACCTGCTGCTCATCATCATCCTCTGCCTTGTTGTCTTCGGCGTTGGCGTCAGCATCAGCGGCCATCTGCTCATCCTTCTTCTGCCCCTTGGCCTTGTCGCCCTGCTGATCCTTTTCTGCCTCTTCGTTGTCTCCATCCCACATCTTTTCGTCAACGGCGGTGGGATCGAGGTCGTCGACATCGCCGACTTCTTCGTCCATCTCGTTCTCCTCCTTGCCATCTTCGCCTTCTCCGTCCGACTTCTCTTCCTCGTCTTCTTCACCACCCACGCTCCCCATCTCTCCCTCGAGCTCCTCGTCCGCCATGTCGACAGCATCTTTCTCGTCTTCCATCTCGCCGTCTTTTTCTTTATTCGGCTCCTGGGCAAGTTCAGACAGGTCCTCATCAGGCTGGATATCTTTGCTGATATCCTCCGCTCCATCGCCATCACCCAGGCCGGTTCCGGACTCAAGTTTGCCGGATTCTCCAGACTCCTCGCCCTGCTTCTCTTGTGGGGAGCAGAAGCCCTTGGCAGCAAGCTGGACGAAAGTTCGCGCCAGATGGTAAGCCATGTGGCCGGTTGCAGCATGCAAACTATGGAGCTGAGAGAAGCTTTGGCGGCAGATGAGAGCATATTGCTGGAGTATAGGAAGAACAATGGAGAAGAGGGCTGAAGTGACTGTGCCCATGTTGGACTTTTCCAGGTCAACACTCTCCAAGGCGGAGAGACACGCCTCGACCTTGCTCACGATCGCGTTGATATAGAGTGCGCCGAGACCGGAGCTGCGGACGGCAGAGGTCTTTGCGAGCCAGCCGGAATCTTCAGCTGAGCTCGGCAGGTCAGCCATAGCCTTCTTGTACTCTTGGACCGCGACAAGCACAGTGTCGCAAAGACTGGAGATCGAGTTCTTGAACTTCTGGGCGGTACTGTCAGAGCCGTGAGACTCGTCATCTCCCTGAGCGATCTCGACGCTGAACCAGCTTGTAATCTGCTTCAGGACGAAGTCTAGATCCGAGCGGCCAAGACCAGGGAGCAGAGTCTTGAAGTTCTCCTCTGCAAGCAACGAGCGCTTCCGCAGGGCTTCGTGCTCTTTGGTTTTGAACTTGTCGGGGATCGAAGCCAAAGAGGACCATTCCTTTGACAAAGCATCGGCTTCCTGCAAGGTGTTCTGCAGGTGGCTCAACACGGGTTGGTTGTTGACAGAAGCCAGCTTGCCGTGGATTTCCACAATCTTGATTCCAAAGTCCAGGATTGGTTTCATCCAATTTACGGTGACGCTCGGCCGGATGCCGTTCGTGTTGCGCCCGACAGCTGTACCGCTCAAGCTCTGGACTGAGGCAATGACTCGGTCAAGAGAGGCGATGGCATCACGAGCGGCAGACAGAGAGCTGTGCTGGCCCAGGATGACAGCCAACATGCCCTCCATAAAACCGGTGCTTCGAGACATCTCGGCACCGGTGAGTTCCTCCGAGTATTCGTGGATGGAGGCTCTCACCTTGGGCGCGATGTCAACTACCTTGTGGAAGTAGTACTCGGCGGCGTCGTTGATGCTGTTCTCGACGTGAGAGGCAGGCATGCCTGCCAGGACGACCGCAAGGGATTCTTGCTTGGCCAGCTCCTCGGTTCCAAGGTTGTAACGGAAGCCCATCTGCCTCATCATCTTCAGAACGTCCGCAAAGAGCTTGCGCTTGCGCATCTTGAGGTGCTTGACTTGGTCCTTGTTCTCATCGGTCAAGGTGCCAGGAGTCTCCTTGCGCAATTCCGCAATGGAAGTGTTGACCTCTTCGACATACGAGAGAATCTCCTGCGTAGCATTGAGAGAGCTCTGGTCTAACTTGGAAGCAACGTTGGCCATTATGACAAGCGTCTTTGAGGAGTTTGACAGACGCTTGTGCTGAGCCAACCAGCTAGGCAAGCCCTTGTTGCAGGCCGAGATGGCCGTGGGGTCCACCTTGAGATCGGCCTTGCCTTGAGTATCAGAACTCTGAGTGATGGGAACCTCTTCGTCGGGGATGCCTTGCTCCAGTATGGGCTTCATCGGCTGACCAAGGACGGCGCGGAACTTCCGAACAAGTCTGAACAGTTTCAAATGAGACTTGCGAGCGCTCTCACGCAAAGCATTGATGTTGGTATCCTTCCAGCTGGCCAGCAGGACAACCTCCTTCATCGTCTTCTCGAACGGCGCTCTTCCCTTGGCAATTGCCTCCTTGGCAACCTTCTCGAAGCGGGAGTGGAAGTCGATGAAGTTTATTGCTGCGTCGGAGACGACAGTCAAAGAGGGGTAGTCGACGGTGAGCAGCTGCAGGTGCTTCTGCAACTGTCTCAACAGTCTGAGGCGTGCAGAGAATTGCCCGATGATTGCAGTGGAGAAATATGTCTCGAGCTCCCTCACCAGATTCACAGCGTAGTCCTTCAGCTCGTTGGAGTCCACGAGGGACAGAGGCACGGCGATAAGTATTTGGTAAGCGATGAAGAACCACGAGTCAGCATCTTCCGAGCATTTCTGAGTCTCCATGTCGAACAGCTTGGCCCAGGTCGACAGCTCCAGGCGTCGCCAGTTGATGATGGTGTCTGTCAAAGAGGTGTAAAGAGCAGGCGCTCCATAGATGGCCGGGGCGTAGCCTCCGTGCTGCCACTCGTAGACGATGCCGTGGAGATGCTCCAGCTTGGGCAGAATCTTGGCTAGGGGCTCGGTGTGAGTGAGGTCGAGGAGCTGCTCGCAAGCGGCTCGCACATCTGCCAAAGGCTGCATGTGGCCGATCTCGTCCACTTGTTGCAAGTCACGGAAGCGAGCCTCCACCTTGTCAACGAGCTGAATCAGACGGCGAACCTCAGGAAGGTTCGATTCGGTGTAGAAGTTATAGGTGGTGCCGACGATGTTCGCGTTGAGCGTCGTCATCTGTTCATCGACTGACCAAAGCGCAAGGGGGAGCACTCTGATGTTCACACCCTGGTGAACCGCAGACTTATGCGCGAGCTCCTGTGCGATTCCATTGCCGACTTTCTTGCAAACCTCCTTGAGTGCCTCAGATGGGGTCGGGTGTTCCAGGAAGACCTTGCGATGCGACTCCGCCAACCTAACCGACACGTCACGAACCTTCTGACGTCCGATGGCGGGCTTCTCTTCCTGTTCCTCGTCGTACGTGGGGAAGAGTTCGTTAAACTCTTGCTCGTCCATCTCTTCCTCGTCTTCGAAGCTGCCCTTGAAACGGTAGAGATTTGTTCGGGCCTCTTCGGCTTTGCGATCCTCCTCGAGCCTCTTGGTCCATTCTTGGAAGAACCTGTGGACGCACTCGAACAATGCTTCGCGGACGCTGGCGTTCAAGTTTGTCAGCCCTTCGACAGATGCGACCAGTCCAGCGTAGTCGAGGAACTCCAAACTCCTGTTCGGGAACTTCTTGAGGACATGGTGTTCGGGATTGCCACCAACGAAGGGTGTTAGGTCCATGAGAGTCCGGTCCGCAACGTGGTGTTCGATGGACTCCAGTCCATCGCTCAGCGACAGACCAAGCTGAAGACAGCCAATGAGGTTGACGAGAGGCCGTGTCATGTCTTGGTAGGCATCAAGATGGTTCGCCCGGTGGTCACGGTTTGCCAAGCGGTCAACCATGTGAGTCAAGTTCTGCTTGACGAGGTTGATCACCTGCGCGGCATCGGTAGAGCCTGACAAGGCAAATGCTGTGTGATGGGCTGACAGCTCTTGTCCAATGATGGTGGCCAGGACGTTGTTGAAAGATGTCTGAACATTGGCGAGTTCTGATCGAGCGGGTCTGTAAAGCAGCTGCGTCGGTGCCGGCGCAGGACCGAGTCCTTCGATATCTTCTTGCACAAGTTGTATGCGAAGGGACTTGGTCTGGCCGGTGAAGCGAGTCTCAAAGTCCAAAAGTGATGAGAGTTTGTGTTCCAGTCCCTTCGTCAGTTCGTCATGGACGTCCTTTTCGAATTGCGGCCGCAATTGAGGATCGAAAGATTTGTCCGGCACGTAAAGCTTGATCGCGCCGATCGAGAATTCGACCCATGCGACTGCAGAGCAAGCAGCGACAGCGCGGGCGCTGGCTGCTTCGTTGTTTGCGTGACTGTTGCGCTCAATCTTATCGGACACAGCAAGGGCAACCGTAGCTGGAAGCAAGTGCTGCTTGGCGATCTGGGACAGATGGACAGGCCAAACGCTAGGAATGCTGCCCTCAAACTGGGCGGCCAGCTGCTGTATCTGCAGAGGCGCGACCTCGGTGCCTTCAAACTCGTGAATAACCCTGTCATAGATTGCACGGACGATATCCTCTTGCTCACTGCCGTGGACTGCAAACGCAGTTGTGACAAGCTTCTTGAGAACTGCATTGAGGGCAACGACGTGGTTCTTCTGGAACGCCGGCGCCAGCGCCGCGACGGATCGACCCAGGGCAGGCAGTTCGGTCTCAAGGAGTCCGAGTGAGCGCAGACTTGTCGCGTGAAGAGAGTTGAGTCTTGATAGCAGAGACGTGGCGAACTTGCCGTTCCAGACATGAGTAGCAGGGTCCTGAGAAGCAAGCAGGCCGATGGTCAAGGAACGAGCCTCCTTAGCTCCGAAGCTGCCGAGGCGAATCTGGTCAATAGTTTGCTGGTTCGACAAAACCAAAAGGTCCGTCTCGTTGGCGCTGTATGGCAAGCCCTCGAAATACTCGATGGCCTGGGATCTTAACACGGAAGCCTGTCTCAAAGTCTCGAACGCTGCTGCGAAGAACGGTCTGACCTCGCTGGACTCCGAGCCAATATTGGATTCCAAAAGCTCGATCTCCTTGGTAAGATCTTGGATGAGCTCGGTGACGTCGAAGTCGGTGGTTCGTACAATCCCATCGGCCTTGACGAGAGTTGTCATGGCTCTAGCTAGATCGGCAATGGATGCCTTGACCTTCCACTTGAGCTCGTCAAGACGCTTGCCGAGCTGCTCGATCTCTTGGCTCTTGGAGAGAGCTTCTTCGTTCCTGATAGGGAGCGGCTTGATTTGCTTCCACATGATCTCCATGCTCAAACCAGTTGTCAGACGGAATCCGGTTGTGAAGTCTTCTTCTACAGTCTGAAGGTAACGATCGGCGAGCTGCTTGTTGATGGCTTCCGTGGTAGGCGAAAGGAGTGCCTGAGCAGACTCAACACCATGCACAAGATGCGCTTGGAATCGTGCTTCCTCAAAATGGTCTTCGGTGGTAAGGCTGAGGGTTCGCCACCAGAAGTCCAGCATTTTCCGAATCACGCGAGCGCGCTCTTTCCAGCCTTGGCAAGTTGTGAGATTGCCTTGGATGAAGGTTCTGATGACTTGAAGAGTCCTCGAAAGAAACTTTGACACTCTGACTGTGGAGTCCTTCGCGACAGGTGCAACGCGGTCTGAGACGATAGATCGTTGGAGGCGATTCAACGAGGCGAGCTTTGTTGCCTTTGCCTTGTTGGCCTGTGTGGTAATCGCAGCTTGGCATCGCTGAGTCTCCAAGAGGAACTCGTAGGAGGCTGAAAGCCAGAAAGGTAACTCGTTCTTGCTCTGGCGCAGAACGCGCACCATAGAAGCGTTGTGAAGCGGGTTCAGGGGCTATAGATTCCTATCAGTCTTTTTTTTTTTTTCTCCCTCAATAAGGTACGTCATCTTACCTGAGCGTCGCCGAGACCCGAGCTGGCCCCAGGGAGAGCGGCGTATAGTTGCGAAATAGACTGGCGAAGACCGGCCGTCTCTGCTGCATCCAGGAACCTAAGGTGCTCGTTGAGGCTCCCTTGGTACCTCTCAAGTCCAGACGGATTGAGGTCAGTCAAGCCGCGATGAAGGGATTGAGAAAATCTTTCCATGAGGCCGGTGTCGCGAAGCGACAGGTTCACGACCGTTGCGCTGCTCACGTCCGAGGAGTCGTTCTCGCTCAAGACTAAGGTGGAGATCTTTGTGGACAAAGAGAATCTCTGGAGGCTGCTTTCCACGTAGACGCTCGAGGTGAATCCTTCGAGACCCTGTGGCTGCCACTCGCTGAGATGAATCTCGGCAGCTCTGTTTCTCATAGCTCGCGACAGCTCCCCGTAGCGCGGGTCAACTGTCAAGAAGATTCGAAACTCCGGATGAGGCCTGATGATTCTGGGCTCTCCATTAGGACCGCAGTGTTCATTGATGCTCAAAAAGCCGTTGGGCTCCAGCAGAGAGTTGAGCCTGTCTAAAACGGAAGCATTGCACAGGTTGGCGTTGTCCAAGACCAGCCATTGACCAGTCTCGAGAGCTTTCACGATGACTCCGTCGAGCCACTCGAAGCGGGGGTTGCTGACAGTCAACGGCTTTTGCAAGGCAGCGTGGGCATTGGAAAGGAGGGCACCAATCTCAGACTCTCTCGAAATTTCAGACAGAACTTCTTCGACTGCGGCCGTGATGGCCGGCAGGCCATTAGTGTCCCCACGATACGTCTCCAGGAGATACAATAAGGTAAGTGCCTGTGGGGGAACTTGGCTGGGCACTCGGGTCAAAATTGTAGTCTGGAGGCCCTCATAGAGCTCCCTTAAAGAGGCATTCACCTCGCGGAAAGGATCCGACTGCTCAAAGCCACCGACCAAGTCCATCGTATCGATGTCTGCGTTGAGAGGGAAGACAACAAGAGGCTTGCCAACGAGAGCAGCGACGTGCTCAAGGAGTACCGACTTTCCGCTGCCAGACGGGCCACTGAGGATGCACGGGATGTCTTGCTTGATGCAGATCATGAGTGACTCGATTTCCGGAAGTCGAGGCACAATGTCGATGCCAGGAAGGGCCAATGGCTGCGATGTCAGGTTTCTGGGAAGCAGCGCGATGCCGACTTGAGAGAAAGCCGCGTTGGTATCATGATACAAGCTGTGGCTTTCCGGAGCCCTCGAAAAGACCTGGGTAAAGAGCTTGTTTACTTCCTCGCGGTCCGTAGCAGATCGGAAACGTTGGCGAATAATGAGGTCGAGGAAGTCGTCGGGCTTTCCAGTGGCCAGCAGAGGATCCTTTGTCGCCAACAGATGCAACCATCGTAGGATGTCTCTCAGATTGAACTCCCAGGGGCTCCCGTGGGAGCCAAAAGCCTTCTCAATCGCAACCTGGTGATCCAGGAGAGAGATAAACTGGATGACGCCGCTGACAATATCGGTGGGGATGTTTGGGAAGTTATGCTGCGCAATGAGGAGAAGGTCCTCCGCCGTGAAGACGTCGGCGTAAACGACGATGAATCTGTTCACAAAGGAGCTGGGGAGACCCTTTCGGCCACCTCCCTGGTGATGGGGGTTCTGCGCGGCAAATAGTCTGAAATCCGGATGTCTCTTGAATACCTGGTCCAGCTCGGAGATGTAAACCTCACCGCGATGATCAAGACAGGCATTGAGACCTTCGAGCACCGACTGGGAAGCCAGGTTCATCTCATCGAGCAACACCCACTCGCCGTTTTGCATGGCCTGAAGGAAGGGAGCATCGCGCCAGGCAAAGTTGCCAGCCTCGGCGCCCTCGACGGGCATATCCGTACCGAACAAATCCATCAGATCAGTCTGGTCCGATAAGTTGATTCGAGTCAGGGGTCGGCCGCATACGCGAGCCAGAGCGGCAACAAGGGTGGTTTTGCCAACACCAGGACTTCCCTCCAGCAAAATGGGCTTTCGCATTTGAAGAGAGCGCATCACTCGCATAGCGTTGAGTCTTGTGGTCGGGGCGTTGAACGCGAAGCTGGGGTCCGTCGAGCGGGCTGCTGCTCGGGGCAGACCGAACTCGCCGATGGAAAGTCTGTCTTCAGTCAAGGTGACCTCGGGCTGTGCCCGGTAAATGGCCGCAGTATCATACCCAAGGAGCTCGCTAAGCCTGTCGAGACACTTCTGCCTCTGTGAATCGAGCGCTTTGGGGTCCATGGCCAGTAAAGCCGAAGGGTTGGCGCCCAAGCTGTCGATGAAGACGGTCGCTGCACCATGAACCACGGCGAACTGGGGTGATGCGGGTCCGCAGAGATTGATAAAGCTGACCCAGATTAGGATATCACGAATCGAGAAGGCCGTAGAAGAAGACGACCTGAAAACCTGTCCAAACCAATGGGCGAATTGCACCACAGGCTTGCCGTAGGACTTGAAGGCTGGGTCAAGTTTCGAGAGGACAATGTCAAGCATGTCGTCCATCTCGGACATGGCCGGAACCCAGATCTCGGTAAAACGGTTTCTCAACGCCGGAGACAGCTCCTTTTTGCCAAAGTCGCCGCCTGGGTTCATGGTGGCGAAGAACTGGAATCCATCTGCTGCGGTGACAAACGAGTTATCGATACCCTTCTCTGCGAGGAGGAGAGATCTCTGAGGCTCAAGGACTGAGTTGAGACGTTCCAACACAGAGTCGTCGGCAAGGGAGATTTCGTCGAGCAGGAAGAATTGGCCGGCCTTCATAGCGTGGACGAGACTTCCGTCCGACCACTCAAACAAGGCCTTGCTCTTGGCCTCCAGAAGTGCCATCTTTTCCTGCGTGGTGATGTCGACTTTGGTCAGCGTCTCTGCCGGAAGGGCGTGGTATCTTTGCAGCAGGTCGTCCAATGAGCCCGTTGAATCTTCGCCAAGGGTCCCAAGGAGGGCAGCCAAATCGGTCTTCAGCGTTTCTGCAATCGCCCCGCGGTTTCTCACCGGCCTCTGAGAACCGATAAGATCGCCAGTTTCGGTATTCTGGTGGGCGTTGACAATGTGCAGTTCCTTTTCGAGGACATCTCCCAAGATCTGACAGACGGTGGTTTTGCCGCATCCAGTCTCGCCCACAAGAAGGACAGGTTCGTTATTGCGGATGGCAGCGTGAACCAAAACATAGAGACGACGCATGGCTCGGGTCCACACCACACCATGGTTGTTGGGCATTCCCTGAAGCTTGCTCAAAACCGGGGATGACTTGGCGGTGTAGAGAACTTCCGGGTCGATCTTAACCTTGAAGACACTCTCAATGACCTCTCTAACAGCGGTGCGTTCCTCCTCAACTCGTACACGCTCCGCAAGGAGCATGAATCCGTTGACGGCAATCTGTTCGCGAGTGTCTGCCTCTCGCAAAGCCCATCGGAACAGATCGCGAAGCGTGGCGAAACTGTCTTTCTGCTCGAACAGTCGACTTGTTTGGCGGAGGCGGGAGAGCTCCTTGTACACCGTCACGATCCGCTTGCAGTCCGAGGGCGCGGTGTTGACGCTTCTGTTCTGCAGGATGTACTCCAGTTCGTCTTCAGGGATGTCGTCAAAGTGCAGCTCCAAGAAACGGTTGCGAAACGCACGCGAAAGCACCTTTCGGCCGCCGTACAAACCGGGGGGGTTCTGGGTCGCGAACAGCATGAAGTTTTCGTGCGGTCTCACAACCTCTTGCGTCTCTGGAATCAGAAGCTCTCGGTTGTCGTCAAGGAGTCGGTTCAATGCTTCGAGCACATCGGTCGGAGCAAGGTTCAGCTCATCAAGAACGATCCAGTGGCCTTGGCGCATGGCTTGCACGAGCAACCCCTCTTGGAAACGAAGCCTTCCTGTAGAGTCCGATACATACGTGCCCAGATATTCCTGCAGATCGGTGTGTTCGTGGTTGTTGATGCGCACAAACTTGTTGCCAGTGAAGTTTGCCAGGTACTCAATCATACTCGTCTTTCCTGCTGACGTTGGCCCTTGAATTAGAATGGGGAATCGACGAGTAGATGTGGCGCGGACGAGGTTAAGAAGGTTCCGCTCCACATAGGGTGTGATGATGTAGTCTGTTCGCTCCTTTGGGGTCTCCTCTCCCTGGGCAAGCCAGTAATGGCGGTCCTTTGCCTTATTGCGGAACCGTACATACTGCTTGCCATCGTCAGGCTGTTTTGGTGGTTGCGAGAGGAGAGACTGGGGATTTGGGATGCGCCCAAACAAATGGTGTTCAATCAATGGCATGATCAGCTTTTCTGATTCTCTGTCAAGAAGGGTGAGAAAGCCCATGGAGAAGCCCTCGTACAAAGAACGGCGAATGCCATAGAAAGGAGCAATATAGCTCACGTAAGTCAAGACGCGGGTCAGGGTGCGAAGGCTGAAATGCGGCACCTCGTTGGCCCCGTCAACAATCTCCTTCCGCTCGGCGTAGCTCTTGGTGTTCATATACAGCGCCGCGATATCGCTCGTTGCGGCTTCATCTTTGATGCTGCTATTTTTCAGGTATGTCTTGACAATGGTGATCAGGTCGTTCTTGTCCTTGTCCGGGCTGTCGACGTAGATTTCGGTAAACCGAGATCGAATGCCGATGGGGAGGTCGCGCTTGCCCACATCTGTTGCCGGGTTCATGGCACCAAAGATGCGGAAGTTCGGGTGGGCTCTGATCCTTTCGATTTCGCCGGTCTCAGACAGCAGGATGGAAGGAGTCTCGACGGGGCCCGTCAACAGGTCTGCAATGCTCTCCAGCGTGTCTGGCGAAGCAAGGTTGATCTCGTCAAGGAGCACCCAGTCACCGTTTCGGGCGGCCTTGATGATGTTGCCCTCGACGAACGAGAAGGCGAACGCTGTCGAGCCGCCGGACAGCTGGACCTCGAACTGGTCGAGGCTGCGGGAAAACTGATCCCACCTGGGACTGAGCTCAAGAAGGGTCTGAAGCTTGGATTCGGTCTTGCGCCGTTTCGTCGGCTGGCCTGCCTCGTCGCGCGCCTGGCTCTGCTCCCTCTCTCGCCGTGTCAACTCCTCGATAATCTTCCTGAACATCTTGGGCGCTTCGCGCCACAGCTTGACAGCCTTCGCCCACTGGCCCTTGGCGAAACACTTTCCGAGCTGCTCGAGGTACTTCTGGTTCTTCGTTGTCGAGATTCCGGTTGCAGAGAATAGGTCTTCAAACTCCTCCTTCAGGGGAACAGCCAGGCTTCTGACGTTGACGGGCTTGAAGCCACCGAGCAGGTCACCGGCTTCACTCTGTTGGGACAAATTTATGGCAACCAATTTGTGGCCCAAGGTGTCCGCCAGCTGCTGGACGACCGTCGTCTTTCCGATACCGGTCTCGCCAACAAGCAGGACGGGCTCGGCCAGGTTCACGGCAACAGCCGTCTGCTCCAGCAATTTCTTGGCATGCGTGGTACTAGCAAAGGGCCTCTTGGTGAGAGCAGCCTTGTTCACGCGCTCTTTTCGCTTGCGCAGGGCCGTGCGGCCGATCTTGAACTGGCTATCGCTTTGCTCGAGGTGCGGGACGTAATGATCAAAGTGATACTCTACTAGCTCCTTCGCCATATGCATCTCCTCGGCAATGCCAAAGGTTAGGTGTCGCTTGACTTGCGCGTCCGGAATGCCCGCGACAAAGCAGTCGACGGCCTCCATGAACATCCAGTTTCGGGTAGTATCAGTGATGGGCTCCTCGCCGGTGCTGCATCCTGCTGCAGAAAGCGTAGCCTTAAGGCGTCTGCACCATCGTAGGAGATCCCGCAAACTAGTCTGGCGGTCAGCCATGCCACGGCTGGAGGAGAAAGGCATGTTTCCGGAAGTCGGCTTTGACAAGCGCCGGTAAACAGCAAGGATTCCCGGGGCGAACTTGTGGAGGATGGGGTAGGACCCGACGATGATGTCCTGTAACTCGGTCTCCGTGGGTGTATGCACGGAAAGAAGCTGCCAGAAGCGCATGCCGAGGAGATTTGGAAGCGTTTCCCTGCCATGCATGCCCCGGGAGCTTCTCACAGTGCCGAAAAGGCGGAATCCGTTGGCGGCCTTGATCCTTTCACCCCTGCTCGGGATGAGAAGCTCGCCTCGCTCGACCAGGGGCAAGAGCGTGCTGATGACTTCGTTCGGCGCTCTGTCCAAGTCTTCGATGAGAACCCAGCGGCCTTCTCTGACGGCAGTCGTCAGAACACCGGCTCTCCACGAGAAGGTACCCGGCTTCGAGTCCGTCGAGTAGAGCCCGATGAGCATCTTGGCGTCTGTCTGCTCATTGATGTGTAATGTCACCATCTCGGAATGCTTGCCGAACTCCTTGGCAACTTCGTGGACCAGCGAGGTCTTTCCAGAGCCGGGAAGGCCGTGCAGCAGAATCGGACTTGAATTCTTCAGGAGACCGGCCAGGGCCTCGAGGTTTTGGATGGTAGTGGACGTCTGCACAAGGGACGAGTTCTTCTCGACCGGTCCGGACGGTCGCGGCAGTATTGTTCTGCCGTAGCACGCAACGAAGGGGGTCAGAGTTTGCGGTGGGACAGGATGGATTTGATTGCTCTGGGACGCGGCAGTGCGAAGCTCACGGCGCAGCGCCGCGACCTTCTTGACGCGTGCATCTTCATACAGACTCAGAAACCCATAGTCTACTTCGCGCCCATCAAAGTCAGCGAGGATGGCCTCCTTCGACCCGACATGCTCGTGGATGAGAGCTTCCAGTTTCGAGTCGGCTGCGCGGAGAAGCTGGCTAAATATTCGGATCGCCAAGTACCTGACGGCGCGGCTCTCATGCGTGAAGAGAGCTTGCATGTGAGTTGGCGAGACCAGGATACCGTAAGTCCTCTGGTCGAAACAGACCAGCCGCCATGCCGCCAACAATAACCGCAAGAGTTCGGGATCTTGAGCGGGAGTGAAAGTAGTGAGGTCGGGGAATCGGAGGTTCAGCGCCTGGAGTCCCTGGGGTGGCGTCTTTGTCAAGTCCTCTCTCATGACATGTTGTATGAACTCGGATAAATACGGTGCGAATGACAGTATCCTTGCAAGAGAAGCAAGTACGGGTCCGTTGTTGGTTTGATTTCTGGGGTTGAGGAGCCAACGAGCGCAGATGTCGGGAAAGACATTCTCAAAGTGGATGAAAATTCGATCTGTAAGTTGGGGGATGAGAGCAGCCTCTGCGATGGCGTCGAGGAGGTTTGAGGCCGTGTGATTTCTTATAACCTCTAGGATTTCGGTTGGTAGATGCTCCAGAACGATCGCGTCGTTCAGGAGAGCACTCCTCTGCGATGACACATCTATCACGGCCATGGCTGCGGCGCAATTTCAAGATATGTCGTCCGCGGTGATGTTCATGGGAGGCCGGTTTGTATGTACCTCCAATTATTTTTTTTTTCCTCACCTACTTACTAAGAGAAGGTGGGACCCTGCCACTCCAGCCAAAGGCGACTTCCTTTTTTTTTTTTTTTTTTTTTTTTTTTTTTTTTTTTCGGATGGAGCAACCTGGCAAGGGGCCCCTGCAGCTGCCGCCGGGGCGGAAGGCGGCGCTACAAAGCCCCCGAGCCAATCAGAGACGAGACGACTCTTCAACCCATTCACGCGACTGGAACCATTCGAGAGCTCGAAAAACTTCAAGCCAGAGATATTCCGAGCTTGAACCTCCCTGCTTGCTTGAGGCCGACTCGACGACAACCCGCTCCGCTCCTCACCAAAACGTCACTTGGGCCCCCCCGCTTCCTCTCTCTCTCTCGTCCCACCTCGTCGCATACACACAAATACAATGGCGCTCTCTTGCAGATACGCAGCTCAGAGCTGCGCCCGTCAGCTCCGTGTCACCGGTTCGCTGCGTGCCTCGACATCCCTCTTCCAGACCCGAACTCCCGCGACCGCACGGAGGTACAACTCCACCGAGGCCGCCGCTCCTACGAACCCCAAGATCGCCGCCATCGTCGACCAGATCAGCACGCTTACCCTTCTCGAGACCGCAGACCTCGTGTCAAGCTTGAAGGTTAGTTGAAAGACACAGCGAACGGGGGGGTTGGGTGCTGCATCAAACCATCCATCCATTTCCCGAATGGACTCGTCGTAAGGGAGGGGGGGGTGGAGAGAGAAATGCAACGATGCTGACCGTTATTTAATTGCAGTCCAAGCTCAACATTCCTGACCTTCCCGTCGGTGGCTTCGCCGCCGCTCCCGCAGCCGCCCCCGCCGCGGCCGCGGAGGTTGAGGAGGCCGCGCCGGCGGCAGCTGAGAAGAGCGTCTTCAACATCAAGCTTACGGCCTTCGACGCCGCCTCCAAGGCCAAGGTCATCAAGGAAGTCAAGAACCTGCTGGGTCTCAGCTTGGTGGACAGCAAGAAGTTCGTCGAGAGCGCGCCGAAGCTGATGAAGGAGAACGTGGCCAAGGACGAGGCCGAGAAGATCATCGCCACGATGAAGGAGCTTGGCGCCACCGTCACCATGGAGTAAATCGCCCTGACGGCTGGCTGGTTGGCCGATTTGAGAAACGAGGGCGCCCTACTCCCTGGGGAGGAGATGTAAAACTCGGGCGGGAGGAGCATTGTTGTCGGACATCTGGATTGGATTGGTCTAGACGGACGTGTATGAGTGTATAAACACCCATGTAACAATATTATCAAGACACATACACCACCATTTCTTGCTGCAAAGCCGCCTCTAGCTTTGTGAACTTGTTGCGTCGTTCCTAGTGCTCCTCGAGCCACTGTTGATGAGAAACCCCAAAACCCGGTACTACTACCAATGGTATACACAGACCCGGCCCGGCCGCCGAAACCAACCCATGAACGCCAGTTTTCCACTCTCCACAGGATTAAACGCCAGGAAATGCTCATGCGAAGCCGACAAAGTAAGTGCTGCGTCGTCAGCCCTCAATGCTTCTTGCCATTCGCGACACGGGTACTGGCGGGACCAGCAGGTGGCTTGGGGGCACATGAGTGCTTCATGGCCTGGGTGCATGCGACAAACTCCTCCTCGGCAAGGATGTGATCGTCATCGCCCAGGTCGCTCGTCTCGTCCCAGATCTTGTCGATCTCGGCGGTCTCATGGGCGCCAATGGCCCAGATGTTCTCGCGGAGACGCTTGTGGCGCTCGCGGTCCTCCTCGATGCGCTGCTCGATCTGGCGCTTCTCCAGCCGCGGGGCCCGGCCGTTGGACGGGCGCGCATGGCTAGGCGGCGCGTCGCCCATGTCGACGTCGCCGTTGACGGGCGACGAGAGGCCAGCGTCGTGGGCACTGGTCTCGCGCTCCCTGAGGACCTCCTCGATCTCGACGACGGTGCGCGCCTCGAGAAAGTTCTTCTGCTGGAGGCCCTGAAGAACCTGGTCTGCACGTCAGCAAGCCCAGTCGAGCTCATGTAACATGAGCACACCCGGCGGGGACTCACCCTTCTGACGACCTTGACGTTGGCAGCGCCAGATCCATCATCAGGAGCGACGGCGTCGACAATGCGAATGATGTCGCGCTGCATCATGCGAACGTAGTCGACGTGCTTCTCCTTCTGGGCCATTTCCAGGAAGTGTTCGATGAAGTACATGATGTTGGCGCGAGTGTTCATGTTGTTCTGGGGGTGGGCGGAGGGGGGAAAAGTCAGTATCAGCCTCTGTCGTTTTCTGCATTGAACTGAACTCACCCGTTCCAGCTGCTCGAGTATGCAGGAGTGCAGGTCCTCATCCATGTCCTTGTACTTGAGGGCATATTGAGCGGCCTTCTGAGCTGAGGTGACGGACGCGTTGAGATGTTGAAGCTGGGCCGTGAAGCGCATCCGAACCTCGAAAGGGTCCGCCATGTCTGCTGGATGCCAGTCCTCGTCGGCGTCGGGTTCAGCGGAATCAGTCTAGAGGATCAAGCCGAAATGGTTATCAGATTCGCTGGCGACGCCCGGACTGAGGTCATTGACGAGACCGGATGGATGCTCTTTGCTGAGCACGAAAGCTGATACCTACCTAGGTACCTTACTGCAGGGCGAACGAATGAGCGACTCAGTTTCCCACAGGGGTGTGCCGTCGCCCGTTTCCATGGTATTTTTTGGCTCTGCCAGCGCTGTGCGAAAGGTAACGAGCGGAGTGCTACGCCATGCCGGGTTTAGCGCGGAAGAAACGGCAGCTCAGTGGATGAGGACGGACGATCTCGGATCAGTGACCAGTGGAGAGCTCTTTTCACTCACCCCTCGACTCCTATTCTTTTTTTTTTTTTTTTTTTTTTCATTTGTGCTTTAAATTAATGGGCTGAGACGTTGCAGTCGAATGGCGTTTCTACACACTGGAGTTGATTGTACAGACCAAGCTGCTTCTTATTTTCTTTGCTGAACCTGAATCCAGCCTTCCACCAGAAGCAGAAAAAGGTCATTAATTGCACCAGGGCAAGCATCACTTACAACTTACACCGCAAATCTCATCCCATATCGACCCTTCACCATGTCTGTTATGGGCGACCACAGCTCCGAGGAGCTGACAATGACTGTCCTTGGCTGCGGTGAGTAGACGGCGGGACCCTCGGAACGGAGCGCGGAATACTGACTTCCGAACAGGAACCATGGGTATCGCCATCTTGAACGGCATCCTCACCTCCCTCGTAGAGATGCAGGCCCCCAGGCCTCTCCAGATGCTCCATACGCCCTCGGCGTCAGGCACCTCGACGCCCCTGCATGATGAAGTCCCCGCCCGCCTCCCCTCGCGCTTCATCGCATGCGTTCGCCGCTCGGAGAGCGCTAAGAAGGTCAAGAAGGCGCTCTGGGAGCACTCGTCGATCCTCAAGGTCGTTCAGAACGACAACGTCAACTCGGTCCACCAGTCCGAGGTCGTCATCCTTGCCTGCAAGCCCTACATGGTCAAGGACCTTCTCAGCGAGCCCGGCATGGCCCGCGCCCTTCACGGCAAGCTGCTCATCAGCATCTGTGCCGGCCTCACAGAGACTCACCTGGAAGAGATGCTCCACGGCGCCGTGCCGACCAAGAACCCCGAGGAGGACGGCCGGTGCCGCGTCATCCGCGCCCTGCCCAACACCGCCTCGCTCATCCGCGAGGGCATGACCGTCATCGGCGCCCCGACTTACCCGCTTCCCTCCCAGACCGCGAGCCTCGTCACCTGGATCTTCAGGCGCATCGGTGACGTCGTCTACCTGCCCGCCAACAACATGGACGCTAGCACCGCCCTGTGCGGCTCCGGCCCGGCCTTCTTCGCCCTTATGCTCGAGGCCGCCATCGACGGCGCCGTGGCCATGGGTATCCCCCGTGTCGAGGCCCAGAGGATGGCTGCCCAGAGCATGAAGGGCGCCGCGTGCTTGGTCCAGAACGGCGATCACCCGGCCCTGCTGCGCGACAAGTGCACCACCCCCGGCGGCTGTACGATTGGGGGCTTGTTGGTGCTCGAGGAGGGTCGCGTGAGGGGCACCATTGCGCGTGCTGTGCGTGAGTCGACCGTCGTTGCCAGCCAGCTTGGCCAGGGTGTCCAGGGAGTCAACGGCACTCGTTTCACCCCTCAATCAGGATACTCCCAGTTCTAGATTTTTTTTTCTTTCTTTTTCTCCTCTTCTTGCGCCGGTGGGCGTTCTCAAGAGCGTGTTAGCGTTATACAGCATGGATGACGAACAAATCATTTATACTTGCCGCCATTACATGAACTTGCCATTTTATTTGTCCTTAGCTGGGGGGGTACTTCGGGTGTATGTATCATCTGGTGTGTTCGTTTGACATGGTTGTTAGGGGGAGGGTTGATTTGCTGCATACTTTCCTTCCTCTTTTCGAGATTATACAAGCAAAAAGAAGATGAAAAATACATTTTCCTACGCCCTGTTATTCAGTGTAGTTCGAACAGCGCCCCCCCTCCCCTCCCCCCCTCCAACGAGGCCCAGTAAGTTTCGTTTCGGGGGTATCATGTTAAAGCTTTAAAGAACTAGGCCACACACTCCGTCATCGCTGAACCGGTGACAGAGGGGACGGTAGGATGGATCAAATAGACATCTTCGAAGCTGGGTAGGTGGTTTAGGTAGGGTTCGGTGGTGACAGCAAGGTTGTTGTCACGGAAGAAACGCCCACCGCGCCCCTCCCCCATGGGACAACATAGTCTCTACGAGGTGTTCTGTACCTAACTGACGTCTTCAGATCAACCAATTAAGATACTGACGTAAGTAATTGGGAACGGAGAGGTGTTAGTAGAGCGGAAGGTGGATGTATCAGCCGCGTATTATAGAAGGCAGCACATACCTATATAAGATCTTGACGTTGGATGCTGGAGGATTATAGGAAGGGCCCTCCAGCGAAATTCCCGGGACGTAAAGCGACTTAGGAAGCCGTGAACAAGTGTCGGATTGCACAGGTTGTCTGGGCTGTCTTCGACCTATTTCGGCTTGTCAACATCTCTTCAACTCAGGTCGGCCCACTTCGTATGCTAGCAGGACAAGGCTTGAATCACTTGTGGGCGTCGGTTGCCAATGGCCATAAGTCTAGCATATCTGCTAAGCGTCACTATGCCGGGGCGGGTCAACTTACACGACTTTTGACAAGTTATATTGGAATGAGAATTTTCCTTTTCATATCATACAGACAAGTAGACTCTGAGTCGTTCCCGTTATTCTCCCCCGTCTAGTCTATGGCTAAAAATAACAAACAGGTCAAAAACCCGGTCTAAATGCAGCCACCCCTATTGACTTTGGTTTACTACTACAGCTTCTAACCCATAACTTACATCTTCCCGAGGCGAGTGTTTTCGGAGAGGGTCAGAGGTCTCGGGGTGTCGGAGCATGTACTCAGACGACCCCCCTCGCCCCCCCCAAAGCTGAATTCACTCAGAATCGAGAAATACCTCTCCCGAAAACCCAAGTGATGAACCAGTAGAACGATACCAGGATCTTGTTCCGGATGCTCATCGACTTGGTCAGGTAAGCGCAACGCCACAGAATCCACGCTGTTCACGCATTAGCACAAGAGAGCCACACCGCTCGAAGGGCGCCGTTTCTTCAAAGGAAAACATACCTGCCCGGCCCTTCAGCTCATCCGCGGAGCTCTGGTGGATCGCCCTCCAGCTTCCCAGGTAAGCCATCGTCCCCAGGTTGCGGAACTTGAACGGCTTGCTCCCTCGGTCGTCCGCCGCCCTGTTGAGCGTCTTGGCGAGGTACACGGCCTGCTGACTCGCCACCTGCGCCGTGGCGGGGAGCGTCCCGGTCTCCAGGACGGAGCAGTCGCCCAGGGAATACACGTCCGGCAGGACGGCCTTTTCGTTATCCGGGTCGTCGAGGCGGACCCTCAGGTGGGAGTCCGTGATGATGCCGCCGCTCCTCTCCGCCTTCAAGACTTTCAAACTCTCCCTTTCCTTCCCCTCGACTGCCGAGGCGGGGTTGCGCAGCTCCTTCTTCAGGATTTTCTGGACGAGCGGGTTCTGCATCAGCCCCGTGCTCCACACCACGAGGCCCGCGCCGACCTCCTCGTCGCCGTACTCCTTGATCTTGAGCTTCAGCGTGTTGTGCGTGTCATCCTCGTCCGGCCGGATGCGCTGCAGGTGGTGCTGCGTCTTCACCTTGATGCCCTGGCGGCGGAAGAGGTCCTCGGCGTAGGAGGCGAGCTGCTGCTCGAACATGGGCAGGACTTTGGGCGCGATGTCGTAGACCGTGATGCCGACGAACTCCATGAGGTGCGGGTACAGCTTGGACAGGTCGTCGTGAATGAGGTCGTGAAGCTCGGCGGCGAACTGTGAATTAGGTCAGTGTGTCATTCGGGGTTGAAGCTGGGGGCAGGGGGGGAGGGGGGGCGACTGCCGACCTCAATTCCTGTCGGGCCACCTCCCACGATGGCAAAGTGCAACATCTTCCTCCGCTGCTCATCCGTGGTCGTGGGCCAATCGGCCTTCTCGAAACACTGGAGCACCCTCAAACGAATGCTCCTCGCATCGCCAATATCTCGCAGGAAGTTGGCGTACTCCTTGACACCCTCGATGCCGAAGGTCTGCGAATACGCCCCGACGGAGATGACTAGCTTGTCGTAGGGCACATCAATCACCTCCCCCTTGGGCCGGTGCGGCTGCCTCTCCGGGAGGGTGCGGGACGTGGCGTCCTGGGACGTGACCTTCTCGACGCGGACGAGCTTCTTGGAGAAGTCGATGTCGTCCGCCCAGGCCTCGTAGAACGAGTCGAGGTTCAGCCAGCGGACGGGCTCGAGGATGGAGCGGAACTCTAGTGTGCCGACCGATGTCGAGGCCAGCAAGGGGGTGAAGACGAAGTAGGAGCGCGGCGAGATGAGGATGCGCTCGTACTTTTTGGGGTCGAGTTCGCGGGCAAAGGCATAGCCTGCCCATCCAGAGCCCAAAACGACGACCCTTTCGCGTTTCCGCTCTGGCACGCAAGTTAGCAGGTTTCGTGAGCATCTCTTGGTCACTGTTCGGGGTACGGGTGGCGAGGGAGGGGGTGGTTATTAAGTTGAGTGAGTCAGACTAACCCGTCGGCGAATTCGAGCTCGTGCTGTTGCGATACTTCACAACACTCGTGTTAGTCGTCGCCCCGGCCCGCAATGCTGTCCCGGCGGGACCCCAGTGTTCAGGCCGGGCGAGGCTTCTCCAATATTGCCGTGCGACTTTCGATGATGCCATTTTGGTATCGTAACTGAATCACACCACCACACGCACTACGACGGGGCAGCAGTGAGTATATGCCATATATATGGGATGTCTGCGAATTCAGCCCCTGGACGGACCCTGGCTTGACGAGGCGCTGCGTCAAGCCCTGATATTTTGTCTGGGCGTTTGTAAGTGGGCGCGATAAAGGACCGGAAGTCTATGCGCTACTCAAAGAGCGTGCTTACCGGTGACGGGACGATTCGGAGGAGCGGGTTGCTGTGGAACCTCGACGACTTCAAATCCTACGCGGGAGGGAAGGATTCCGAAGCGAATGAGGAACGTTCTGAGGATATCAAGGCATTGATAGCTTTTACCTGAACCTAACTACACGCAAATTTCTTAGCGCCGTGTTACCGAGGCCGAGACGCTTGTGCCCGGCCATACGGACAAGTGACGTCTCCGTCTCCACTTTTCCCCGTCCGGACACTCCGGGATGGAGTCTCCGCTTTTTGATGTTCAAATGACGTCTCAAAATTGTTTACTTTTGGTACCTAATACACAGATTGACCACCCTCTTCGTCCAATAGCCTTTCAGCCACGCGGCCCTTGGCTCCATCCTTTTTTTTTTTTCTTCCTCTCCTACCCATTCGGATTCTCTATTGCAACATGGAGTCCAAGCTTTCGCCAAGGACTCCTTCGATCTTAACGATCCACCGATGCGTCTCCCGCTCGACAACCTCATCGTCGTCGTCCTGGAGCTCGCTGATGTAGGGCAGCATTTCGGGCAGCGCCGACAGCCATTCCTCGCCAAGCTTCTCGGCGAGCTCCTGCTGACACTTGACGGCTGCCAGACGGACGGCTGCCTGCTCAGACCGCAGGTGGCGGAGGATGGCGCTGTTGAGCTCCTTCTGGTGCTCCTGGGAATCGGCCGCAGACGCCAATTCTACAACCGCAGGGATTAACTCAGCCGACAGATCGACAGAAGTGGCGTTGAGGAACTGCGCAGTGAGAACGGGCGCAACCTTGCTGAAGTGCGCGGGCGCCTGCCAGAAGTCGTCCTGGTCGTGCGCAAAGCACCTCGCCAGAGTAGAGAGGACACGCTGCCACAGATCCTTCTGCTCCGGCAGCTTAACGTCGCAGGCTTTGATGATTTCGACGGCGTCGTCCACGATGTAAGTCGCGTAGTTTGTGACGATCGACTTCAGGCTCTCGAAGAACACGTGCAGGAATCCGTAGACACTAAAACGACGCAGTGCGCGCCCCGTAACATCTTGTTTGGGGAGCTGCGTAGACCACTCGACAATCTGGGTGAAGATGGGCCTGAAAGCCGCATCGTTCAGCTTGTAAATCATCTTGAGGGCGACGTCGTTGATGGATGCCTCGATCTTGGCCACGCGCTGAGATGCTGCGCTGGTGAGCTTGTCCTTTGCGTTCTCGCGTCTTCGGAGGTCCAACGAGTTGAGGAGAATCGCGGACAGGGATGTGACGTTCTTCGTGACGATGGACTTGGTGTGGCTCTCGACCACGACGCCAAAGATGTCAACCCATTCCTCAGTTGCCTGTAGGTCTGTTAGTCTCGTTGCAATCCCGATCATCTTCCGAGCAACTTACGTTGAAACCAGCCTCGGTGGCCGGGATCCAGTTCTTCTCCAGGCTGCCCAGCATGGTTTTGGCCTCGACCTTTCTGGCGAGGAATCTTAGGCAGTTGAGGCGCTCATCGTCGGCTTCGCTATCTAGATCGGCCTCAGCCGACTTGTTGGAGGCAAGGAGGATGCTGTCTAGGTGCTTCGCAGAAATCATATAAGGTAGGTGCTGCGCCAGGGCGGTTATGAACGCGTAGCCAGCGTTGTGCAGTTCGTTTGCTGTCGTCTCGTCCTCCACACACTGCTCGATGTAAAGGATGGCCTGGGAAATGGCAATGTTGACAATAGGCAGGATTCCGTCCTGCAGAACATCAACAAGAGAGGCAAGGCAGAGCAGGGCCATGACGCGCAGGCGGGCATCGGGCTGGCCGAGGCAGTGAGGTCCGGCAATGGTCGCCGCAGCGCCTGCCACGGCCTCGATATCCTTCTTGCCGTACTTCTCCGCAATCTTGTCCACGCAGGCAACGGCGATGTGCTTGTATTTGATGTCGTCGGTGTCCCTGATCGCGGCGGTGAGTTGCGGCAGGAAAGCGAGCAATGCCGTCCTGGAAGCGACGTCCGCGACGCTCTCTTGGTCCACGCGGACCTCGAGGGCCCGGAGGACCTTGCGGCGGAGGTCGATTTCGGTACGGTCTAGGAGATTCTCGACCGACTTGATGAACTCGCCAATGGACAGGAGGTTTAGCAGGTTAGCCAGGGCGTTGCCGCAGCATTCGTGCAACGCCTTTTGCTGCTTGACGGTCTCGGCCAGGGCCAAGACATCCCTGAGGAGAACGGCGTACAGGTCCCGAATCTTGGAAGAATCCATGTCGTCCCTCTCCGTAAGCACGGTGATCTCCTTTCGGAGCTTTCTGCTGGAAAGGAGAGCCGGGAAGACGGTCAGCTGCTGCAGGGCAATGGTCTCGGGCTTCTTCTCCGTCGAGTCCTCCCCGACGCCCAGCAGGGTAGCCGACAGACCGGGCTTGGGCTTGAAGATGTCACTGATCAAGTCCAGGAGCTTAGCCAAGGTCTGGAGCTGCACCTCGGCGCTGTAGACGCCCAGGAGTTCAGAGGCAAACGCCATCAGGCTGTCGTTAGGACCATATCTATCGACCAGCATCGCCAGCAAGGCGTACAAGAATTCATCGGGGCCAAGGGTGTTGATGAGAGCAACGAACAAGCCTTGCTTGCGGTGCGCAGGGATGTGCTCGTACGCAGTAACGAAGCTTGCGAGCAGCTCAGCGGCGCCAGCGACCGGGTTCCGCTTGCCCTTTTTAAGGGACGCCATCAAAGGCGGAACGACCTCCTTGATGGTCTGGTTAACCACATGAGCAGAGTGATCGTCGTTTTGGCGGAGGACGGAGGCGCCCATAAAGGTGAAGATGGGCATCACACTATGAAGCACCAGATCAGGGGCAGCAGTGGCAAGGCTGGCAATCAGAAGCAAGGCCGAGTTTTGCACGATCGGGCTGGAAGACTTCTGGATGCAGTTGACGAGCAGGTCGCCATGGCCCCCTGAGCCGTCGATCTTCAGGCTCTTGTTGTTTCTGTAAGCGGGCACCATCGCGATCAAGCTCGTGAGCACCAAATTTTGCAGGTAGCCAAGTTCGGATCCGATGACGGTGCGGAAATGCTGGAGCTCAGAGAGGGTGCCGAAGAGACTGTCAAGGAGCTCGGGGTGGGAAGCAGGGTTGGAGCCATCCACGAGCTGGAGCACAAAGGTGACTGATCTCAACGTCGCACTGAGCTCGGCACTGGCTTGCGCAGTGACTACGCGGTTCGCCTCAGATGAGCTGGTCCTGCGTCGCTTGTTCGCCGGGGGCTCGGTGATGATCTTCGTGCCCGTCTGAATGGACTCGAGAAAGTAGGAAAGGATGTCCGTGGTGAGCTCGACGTTCCTCAGGAAATCGGCAGCCTCATCAGCAATGATGTCCTCCTCGTCCTGGGATGCGTGTCGCGCTTGAGAGAGCTCAAGCATTGTCTGAGCGACGTCGAACTTGGTGTCGGCCTTCATCGAACTCCACATGGCACGGATGCGGGCAGAGATTGATCGGACCAGCTCCGGGCGCTTAGCAGAGGCAGGGTCCTTGACGATTGAGAGGAGGCAATCCAGACCCTCGCTGTCGTTCGGCACAACAATCTCAGCGAATCTGGTGTGGAGCACAGCCTGGTCCACCTCCTCGGCCTCGGAAAGTCGAATCGTCTCTTCGGAAGACAAGGCAGCCCACCACTGGAACGCCGGCAGCAGCACCTTCGTCCTTGAAGTGGACGACACTCCTCTGATGCGGTTAAGGATCGAGAGAAGATTGGACTTGACCCTGAGCAGTGGTGTCGCAACAACGTGACTGGCGAGGAACGATAGGATCGATGCTCTACCCGATGAGCTGAGTGCCTTCTTCCCGTCGCTGCCCTCGTTCTTCGCGCTACTATCAAGCGCCGAGTGCAGCACCGCGCGAATGTAGTCTTCGTACATGATACATTCCTCAAGGGCCGGAAGGATGACGCCGTGAAGAAGGCGGGAAACAACATCGGCGTCCAGCCATTGCACCTTGGAGCTGTCGTCGTACAGCTTCTTACCGCCCCAGACAGAATTCTTCGCAGCCTTGGACTGATGAGGAAAGAAATGGCCGATCTGGATCAGGAGCTCGGCAGCTGTACGGCGCACCTTCTTGGAAGAATCGACCAGAGCCACGAGGCAGTAGGGGATGAGAGCTTGGAAATCGAGGTCGTTACCGTCGCCATCACTGAGACGTCTTCTGACCGCGTCCACAGCGGCCGCGCGAGCGAGAGTCGGGTAAGGACCTGACCAGATGCGAACAAAGAAGGTGATGTAGGTGTGATCGCTGACTGCCGTCTGTCGGCTGAGGGACGGCAGCTGGTCGAAATCAGCAAGCAGAGTCGGGTCTTCGGACTGCTGGGAGACAACACGGAGGAAAAGTCGGCTGAACTCGTCGTAGACCTCCCCAGTGCTGGTAGAAAGGCAGGAGGGGAGAGCGCAATTTTGGCCCGACAACTCCTGGATGGTCTCTCGCAAGTCCTCCTTTGCGGGGGCGGACTTGGGCTCGTCCATCTCGACGTCCTCCTGACTGCCTGGCAAGGCCTTTCTCTGGCGAATGGAAAAGTCGAGCTTCATTTCCAGCTCCTCGACATCGAAATCGACCTCCTCTAAGACCGTCCGGATGATTTCACTAGTGTCCCCGGAGAAGCGAGAAAGATCGATCAATGTTGAGCCAAGCTCCTTGCGAATTTCGCCGTCCCTGTCAACGTTGTCGTCGAGTCTGTGCGCAGCCAGCACCAGGGACTTGAAAATGACAGCAATCTGCTTCTCCTTCAAGATCTTGCTCATCAAGATGGCGCGGATGATGGGCAGACCGCGAGCGTCGCCCTTCTTGCACAAGCGTTCGATAAAGGCAATGCAGAGTCCGTTGGTGAGCTTGTCAACTCTCCTCTCCTGACCCAGTTCGACCAGAATCTCGCCAAGGTTCTGGACTTTCAGCAAGGCCTTGGTGACCTTCCCAGAAAGCTGTTTCGCCGACCGGTACTGCGCCAGAATGCACAAGCAGACGAGCCCAGGGCGAACAGTCTCGCTGGTCCAGCCGTGAACGATCTGCTCCATGAAGGCCGAAAGAGTCGCATCGTCAAAGCTGCCCTTGGCCGCAACGACAGTGACAGCCATGTAGGAGGCAATCTGCATGTTGGGGACTTTCTTCATCGACATTGCCTCGGCAAGCGTAGGCCCGACACGATGCAAGAAGGCTTCGTTGTTATCCTGCTGAACAGCGGCGCGGCCGGATCGCATGTTCTCGAGAAGCCCGTTTACAGCCTCCGTCATTACGCCACCCCAGAACGACACCAAAGTCGGGTATTGTTGCTGGTGCCTGCACGCCTCAAGCGTGTATTCGGACAGGGTGCTGAGGAAGTTGGCCTTGTGGATCGCCTCGTGGACCAAGACGGATCGCGGGGGGGAAGTGAGCGACTTGATGTAGGGGCTCAAGAATCGGTACTCGTGGGGGATCTTGGGCGGGAGGATCGAGAGCAAGGTGACGAATGCGGGGATCGAGTGATACGGGAGGAAGGTTGTGATGAGGGACTTGGTGTTATGCTCGTGAATTCTGTCGCCCGGTTAGAGAGATGGCGACATGGCATGGACCGCAACGGCATACCTGAATCTCCTTACGAGCCACTCGAGGGCCCGGATCGAAGGCATGAGCCTCAACCGGCTGCCGACAAGGCGGAGGAAGGACTCGACTTTCTTATCCAGTTCGGCATTTTCGGCAGCAGTCATCTGGGTTCGATCTTCGCTCATGCTCTGCTCGCTGAAGAGCGTCTTGGAGAAGGGTTTGAAGCGGCCATCGAGTTCGCAAAGCTCCTCGAAGCCCTCGGAGCATATCGTGTAAAGAGTCTGGTAGCTCTGGGTCGCAGCAACTCGCGGCTCGAAGATTAAGGACTTGGAATGGGCGGCCTTTTGCGCCCTGACATCCAAGGAAGCCTTGGAGTTGGCGGCGATCTGCGCTAACTGCGCAGCAAGAGAGGACACCATATCTTAGAAGTTTTGCGGCATTCCGCGGTGATTGAACAACTCAATGGCGGGGAGTCCTACGAGACTGGGATTTTTCCTAGAGCGTGTACCTGGGATTTCTCGATTTTTTTTTTCCCTGGGCGGGTATTAGTTACGCCGACTTTTTTTTTTGTTGCTGATAAGTCAGTTAGCGAATCATTTCAATTATTGATAAGGTAGTGGGTAGAGTAGCATTGACCCCACCGTCCCCTCCTTCTCTACCATTGCGCACCAGCTCAAGTCTTTGGAAGCTCGGGATTCCATATAGTTGCTCCGAGCTTGTCAAGCTGAGTCGGGTACGTTCATTTCAATTTATACCTTACCTAACTAGATAGATAATGAGTCTTTGTAATACTAGTTCGTCATTGCGAGTTCGGGAATCAGGATCGCTCATGTTTGATTGTCAGTAAACAAGTGTTTCCAGAGGTCGAGAGGCTTTAGTGTTGTTAGTCTCTTCAGTGGAACCCAACTTGCTTGCTGCTTTTCCAAGCTGGGAGCCGTTTTGCATGGTTGATGGACCCGTAACCGCAGGCAGTCCGTGTGAATGATCCAGTTAGCAGTCTCGTTCTCTAGCCGTTCCGTGGGGGTTGTGGGATCGGGAGTTTCAGCGGGTTGCCTGCAGAGGCGGCTCGTGTAGTAGTAAGACACTATTTAGCCCAAGTCGGACTCACCAACCAATTTGCTCAGAAGACACACTTCCGCAGCCTGGTTGATTCTCACATTGTTCCTTTCTGACCCGCCTCCGCTTCAGTAACGCTTTACCTCATGGCGGTAGGTTACGGTTCCGGAATACAATGAATTGAACCGGGGCGGCTTACCATGATTGCAGAAACCCTACCCCCAAATCGTGCTCCTCGGAGACTCCCTCATCCAGGGCTGTTGCGAGGCATCCGATGGCTTCTCGTTTCAAGCAGAGCTCCAGTGCCGTGAGTCGTCTCTGGTCTGCGTTGCATCCTCGAGCTTATAGGCCGCCTCTCAGATGCGATGCGCCGCTTCGATGTGGTCAACCGTGGCTTCTCTGGCTGGAACACAGCGAACGCTGTCAGATATCTCGGCGATATGTTCCTCCCTCCCTCCGAGTCTGGGCCAAAGCTGGAATGTCTCGTGAGTGTAGCAAACCACTCCCGGGCGTCACTTTGCTAAGGTCTTGACCAGGTGGTGCTTCTCGGCGCAAACGATGCCGTCCAGCCCATGTTAACGACCGTGCAGCATGTCCCGCTGAGCGATTACAAGAAGAATCTTGTCAAGATCGTCACGCACCCCAACATCACAGGTCACAACCCCAAGATTATCCTCGTCACGCCGCCACCCATAGACGAGATTCGTGTCACCGAGCTCGACCTGGCCGCGGGCCACCCGAAGCCCCAGCGGACCTCCAAGATTAGCGCCGAATACACACAGGCGGCACGAGATGTGGCGGCCGAGGTGCCCGGCGTGGTGCTGGTCGACCTGTGGCAGGCGTTGATGGACCACGCTGTGTCCAGGACGCCAGGGTTTCAGGCCGGAGGTCCTCTGCCAGGCACGCCGGAGTTCGGCGAGCGGGGCGGGCTGGCAGATCTCCTCCCGGACGGCCTCCACATGAGCGGCGAAGCATACAGGGTGTTTTACGAGACGTTGTCGGTTCACCTCGGCGACTGGAGCAAGGGCCCCTCCGTCTTCCCGGGCTGGCGTGAGGTGAACCCTCCAGCGTAGACATGACTGAGGGCACTCTGACAAAAGGGGAAAGCTGATGGAGAGGGTCCATGCAATGTTGCATGTGCCCTGCAGGAGTATTTGAGATCAAGGCGATTTTTAGAATGTACGTGGTTCCAGACATCGAAAGTCTTACCGGTGCTTCGGCTCTACCAAGCACGTGGAAGTTCCGTCGCCATCTACTTTGTCCCCGTCGTAGCTTGGCCTATCTTTGTGCGTCTGGTAATACTGGCCCCGAGCCACAGCAAGACATATTGGCTTGTGAGACATGTCTCGAGACCGCCAAGCTTCTGTTTGTCTCGTCAGCATGGCATTCCTTAGCATGCCATCGGATCTGTCCACGCCGTAAAATAATAAACGATGTCCTTCAGCAGCGTACGGGTACTGTTTGCTCTAGGATCTGGCTTGTTCCCTATGCACATCCTACCTTTTTGACAAGGACACACACACACACACACACACACTCAAGTATAAGTATAGCAACTCGCGGACCTTACTTGATTGCCATGCAGTGGGGGGCAGGCTTCGATCGCATCGGCACCGACAACTCAGCTGCTTTAGAGTTTGGGTCTCTGCAGGAGGCGAGCAAGTCCCTGGTGGAAGTCACTCTCTGCGGAAGAGGAGCCAGCAACAAAAACAGAAGGCAGGTAGGTGCGTGTGTCTGAGTGGACGGGTGACGCCTGAGGTCTTCAGCACGTCCCCGAAGCCCTCCTCTCCCAATCGTGCCCTCACCACGTCACACAACCTATGCCGACGCGGCAAACAACTGGTGGTCCCCGCTGCAAGTTCCAGTTGGTGGAGGGCCACGACTTGGCGTTCATTGCGCTGCGCTGCTGCACTGCACAGCATTGCACAGGGGCGATTCCAGTGAAAAGCACCTAGGTACCTACCTTATGTAAGGTGGGTAGGCAGGTACTCAGAGCAGTGGGCTGCTGCCCCGCCGAGGTACCGCGCGAGTACTGCTAGAGTCCCGGGTCTAACGCACTGTATCAACCCGAGATGTACTGGACCCTCATTGCCTCCTTGCTCGAGTACCTGGAGTCACCCTGCACCAAGTCAACAGGAGTATGTCTTTCGCCCTGCAAGCTGCAGCCTCTCGAGTAACATCTGGAATCAACTACATCCAGGCTACATCCAGCCAGCCACACGCCGAACCTTTGGGACCATCTCGCGTTGGCCCGGCCCCATCCTCCACTCCCGTCGCTGCCCGTTCACCTCACCTCCTTCGAGCCAAGTCCTTGTTTCTGTCCACCTCCCGTTCACTTCACTAATTCAACGTGCTTGTCTGAACCGACCTCAGGACTTTTGTTTGTCTCCTCCAACCCCTCATCTCTTCGACTCCTTACCACAAAACGCTCGACAGTGTGCTTAGCAAGCATTTACCTTCTTCGGACCGTCCTCCTTTCGACGCCACTTCTGTTACATCCCATCCTACTCTTAACCGCGAGCCCTCTGTCGGCGCTGAACTGCATCTACCTCGACCGCTCCTCTCGCCCTCCCAAGTGACGACAACACCCGCTTCAATCCCCAATCCCCCAGAAAACGAAGTCTTCCTTCGCGCCCTGCTTCGGCTGCACAACTGTTCAAAGATATCCTTGTGCTTAATAGCCTCGGCATTTGATTGCGCCTGGACATCGAAATCCTGCCGATACCCACGATCTCCCAAAGCCACCTTACTCGGGGCAATTCCGCCTCCATTGACCATCGTGCAAAACCAGCATAGTGCCATCGCCACTCTCAAGCTGCCGCAGTCGCTGAGATCGACTGGACCCTGTGAAAAGAGCCACTTGTCAAAGGAGAACATACCAAGATTGCGCCTGCTGCCGCTGTCGTCGACGACCTACTTGGTCTTACCGTGCGATGTGGCGGGGGAGGAGGACCTCGTGAACTGATATCGTAGGGATCGAGGTCGGAAGCGCCCATAGCCTTCCTCGGCCCGTCATTCGAACGCGCTTACACTCGAACCCCCATTTATATATAGGCGTGTCTCTCTTACTCGAACGACCCTTTACTACGACCTGTTTTGCCGATACCCTCTCCAGCGCTTCCGCCCAATCACGATCTGGTCCCAATACACTCGCTTGCTATCGTCTTTCTTTCTCCCGCCAGCCGCCGCATACCCGGTATATTTCCCTGAGTTTCTCAACCTCAAGACATCTATCGCACACAGTTGATCGGGACCACTTCCGGGCATGGATCATCGGTTCCCAATCACCCGCGACGACCTCTTCAACATCCAGATGGATTTGAAGCAAATCCAACTGGTTCAGAGTAATCAGGGCGAGAGACTGCTGAGGCTTGAAAGGCGTCAGGAACAGGATGCCAGCCTCAAGTCTGTATGGCAGCAGCATCCATTTCCTGGCGTTTTAGCCGGAACTCCCCAGCAAGGTAGGGCCGCTACGTGTGTCCATGTCGCATCCAGACGCTGTTGACATTCTGTGTATCAGGGCCGATTCATGTATCACCCAACGACATGTTTGATGATTTCGACGAGCAAGGCCAGCATTTGCTGAGCTCGCTCCATCTTGGGCCGGCCGAGGAAGAGCCTACCCGCCGCGGTGCTGCTTCTCGAGCGAACAGTGTACGATTCGACGAAAGTGCGTTGCGGGGAGCAGACTGGTCAAGTCAAAGCAACCGCCACTCTGGTGAATTTGGACCTCCACGTCCAAGCAGCGGCTTGATGATGGAGAGGTCTCTGTCCCACAAATCGGATGGACGACACAGTTCAGCGGGCCATTCTGTCCACTCCTTTCATTCTGTGGCATCTGGCCGAGCGAGCAGTTTGGGACTGGATACCAATTTCATGGTCAGCAGCCACGAGGACGACTCTCCTGTCGACATGCCAGAGCCGCCGCCAGGCCTCTTTTTCCTGGGATCCGTACCAACCATCATCCGATGCTGGCTCACGACCAACTTTGCGCACGATACCGTTCTGTACGCTGACCTATGCACGGGCTCTCAGAAGTCTGTGGTGGACTATTCTGTCATCAGGGACCTTGGCATGTTGGACGAGATTCAACGCGACGTGGACGGCACTTACAAAATCCGGCTCTCGGTCTACCTAGTTGAAGCGACCGTCTCCGAACGGAGCAGCCGGTCTTCGAGTCCGGGCCACCAGATGCCAAGCCTCCTGACCACGTTTGAGGTGTCTGGTATGGAACAGGCCGAAGGAGCTGAACCAAAGCGGGGCATCCAGATCTTCATCGGCAGCGACACCCTCCGAGCTCATCAGGCCGACATTCTCCTTTCCCAAAACCGCATGAGTCTGTATGGCAGCGAGCGCGAAAAACTGTCGGTACCTTTTGTGCGCCCCGAGGATGAAGGTGCGTTCAAGCACATCAGCACAACCAACCTCATCCCAGAGAAACCTCGGCTCAACGCCAACGCCGCCCCATTCGTTTCCGGAGACCCGCGGCCGCAGGCCTCCACAACGCACGACGCATTGGAGAACAGCGTCTCCAGCGTGCAGCCTGAGGATGCCGAGTTGCAGGGTCCATTTTCTCCACTGGGACATCACTCTGTACCTGACAAGTCGGTTGGAGCAAGCAACCTGTCTGAAAGTGGCGGGGAGAGTGAGAGGATAGGCAAAGATCACGCCAGCGGGTCCGAGTCCGGGGCCAGAGAACCTTCAGTTGTGCAGAATAGCTCAGCCAGCACAGATGGCAGCCGACGTGAGTCTGCTGGCGGCATCTGGGGGTCATGGCGCCAGGGAACTTCGGCAAGCGGGAGTGAGAACGGGCAAAGAGACGCCAATGGTCCCTTGAGCGGCTACCAGCCTGCGGGCCGCTCAAGTCGGAATATGAAGGTGTTGAAACCCCTGAAATCGGGCTCATCATCCTCTGCCCGAACCGGGGCGGCTTATGAGCCGCCACCAGCACCCAGGACCAGCGGCGAACATCGCCGAAAGAGCCAGGCTAGCGTAGCGGCAGAGAGCACGCCCCCGGCAACGGTTCGCTGGGAATCCAAGAGGTCAGTCAGCAGCGTCAGCAGCACGACAGAAGCCAAGGCTCAACGCGAAACGAAGAACGCGGGCCCGCCTCTGCCGCGATCGGTGAACCCGATCGGAGGCGCATCCGCATTCTCGTGGATGAACCCGACAGGCAAAGCGAAGCCCACGGCAACGGCCGAGTAGAACTGCTTATGCAGAAGAGAAAAAAGGGTAGGCCCCGGCGGCACTTGACATAAAGGTGGTCAAACACGACCAAGAGCACTAATCTTCTTTTTCTTTGCTTTGACCAAACGACCCTCCTCCCCCAACATGAAGAGGCGGGATGGCTTCAGTACTGCGCGAGACGGGCCGACTGGTAGCCATTCAGTGTACCAGGACAGGATGAGTTCCATAGCACGACGGCTAGAAAAGTCCGCATGACGGATACAGAATTGAAAAACAGGAAAAAAAAAAAACCGCCCCATCATCTCACATGTTGATGTTATCTTCAGTGTTTATCAGATTGCATACATGCTAGTTGATCGGCAGCGCTTGGCGGTGGCGCCGCAAAGCAGTTTGCAATCTTGGCTGCATCGAAAATCAGTTGCCCGCATCTGTGGGCTGAATGTAGGGGTTTGATGGCTGGACATGTGGCCTTTGGCCAGCCAGCCACGACAGCCAGCAACCGTCTCTACCTGCTTGTACGGAGTACGGAGTACGGATACACTGCAAAGATAGGTACACGCACGCTGCAAACCCCAGGACTAGGTAGGTAAGGTTGGTGGCCGGGGCCGGGATTAGACACCCCCACTTATTAGTCGCACCCCGCACTGCGTCCCCCCGCAATGTTACGATTGATGAAAGTCGATTATTGCCATCGTCTCGACCGAAGACCATCTTGAGAATAGATCTTGTTGATGTTAATTGGTTTTGGTTCGATTCGAATATCTGGGATATGCCCATCGCGAGAGAATTTCGCATCCCCGTCCAGTGCACTGCCCAATTAACCCAGCAGCGACCGCACCGGCTTCTTCTACGACGCCGCCCCCTCACAACCGCGGCCATGTCCGACACTACTCCTCGCCGGCTGCCAAGGCCGGTCATTTTGTACGTTGGCGACGGACAACCTCCCTCGATTGTTTGGTGAAGCAAATCAAAAGAAGGGGAAGAATAAAATTGTACACATGAGACTGACCCGAGACCACCACAGCGTCTGTGACCTCCAAGATAAGTTCCGCAAAGCCATCTTCGAGTTCGACAAGGTGGTCAAGACGACCTCCAAGCTCCTCCGCGCCGCCGAGACCCTCAAGATCCCTGTCTACACGACGACACAGAACCGCGCGCGGCTCGGCGACACCGTATCCGAGCTGGCGCCGCTCCTCCGGGGGTCGGACCTCGTCCGCGTGCCTGTCGACAAGACCAGGTTCAGCATGTGGGTGCCCGAGATCGCGGCGCAGTTCAACGGCAAGGGCCCGCACGAGTTCCTGGTCGTGGGGATCGAGTCGCATATTTGCGTAACGCAGACGGCGCTGGACCTGCTGGCGGCGGGTCACAGGGTGTACGTCCTCGCCGACGGGGTGAGCAGCTGCAACCGCGAGGAGGTGCCGATCGCGCTGGAGCGGCTGCGGCACGAGGGTGTCACGGTCACGACGAGCGAGAGCGTCATCTACGAGATGATGGGCGACGCCGCGCGGCCCGAGTTCAAGAGTATCGTCGGGCTGGTCAAGGATACGAGCAAGGATACCAAGGAGGCTCTGCAGGCCCTGGCGCCCAAGATCTGAGGGGGAAGAAGGTTCCGCGACAGGTTTGGGACTCGGCGGGCAATGGATCTCTTTAGAACGTGCATTCTTTTTTTCTTTCTGGAAATGGACAGTTTTTGAGCCTTGTTGTTACTCTATACACGGACCCTTTATACTTTTTTCTTTGCTTTTTTTTCTTTTTCTTTTCTCTTTTCTTCGGGGGTTTTTTTTTTTAACGCACTCTATATCCTGTATGGGCCATGACATGAGGAAACAGCTTTATTCGACATGAACGGCCTTCACCTTGGCCCCTGAAAGCCAGGCTGAGTCCCCGTCGACGGTCTGCCTCCGTATCCGCGCCAGCTCGTCGATGAAAGCCGGCACAAACGTCCCGGGGCCCTGGACGTCGCCCCTGACGGCGGCCCGCTCGGCCGCAATCTCGAAATGCAGCAGGCCCGCGAGAACGGCGAGCAGGCGGTCGGCCTCCCAGGCGGCCAGCGCCGCCGACACCGTCGTGCCCAGAACGCAGCCCGTCCCGGTGATCTGGCCCAGCAGCTCGTGGCCGTTCTCCACGGCGAACGTCCGCCCGCCGTCCGACACGTAGTCGGTCGCGCCCGTCATGAGCACGACGTTCCTCTCCCTCCGCGCGAGGTCCCGCACGAGCCGCGCCTTCTGCGCGTGCGAGAGCGTCGAGCTCGAGTCGACGCCCTTCTGCTGCTGCTCCGGCGCCGCCTGCCCGTGGACAGTCGCGATCTCGCCCTCGTTGCCCTTGATGAGGTCCAGGTACCCGCCGGCGAGGATGGTCTGGACGGCGGCGCGGCGGACGGATGTGGCGCCCGCACCGACAGGGTCGAGGACGACGGGGCGGCCGGCAGCGTTGTAGGCGGACAGCGCCTGGAGGTAGTTGGCGATGCCCTCGGGCGTGACGGTGCCCATGTTGACGACGAGGCTGCCGCCGAGGCGGGCGAGGTCGGCGGCCTCCTCGCCGTAGTTGGCCATGATCGGGGACGCGCCGACGGCGAGGGCGACGTTGGCGGCGAAGTTCTGGACCACGAGGTTGGTCATGTTGTGGGAGAGCGGGGAGGCCGAGGCGACGGCGCTGATCACGTCCGGGACGCGGTCGAGGAGCGAGCTGACGTCCGCCGAGGGGGCGCCGCCGGATGAGGAGGAAACGATCTGCCGGTACGAGGGGCTGGTCTTGACGAGCTCCAGCAGGCGACGGGACTCGGACTCCGGGTCGGGCGCGGCGACGATGGCGCTGACGAGGGCGACGCCGTCGAGCGAGGGGCCCGAAGGCGGCGAGGGGGCGGACTGGTAGAGCACGCGCTGGATGTTGGAGGGCTTGAGGCCGCCGATGCAGACGGTCTTGACGCGGGGGATGTGGCCGGCCGAGGCGAGCTCGGCGAGGATCCGGCGGAGGCCCGCGGTGCCGATGATGTGTTTTGTGTTCTCCTTGCTGCCGGGCTGTCAGTGAGCCGAGCGAGGGGTGGCCAGGGGGTGTGCAACGTACGTGGATGTCGCAAAGACGGTGCCGATGCCGAGGTAGTCCGCGCCGTCTTCGCAGGCCTTTAGGGCCTCCTCGACAGTGCTGGCCGTGACGCCGATGATGGCGTCCGGGCCGAGGATCTTTCTCGCGGCGGTGAGTTCTGATCGGGGTAGTTTGTCAGTTCATGAGTTTTGTTTTATAGTTTTGTGTCTTTTCTTTTTTCTTTTTCCACGGCGATGCATCATTGAGAACATAGACGGGAGCGTAAGAATAGTATTATCATGGTGTGGAAGAAAAGAAAGAAGAAAAGAATAGATTAAGAAAAAGAAAGAAAAACACAGTCCACTCACCCATGTCGTCCTGCCCAATGTGCACGCCCTCGCAGCCGACGGCGAGGGCGACGTCGACGCGGTCGTTGATGAGCAGCGGCACGCCGGCGGCGCGGGTGACGGCGTGCAGCCGCCTGGCGTTGGCGACGAGGGCGCCCGTGTCGCTCGTCTTGTCGCGGTACTGCACGACGGTGACGCCGCCCCGGACGGCGGCCGCGACGACGGAGGCGAGGTCGCGGTCGCCGAGGATCGCGGGCGTCGAGTCCGTCACGAGGTAGAGGGAATAGTCCACCGTGGGCTGAGGCATGGTGGAGGAAGGAGGCAGGCGGTCGGCCTTTCGTCCTTATTTTTTTCTTCTTCTTCTTCTTCTTCTTTTCTCTGAGGATGCGTCAAATCAACACGCCGGGTTTCTTCCGTACGAGCCCCTTTGGCTTGTTTGACTAAGCCTTGCCACGATCCGAGTGAGCGAATGTTGTATCGCGGAAGGCGAGGGAGGGGGGGAGGGGAGGGGAGACGATTTTTCGGCGCCGCGGTTTGCTCGTGTGAAGTGCGGATATCCGCGGCCGAGGAACGGCGCCGATGGCGGCGGGATGCAGGCTGGGCTGCGCACAGGGGTGGGGTTGACGATGAGATGACATCGACTATTTTTTTTTGTTTTTTATTTTAAACTTTGGCAGCGAACTGCTTCGGCCCGTTGAGGTCTAATGTACACGCGAAGCAAAACCTGGCTGGATTACACTCATCCTACATTCTGGCTCAACTCCTACGGTCATTCAAAAGTTGATATGTTTCCCACTCATAAGCTGTGAGACATCCGATACTATTGTCCCTTTTCACTACGGAAACTGGTTCCGACAGCCAACTAGTTGTCTTCTAATGGCTAAAAAGAAAACCCTCACCCCCCGGAGCTGTGATATTTCAAGTGTTTGCAGTCGGCCGGACCTGCCGGTGCATCCCGGCCGTGCTCGGTGCGAGACGGCCTATGTTCGGTCCCCCCCCCCCCCCCCCCCCCCCCCGATCGGAATTTCCTCTTCTGGACAACTCCTGGTTCTCGATGCCACCCTAACTCGGCAGACGTCTACTCGCTGCCCCTCTGCGCCAAGCAGTATTTTATGCACGCCGTGCCAGGCTTTTCAAGCTCGGTTTCCCATTCTTGTAGGCTCGTGCGAAATCAGAGAAGAGATTGGTCGTTCATTCGAGAGCAGAGGCCCGTCTTCCTTCGTGCCATTCAGTCATAACATTTGTGTTTGTGTCACTTCATCCCCCCCGGGCTCGGTGTTGATATAACTCGCCTACCCTTTGTACCCGTCCTGGCAGCGCGGGCTCGGTGTTGATATAACTCGCCTACCCTTTGTACCCGTCCTGGCAGCGCGGGCTCGAGAGTGGTCTCCTCAGGTGGCAGTCCAGTCCATGGCGGGAAACGCGGACCCGGCGTCCCACTTTCCGAGTTCGTCGTCCGGCATCCCGCTCCAAAAGTCCGCGTCCAGGTCCCAGATCATGGCCTGCGTGCTGTCAGACAGGTTTGCCGGCAGCTGCACTGGGCCCTGGGTGGTGGGCTGCGACCGGGACCCGCTCAGCTCGCCCCGGACCAGCTCCTTGAAATACCGCAGCATGCATGTCAGCCGGATGAGCGGGTCAACGACGTTCTGGCCGGGGAGGTCCGTCGACAACGCGGTCGGGTCCGTCCCTACGGCGCCTGCGGGTCGCTTATTCCTGTGCGCCACATAAATGTCGAGATGTGCGACGTGGACATCTACTACCCCCGCGAGGTCCAAGTGCTTCTCGATCAGCGGCAGATCCCATCCGGGCACCTCGAGAGTCATGAGTTTCAGGCACAAAATGAAGACGTAGATGAATTCGGAGGCACTGAGGCATATGAAGAGCGGCTGGACGCTGAGGTTATTGCGCTGGAAGCGCAGGTCGAGGAACGTCTTTGCGGCGCTGCAGCAGCGCCAGAGGAGCTCGAGGCGCTCCGTCAGCGTGATGAAGGACGACGAACCCTGGCACTCGGGTATGCCGATCTCGTAGAGGAGGATCTCAGCGATGCTGACGTGCGTGAGGAGACCAACTGGCGGGCAGGGAGGGTATCGTTAGCAATGCTCTTTCTCCTTATCTATCTTACTCTCTCTCTCGCATGGGGAGTCATGTTGCGCGTTTCAGCTTACGGTTGTCTTTGAGATGCGCCGGGAGCGACGACTTGAAGATGTCGAGCTGCTGCTGGAACAATTGGACGGCCATGGTCAGCGGTAGCTGCTGCGACTGGAAACTCTTGCTCTCGGCCCCCAACGTAAGGGAGATGGCCTGCGCGAGCTGCTGGATCTTGAACAGCTGCACCAGGAGCTCGTCAGAGGGGTACTCCCCAGCTTCTTCGATCTGTCGGCAGCACGACTCGAGATGGGCCGTGTTCATAAACGCGTCCGGACGCTTGTTCGTTGTGAAGACGCTGTTCGGATTGTCAGTCTCAAGTTGCATCTGTCCGGTTTCTCGCGTAAGGGGGGGTGCTCACAGCGTGTTGAGGTAGTAGCAGCCAGCAAAGGCTCTCATCAACTCCAGCCGCGCCGACGCCGACTCCCTGGTCTGTGGCGTCGCCTTTGAGCCGTCATCTTGGTTCTGCACGCTTATGCCGTCCATGCCGCAGTTCCCTTTTCCCCGCCGCTTGAGCTTGATAGGGTTGTCCTTGGAGCCCAAGCTGATGCACATGGACCTCGCCAAGAACAGAAGGTTTGTAAGCTGATAACTGTTGATGTTGTAGTGATACCTGCGTTCCCCCAAGAGTCAGTCTCATCAAGCCCCGCTCTGGAGTGTTCCGATTTCACTGCCTCACCATGCAATTAGAAGTTGCAGCCCCTGGAGCACGTCCAGACTCTTCGCGGGTTTCATAAATGACGCCTGCACAATGTCCTGCAGCAGTTCGTTTCCCAGCCTCACTTGCTTCGCTGCATCCAGGTGGCACGCCGTCATCTGGATCCCCTTCCACAGATACGGCCTCCCAGCAGCGAGCTGCGTTGGGCCCATGTTCGGCGGCACAATCACAAACGGGTACAAAGGCTGCATTTCATCCACGAATGTCTGCAGAATGATGCTTTGCTCGTTGTTCAACGGCCAGGGCGACTCGTCACGCACGTCGGACTGGCTCCAACCGCGGCTGCTGACAGTGGGGTGGTCATCCGCCGTCGAGGAGCTCGGCGTCGGGAGCGGAACGGAGGCGCCGGTCTCCGCGCCATCGCCCGCTGGCACGTCCTCTGGCGGGAAAAGGTGATCACAATTGATGGGAATCTTGGCCGATGCCGGCTTGATGCTGTTGCTGAGCGGGAGCGGAGAGCCGGCGCTGCCGACCACGGTGGGTGGGGAGGTGGCACCGGCGTTGCCCTGGGTAGCACCCAGCTGTGTCGTCAACTCGTTCAGCCTCTTCTCGAGCTCTGCGACCTTTGTCGGTCTTGGGTCCCTTTTCGGTCTCGGAGGCGCAGGAGTCTGCAAGCCGCAGGCCTTCCGGAGCCGGTGGCACCTGAATGAACCCATCAGCGCCTTTCCACGGTGAAAAAACGCGAGCCTTTTGGAGAGCAAGTTGGCCGACTCACCGTTCACATTTGTCGCTCCCTTTTGGTCCCGAGATGCATCTCGCCTTCGCCTTGGCGCAAGTGACGCAGGCCCGAGGCCCCTTATTCTTTTGCTCATAGTCCATGTTGAATCTTCACCCACTCATGAGGTCTAGCGGTGAAGCGGGTTCACGGGAGATGGAGGAGACGGGAAGGAAAGGGTGCAAAAAAAATCATACAAAGCGAATCCACTGATCCTTTGCGTCGTAAGCCATCGTCTGAGTTATGCCCCCCTACAGGTTCTCCTGGACTCGTGTAAGTCATGGTGGGCATTTCCGACCAATAACGAGGATCGAGATGGCGTTTGTCGAACGGAGACGGAGCAATTCAGTGCCTCCGTCTCCGTCGGAGTTGATGACTAATAACGACATGGCCGCCCAGAAGGTTGGCTCCATGCGAGAGGTGTGGTGGCGTGGCGTGGCGACGTGTCTGCAGGCTGATGAGCACGGCTCACGGACGCCGCGGGGCCCATTATAAACTATTACGATTACGTGTGGGCTCAATGCGGGTTACCCCACCTGAGTGGTCGGATACCGCACTCGCATAACTCTGCCCTGCCGAGAATCAACATGCACCCGCACCCCCAACCTAGGTACTAGTATAATGCCCATAGTTAGTAACTACTTCGGATGGCATTTATTTGCACGAACGGCCCGCACACGGATTGCAACCACAGGGATTATAGACTGAAGTCAAAGTGGTGAAGAATTTGTCACTAGGTGACTTTCGTTTTTTTTTTAAAAAACTATTGGTGTTGCGGCCAACACTGAGATCAACCATCATATAGATAAGCCATCTCAAATCGAAAGAGAACAACAGGCCATGGATGTGTGGCCAAAGCAAATCTTCGTTGATCGCTCCAAAGAAGGTGGTCTAGGTCCGTGAGCTCCCCTTATCAAGATATCAACGTTGAACGTGTCAGGTCAAATGACCTGGCAATGGAACGGAATCAGAGAGCAGAGCTCACGGCCTGACCAGCCGCCTTGGCCTCACGCTCCAGCAGGGCCTCGACGAAGCCGTTGCTGACGTTTCCCGCGGCCTTGATCTCCTTCGCAGCCTGCTCGATGCCAAGCTGGTTGTCGGTCCACAGGGGCTCCGCTACAGCGGCGTCCGCCTCTCCTACGCCGATAAAGCCACCCTCAGCAGCCCACTCCGAGGTGCGCTTGATGCCGAGCTTGGTCCAGATCTCGTCAAGGGCCTGGACAAGCTGGTCGCGGTACTCCTTCTTGTGGCCCGGGGTGGGCGTGACACGCAGTCTCTCCTGGCCGACGGGAACGGTGGGGTAGTTGATGGACTGCACGTAGATCTGGTAATCCTGGAGCAGCATGTCGGATGCCTGCTTGGCAAGCTCGGCGTTGCCAACCAGAATAGGGATGATGTGGGACGGATTGGGAATAACCGGAATGTCACGGTCGTTCAAGGCCTCCTTCACCGCACGGGTGTGGAGTTGCTGTAGACGGCGGTCGCCATCGTATCCCATCTGATACTCGATGGCCGTCCTGGCACCAGCCATGGTCGCAGGCGGCAAAGACGTGGTGAAGATGAATCCAGGAGCGAGAGAACGAATCATGTCGATGAACTTGGCACTGCCGGCGATGTAGCCGCCAACACATCCATAGGCCTTGCCAAGGGTACCAGTGATGATGTCAACGCGATCCATAATGGTGCCTCTCGGGCGGCCCTGCTGGTGCGCTTCGAAGTCCAGGTGCTCCGCGACACCAGCGCCATGCGGGCCGTACATACCGACAGCGTGAACTTCGTCGAGGAAGGTGATCGCGCCGTACTTTTCCGCCAAATCACAAATGGCCTCGATGGGGCCAATGGAACCACACATGCTATACACCGACTCAAAAGCAATGATCTTGGGGATGTGGAGCGGCAGCGAGGCCAGCTTTGCCTCGAGATCCGCAACGTCGTTGTGCTTGAACACAATCTTCTTTGTTCCGGAGTGACGGATGCCCTGGATCATGGAGGCGTGGTTCAGGCTGTCGGAAAGAATCACACACTCGGGCATCTTGCTACCAAGCGTCGCCAGAGTGGCATCATTGGCAACGTAGCACGAGCTGAAGACAAGGGCGGCGTCCTTGGCGTGGAGTTTGGCGATTGTGCCCTCCAACTCGACGGCGTGCTTGTTATGCCCAGAGATGTTTCTCGTTCCGCCAGCACCGGCGCCGTACTCGTCCAGGGTCTCGTGCATCGATTTCAAGACATGCTGGTTGCGGCCCATTCCGAGGTAGTCATTGGCGCACCAGACGGTAACCTTCTCCCCCTTGTCAGCCATGTGGGCGCGGGGGAACTCCTTGGCGAGGCGGTTGATATTGTTGAAGTAGCGATACGACTTGTCCTTGTGCTTCTTCTCCAACTCGGCGGCGTAGTAAGCCTCGTAGTTGAACTTGGCCTTGGAGGCGTCAGAATTGCTCATGCCCACGTTGGGAACGGCGTTCTGGCGGGCGGCCGCCATGATCGGGGGAATTTGAGCTGGTGTCGGGGTTAGCCTAGAGCTTTAGCAATCGGAGCAGGTTTCCCATACCGCTGTCACGTCCTTTGATGAAGGGGGCATCGACAGGCCGGGCATCGTTGCTGCGGCTGGTGTGGATGCTGGCGCGACCAGGCTTGGAGTTGGTGCTCAGCGCACGAATGCCGGCGACAGACGAGTTTCCAACCTTGGCCGGACGGCCATGGCCATACTGGGCCGACTGGACAGTCAGGGCCTTGCCCATGACGGGGCAGCGGTGGGCGAGCAGCTGCAACTTGGACATGGTTCCGCCGCAAGGGGAGACAGCCGTCTGAGGGGCCGCCTGGATGGCGTGGGGACGAGCCGAGGTGGACAGCGCGCGGAGCTTGGCGGGGGACGCCTTCTTCAAGAAGGGGCACATGGCCTTAGATTGACGCAGAGCAGCCTCCATGGTGAGGGGCGAGCAGGAGTTCGGGCGAGGTGTTCGAGTGAGACGTGTGTTCGGAAGAGGTGATGGATCCGACTCGGCTTTGTCGGTGTTTCTGGTGTGGCGATTTGAGGCGCAACGTGGAGATGTGAAGTCAGCGTTGCCAGCGAAAAGCGTCAGCGCAAGGACTGGACACAAGTCAATTGGCGGAGGGAGAGGAGCGGTCGATATGGATCGACGAATATGGGAATTTCTCAGATTAAAGGAGAAGAAGTAGGGGAAGTTTGGCGGATGGGGAGGAGAGGCGAAGGAGGAAAAGAGCAGATTCCCGGACCAGTCTTTATTTTAGCGTGTCTCCGGTGAAGGCTCGGGAGTCGCCATGACACCACAGGTACACTCACTAGACCCAGGGTATTCGTAGGTACCTACCTAGTACGTGCGCGCCTGGACCGAGTCAAACTGGGGTTGGGTCTGCGATGGCGGGGCGGCCGTTGCAGGTGCAAGAGAGGGAGATTCAGAGGGGTCATAAGTCCCGGAGAGTCCCAATAGGCTCTACCTAGGTAGGGGTGGGCTGGGGATGCCGCCGCTTGCGTTTTCAGCGTCCCTCAGGCCGGGGAGGGTGCAGCGCACATCCATGCGTGTCTGTCGTACGGCTAAGGTGGGGGACCCCTAGTTCTGACTAACTGTGGATATGCATCGGTCTTTTTGTCCAATCACTGAATAGCCCGATCCAATCTTTTTCGGATTCGTCAATTTCTTGATTGGTCGGCACTGGAAATGCGGCTTCTGGTGACCGAAAGAAAACAGCGGCCACAAATCCCTTGTTCTGTTTTTTCGCCCTTCTGTCCTTCTCTCGGTGTTTGCTGCTGTTGCTGTCGTCCTTGGGCCACTTATTATTTCCGCGGGCCGTCCCTGTTGGACACTGGTCAGTGTGCTGATTAAACACCTCCAAGGCTCCAAATGCCTCCCTATTCAACACCCATGTTTTAAGAAACGCCGTTGTTGAGCGGAGTGGGTCTAAAACTGCAGTACATCGTACGAACATTGACGGATCCGCTGGGGGTCCCGGAGATCGGAGACCGAGCATAACCCGGAAGGAATGAGAGAAGAAGACAAGAAGCAAAAGAAAAAAGAAAGAAAAAAACAAGAGTTCTCGTCAGCCCTCGTCATAATTCTCCCTCTTCCTGAGTCCATGGCATCCCGTGTAGCACACATGTCCGGATGGTCAAGTACCTGGATCAGGGTGACCTTCTGCTTGGGTTGGTCACCTGCCACATCGCTTAGAGCGCCTGTAAACTGCCCCTCCTCTCCCGCTGGGTCTCAAAGTGTAATATATTGTAGTCTACGATGGGGCCAAGAGGACTCGTTATTTACCCATGTTGCTTCCGGCCGTCCCGCCCGTCGTCCGAGTCTGCTGACGAAACCAAGCCGGCTGCAAAACGAACGAGTGGCATATCGCCGCGGGCGGCATCAGCAACCTCGCCCATGGACCGTCTCACATAATTCTCACACGCCGATCACTTCACACTAGACTTCGAGACCTCTTTGCATCCATGTGCCAATCTTCGGTTGCTCAATTCAGCCGCCCAAAATATGCCATTAACTAAGCTTAACGCCCATTTGGTGCTGACGCAATTCCCAGATCATCTCCATAACCCTCCCGCTAAAGAGAACCAAAGACGTACGCCAGAAACAAAAGGAAAAGAAAAAAAGGGTATCATAAAGCAAGCGTTGCAAATGTCCCAAAACTCCCCCGCCTGTCCAGAACCTTAAATACGACGACCCTTGCAATGCAACTACCGGTAGACCATGGCGAAGCCTCAATACAAATGCCTCCGTAATCACGACCCGTGCCCTGCTGACGATGACGGTTCCCGTGTCCATCCATAACCCAGCTTGTTTTTCCCAACAGCTTCACTGGCCCATGTGGGAAGTCTAGGCGCGCGACGCCTCCTTTGCGCTGCCACCGCCCTCATGATGTCCATACTGTCTTCGTCATCGTCATCGTCGTCCTCCTCGCGGAAGGGGTGTCTTCGATTGGGTGCTGGAAACGGACTCGGTCGGTTGGCCACGTTCTGTAGCTGCTGTTGGTTATATCATTAGCCGCGATAAGTCACTGCATGACGAATAGGTGCAGATTGCAGGGCGGAAGAAAAGAAAAGGAAAATGCGAGAGAGAACAAAAAGGCGGAAAAGTCGGGCTCATACGTCAGGTTCTCTAGCCGAGTGCTTTCTCAGTCCGAGTTTTTCGTAAAAAGAGTCGTTGTCAAGCTGTGTCAACTCGCCGACAAGATTGTCGAGTCCTTTCTCCGTCGATGCTTGGGCAATTTTGTTTGGAGGCAAATGGCCCGTGAGAATCGCTGCAGAAAACCTAGGGTTTTCTACCAAGCTGCATAACTTCTTCATGTGAGAATTGTCAGGCAGCTTCCCCTCATTCATCTCACCCCTTATAAGCCAAGTCGAGCTGGCAATCCGTTTGCAAAGATCACTTTTGTCCTCTCCGATTGCGCGCAGTAACTCGGGGTCCGCGATCTTGTCGACTGACTCTAGGAGCTTTTGCTCGAACTGATCCGGCCATTTGATGATTCCGGAATTCAAATTCGTCTGCTTTCTCGCCGAAGGTGAAGAAGTAGACTTGTCTGCAGGTGAGGGGGGCATAGATCCCTGTTGACCCCTGAAGAATGTATTGGCACCGGCGATGGGCATAGGGTGGGCGCCTCGAGACTGTGGCGTATGTCAAGTTAGCACTGATCGCCCACATCCGAAGACAAAAACTGTACCTCTACAAAGTCTTGCTGAACAAGATTTCCGATGCTCGAAGCGACGCCCGGGACGGACTGCGGAGACCCCCGTTGTGTCGCGTCCAGATTCTCTCCATCTTTGTGTGAAGGCGCTGCTGCTGGCTCTGGCGCAGGCACCGTTGACGGTGGCACTTCGGCAGCGTTGGCCCTTTGAATACCCACAGACTGGCCCAGTGGATAGGGTGAACCTCTTGCAGTCAAGCCAGGATGAAGGGGGGGGAGGATAGGTGTTTGAACGCCACCTGGGGGCAAACCTGGGGGCCGATACGCTGCCTGAGAAACTGCTGCGATACCCATCACTGACGGCGCAGCGTTAAGTCTGCCAGCCCTTTCAAGCTCTAACTGGTGGAACTTCTCTGGATCGGTGTTTCTGATTGAATTCATGTAGACCTGATCCTTCACGTCCTTCAAGTCTTCTTGAGTTAAGATATTTCTGATATCCTCTTCCTCAAAAGTGTCCGTCTTGATGATCGAACGGATACCCTGGGACAGGTCGGGATGCATCAACAGGCTGTCGAGCACAACATCCTTGCCCGCAAAGGGACTCAAATCTTTTTGCAGCGGTTCCGTGCGATCCTTGAGGTACTCATGTTCCTTTGTGGACCATCGTTTTGGATTCTCGTTATCCACGACGCGAGAGGCCAAATGGGTCTTGAAGATAGCTCTATCATGTAACGTTTGTTCGTACGTGCCACCAGAAATGAACGTGTAGACGTAGACCGGCTTCTGCTGACCAATGCGATACGCTCTGCCGATTGCTTGCTGTTCGTGAATAGGGTTGTACTTAAAATCGAAGATGACCACGCGATTTGCCCCAAAGATGTTGAGGCCAGTGCCCCCGGCAGCTGTGGAGATGATGTATAGCTGGGTGTCTCCGCTGTTGAAGTCCTTGATATTCTGCTGCCTCTGACTGATCGGCGTGTTACCATCGAGACGAGCAACCTTCCGTTTCTGTTGCCGGAAAAGGGAGTCCAGGTAATCCATGGTCGGGATTGACTGAGTAAAGATAAGAACCTTGTCGCCCACACTCTCGCACTCATCCAGAATGGCGACAAGAAGCCGTACTTTCCAGGACAAGGCCGGCGAAGATATGTCCCTCTCGAGCCCTGTAATCTTGAGGCCGTCACTTATGATTTGGCTTGTCAAAGTAAGGGTTGATTTGTCCCTCTTCCCCAAAAGGTCGCGCTCCTCTTTCAGTCTCGTTTGGAAAGTCTTGGGGTGATTGGCAATGAGACAGAAGCTGTTGACGGCACCAAGAATCTTTCCGCCGCCTTTCTCCTCGTTCCTGAGAGACTCTAGAAAAGTGTCATAGAGCTTGGCCTGAATGGGTGTAACCGGAACTGTAAGCACGAACTCCATCTTTGGTGGCAGGTCATCCTTAAGACAGGATTTGATTGTCGCCCTGTGTGTCTTGGGTTGAACAGTAGCCTCCAGGACAGCAAGTTGCTTCATTGCCCTGCGGTAGGCAGACTTGGGACTGTCCTCGTAGAGGCCCGAATGGATAGGCTCGGCATAGAAAGACTTGAATTCCTGAATGGGGCCCAAGTACCCAGGCGCCACCCAGTCGATCATGTAGTAGAATTCCAGCACACTGTTGGCCAAAGGAGAACCAGTGAGTGCGATCCGACTATGTGTTCTGAATTGTGCGGTGGCTATCTTCAACTTTGAAGCCGGATTCTTCATCTTGTGGGCCTCATCCGCAACAACAAGGCTGGGGCTCTGAGTGAGGATTTCCTTGACCGACTTTGCATCGTGAGGCGATGACAGTCCGTTGGCGGGCGAATCAACCAACCTCTTGAACAAGTCGTAACCTATAATTAGCACGCCTCCTTCCTCGTCCCACCTGCGAACCATAGGACCTCTCTCTGGTGCCTTTGTGATGGCCTCCAATTTGAAGAGACGCCCAAGAAGCCCGTCAGGAGCCCACATCAACAGCTCGTCCATCCAATTATCCACAAGAACCGACGGGCACAGCACGAGGGTTTTGGATTGTCTAAGTTCCTCAGGGATCTGTGATCGGATGGACTCGTCCTCGGACTGTGCAGACTCGGCGATTGCAACGAGCAAGGTGATGACCTGCATAGTCTTGCCGAGACCCATGGTGTGGGCCAGGAGACATCCTTGACGCACCTTGGAGTCGTCAACAATCTGGTTCCACATGAAACGAACGCCTTCAATCTGGTGGGATTTGATCCGTTTGCCAATGTGCTCGTTGACGTAAATCAGACCTTGATTGTCCTTTTTTGCGTCGTTGATAATTAGCCGTGACTTATCGCTGGAGATGGTGTCGGATGCGGCCAGCTTCTTGCGCAGCTCCTTTCGACGTTTCTCCTGTTCTTCCCTTCGACGGAGGTCACTGTCTCTGAGATCTTTAGCTGCTTGATCGATGATGACAACCCGCTTTCGCTTCTTGGAGGAGGATGACTCCTCGATATCGTCATCACTATAACCGATTAAGGAGTCAAAACTTCCGTGCCGGTTCTTCCGAGGCGCTTCTGAATCAGAGGGCGTAGTTCGAGTGACGTT